CGAGTCGACTGGAAAGTGATTAAGCACACATGACAGAGCCCACGGACTCGCCAGGATATTACGAGCCCCCCTCCGGGCGCGGTTCCGCCCCCGCGAGTCGCGGTCCCAATCCCGACCGGCTATCTTCCGCCCGGAATCCGCGAAGTGCGGCTTCGCATCCCGGAAAAGATCTTCTGGAGGTCTTAACCCCCGGAGGACATCTTTGCTCCTGATGCTGTCGCTTATATATATTTTTTTTTTTGGTATGTACAATGTAACCCACCCCAGGAGATCGCGCGCCTCCTCTTCGGGGTCTCTCCGACCCTCGGCGGACAAAAAGCCCGGGGGATCCGCCCAGGAACGGCCGCGCGACGCTACGAGATGTATTGGCCTCGTCAGAGCGCTCACGCCGGCTGATACCCTCGGCTCTCTCGTCGGCTCTTATGAAGCCAATTATTTTCTTCGGCAAAGCCGCGCGCGTTTCCACGCACACGGCCCACTTACGGGTATATCCGCGCCCTCTCACCGCGTTATGTGCCCCGCTCGACCGCGGGCTATATAACACGTCCCGGCCGCCGTTTGCGGACTTTCCGTAATTGGTGGACTTGCGGCGAATTCGCCCTCCCGCTGCCGAGTCGGTCGCGACACCTCGAGCGGCCTCCCGGGGCGAAACCTCTGCCGAGGGCGGGAAAGAGATAGAGGGCGATATAACGATATACCGTATATAAATCGATAACCGGTCGAATATTAAATATCAAGTAGAGAGGAGAACGCACTTGGCGCGATACTCTGCCTAGTTTCTGGATTTCCCTCCGACGGGGGGTATTAATGCACGCATCGCGATAATTACCCGCGATATCGGTAATCAAACGGCTCGATCTCCCGTCTACCCGGCATCCTGGGCATTCGCCTCGGCACAGAGAGGGTGCAATCGCTTAAGTTCGCCAGTCGTCCGTCCGGATGTGCTTGGCATTTCGTGTTTACGCCGCAAACCGTCCGTTACCGATATCAAACGCATGCGCGTCCTTCTCCTCCCCTGGCGCCGACACTCCGTCGATATGTGCGTTCTTTGATCTCTCGGGGTAATAATGTTTGTTCTGGATTTGTTAATACCGCCCGGTGGCAGGCTTCCGGGCGTAGCCCTCGAGAGATGAAAACTCCCGGCAGCGACGACACCCCCTGGACCGTGGCTCTCCCTCCCGGCTCGCCCTCGAATTATTCGGGATTTAATGTCGGATCTTCGATCGCTTTGTCTTGCAATCGGCCTTCTTTTTTTTGCGTCAATTAAACGTCGAACGCCCTCGAGGGACGGTTGCCACGCAAAAGGAAAAGTCATGCGATTTATTACCCGGTCGGGCCGCGCCGATAGAGGAGGGCTCGCTCGTTAACTCGCCACTCGACCTCTCCGAGTCCTTCTTATTTTGGGCTCCCTTTTGTTGCAGGTCTCACGAGAGCGCCGATGTACCCCTTCTCGACGGGGCAGTACCCTTACCCCATGCTCAGCCCGGAAATGTCGCAAGTCGCGGCCTCCTGGTAAGTCCACCGATATCCACCTCTGAAACGATATATCCACCGTTTACGTCACGTAAGCGAGGAAATAGAACACCGTCTTGTTATACCTCCCTTTCCTCCACGTTAAATTACTCCTGGATTTCATTCGCGTTACACCCGACCGACTTAACTAACGACCGGCTTCGAGGAGGATTCGACTATTATGACGAGCGAACGAGAACCTCGGGGTTCTCTAACGACGAGGACCGGAGCCGAGGATTCACATTCTGGACCAGCTCCGGAGAGAAATCCGCAGTTAAGTGCCGAACACTGCGGTCAGTCAGCCGGTCATCCTCTCGGTTCCGGCCTATTAGACCGACTACACCCTCGCTCTTCCTTCTTCTTCTTATTTCTTCTGCCCTCGGAACCTACGTCCCTCCTTGTTATTTGCTTTCTGCCCGATCCGCCCTAAATTGAGATTTTCCACGGTCGATTAGACGTCCTTTCCTCAATTACGCCGAGTCCCTCCACTGCCTCTCCACCGTGAAAGGAGGACTCGACGATTACAGGACGGGGTCTGTCATTTCCTCCTCTCCTGAAATAAAAAAGAAATAATGTAATAATATCCAGGAGTTAATCCTCGGCCCGCTTTTTCGACGGGTAATCCGGGTGTCCATTAAAACTAGCCGATTGATCGGGGAATGACTCGCAATTTGCCGAAATACCTGGCCGAGGGTAAACAGATGAGGACGTCGCTTACGCTCTCGGGGTGCGTCCTCCTCTCTGTGAGTCTGTCCGCTGCACGGAGCCGTGCCCCTACCCGGGAGGTCATACGATAATTAATAATTTCAGGCACACGCCGAGCATGTACCCCATTTCCCCGGCGAGTGCTGGCTTCCGGAGTCCGTACCCAACGAGTTTACCCATTACTAGTTCGAGTTTACCAAGGTGAGTACTCCAGCCTGCCGGTCATCTGCGAAATTAAAGACATATTTGTGTATCGAAACCAAGACGCCTCGAGATACGGCATTTTATCCATCCTTAAGTACTATAATCCATAGCCGATCGATTACCTATACGTGTCGGAGATTGCCTGGGAATTTTTCCACGCGTCGCGTGAAACGTCGTTTTCACTTTTCACCGTGGAAGGTCGCGTGCCCGCAGTCACCGCGCCCGCGGTTAAGTCCCTGTTAAATAATAACGTATAATTGGCGCCTCCCCCCAACGCGAGTATTAATAAAGAGTGTGCACGCGTTGACGTAACCTGTGTTTTCAGTGATCTCTATCGGTTTTCGCCGACGGGCCTCATGCCACCGCATCCTGGATTGAGTCCGCACGCCCATGCGTTAGCGTCCCATGCGTTGGTCTCCTCGGCGCCGAAAGCGGACCACTCCACCTTGGATCACAATCACAGGTGTGTCTTCTCGTCTGAAATATATACTTCATATCACGTATCATACCTCGGATAACGAAATTCCTGGCCAAGCTGCATACCATACTTGAAAATGAAGTCGAAAAGTCCCGTACGGTTATTTCCCTCCGGCGCATAATTTGCCTGGGATAATTAAGAAACTCGGTAGAGTTTCGCGCCATGTCCAATATTTATGTCAATTTACATGAGCATTTTTATCAGTGAACCGCCCGATAATCGAGTTTAATTAATTCTTCCGGGCAAACCATGCTTCGGTAGAGAATGTATCGGCAGTTTAAACTGCAACAGGGGCGTAAACCGTGGCCAGGAATTCTGACCCACCCCGTAAATACGAACGAGCCGCTAATGAGCAAGATGGCGGCCATATTGGATGCCTCCGACTCGAGGTGTACTCGAAGCGCGGAAAAGTACCTGACTTCCTCGATTCGTCTCGTCTAGCCGAGAGAGTCCAGAGAGACCTTCCGGAGTGGTGGGAAATATCGGAAATATCTCGTCAGGCGTAGGCTCGTGCTTCCGTAGATAAGGCATACCTTGAGGCGTCGGATCTCGGGGAAGAGAGCCCTCACGGTCCAGCGGATAATGCGGAATCGTCGCGTCCTGTCGTCAGGCGGCGACATCGGAGAGGGTCAGGTCTCGGCCTAGAGGGAAAAAGAAATCGATCGCTTAACCGGTCATTTACCAATGCGTCGACGCGGCGACGCTACATAGAGTTTTCCAGGCGACGAAGGTCGCGCGCGCGTCTCGGTCGATAAAAACCAGGCGACCTCGCGGCGATGAGACATCTGTCGGTGGGCGCGCGGACTGATCGCAGGGGACAAGGACGGCCACGTGACCGAAACGTTTTTCTCGGCCCCTACTTTCGAGTTCGTACAAATTTTCCCCGCGTACGAATAGACTCGCATAACAAATTTCGCATTGTTGCGAGGTCGCGTCATCGGTCAACATTTGAATGTCGTATGGTAAACTCAATTTTTCATGCGAGAGTTGATCGTATGAGCTCGAGAATAGGGTTCCTGATGGGTTCGATCGAAGAATAGTCGAGAAGGGTCGAAGAAGCGGGGACGGAGAAGAGCCCACGCGATAAGGAAGCGCGTAACGATCGAGCCCGATAGTTGACGAGTCGTCCGCCTAGGGGGTAGCACGTAACGAACGCAGCCCTAAACCGCGACGAGGGAGAGCGACACTCGTCGAACGGCAACACGCGAACGACCCCGCGGGATTCCGCGGGAGAGACAGAGAGGGAGACGGCGACTTACCACGGCGTCTGCGCCGCCTTTTCCTATGTATTGATCATTACCCTCTTAACGGATTTCTAATTTACATTAGTACTCGAGGATATCTCTCGTCGGGCCGCATGGATCCGCATGTCCCGCATGTCCCGTCGACGGGTCCCGCACGGGGTATATAAGGGGTCGGAGATCGAGAGCACCGCCAGACCTCCGCCGGCAGCCGGGCAACGACGTTGACGGTCGCTCCCCGAGCGCGGACACGGAGACGAATTCCCGATGATGTCCGTCGCCGGCTCGACCACCCCGACTGCAGATGCCGGAAGGTCGGACCGTTCTCAACTAAACGCCATTCATGATTCGGGGAGTCTGGATCCGTTGACCTCCGAAGACACGTCGAGAGCCTTCCCTCGGGTTTCTACATCGATGTAAACACAGTCGCTAAGGTCGGATGACCGCGTCGAGTACTAAGTTTGTCGTGTATACCCGGGTAGATAGTCGGTAGGTCTCTGATGAGAGTGAGGTCCACGACGTTTCCCTCCGCCCCTGCGACCTAACCTCACTTTCACGCCCCAGCGGACGCGCCTTCGAGGGGTCCTTAGCGCGGGACCTCGCCGCGCCGAGTGCCCGGGATTGAATGCCAGTCCGGTCGAGAGGTGCGGGGAGGTGTTAAATCGGTTTATACGCCCGGAAACGCGTCGCCGGTAGGCGGGATCGCCGCGGCGACGAGCGCGTCGCTCCCGTCTGCGCTCGGCGACGGTAGCGCCACGGATCCCGCCAAAAAAATGCGACTTTCATCCCCACGCAAATTATACATTGGTAGGGTGCTGCGAGATGTAGTTGTAGGGAGCCATGAATCGCAATGATGGCCCGTGCACCCGCCTCCCACCGGGGATAATCAATCGTAACACCGTGGTGATTCCTGGCTAGGACGGCGTCGATGTGAAATGCGCGCCGGCCAGTGCCGTGGGCCTCGAGCGCTCCTTGAGGACCAAGAGGGCTCGGAGGTGAAGCGGCGAGGGTCTAGCTCGAATAATAAACCGCGCGGCGTTGACGGACGCGATTGTTAAATATCGCGTGCGGCGATGGAGCCATTAAAATCGTCGAGGGAAGTGGGATAGTGAGGCGGAGGAAATGGACGCGAGGGCCGAGTCCTACGAGACACTCTAATCGAAATCGGAAGGTCGAAATGTCGAGGGAAGCCTGAATTCCACGAGCGAGGTTCGAAGCATGCAGAGAGTCATATGTTGGATGATCTTGTGATCTTGTGGAGGAATTGCGGTTGAGTACGTGGAGAATGTAATGGCTGTGGAAGGGGATAACGTGCCAATGAATTCTAGTCAGAACGGGGCAGGATCCTGTCCTAAAATACATGGATCGATGGGTCTAGTCATAGCATAGCGAAGCAGCTACCTCGAAGAGGTATCGGGCTTGGATAGAATATTTTACGTGGCGATGGAGTCCGAATGCCCGGAGCCATTAAATTTAGTCATAAAGAAGGATGGCAATGGAAGCGACTCGACGTTCATCGAGGAGAATCTGGTGTCTTCGATAAAGAGGATCGAAGAGGATGGTGGCGATACCAGGGTACCGGAGAACGTGACCTTCCTGCAGGATGCGGTTAAATCTAATGAATCTAATTTACCCACTGCGGACCACAAGATTCTCACGGCTCTGTATATGAGCAGTCTTATGCAAATGTCTAATATGACCGTTCCAAGAAGCGTGACTCCTCCGTCGTTCGGGGCTCAGCACAATTTTATGCAACTCCTTGCCATGGTCGAAGCCAGGCATCGCATGTGGCAACACATGAGTTGGTCGGTGCCGCAGAACTTCTTGAGGAATCCTCTTGGTTTGCCTCAGCCTTATTTCGATAGTCCCGTGGCAAATTTGTCCGAACAGTTGTGCAATTCTCAAAATTCCACACCGGCCTATTCCTTGCCTTCGGTTAAGCACGAGCCTACGAATCACGATACGAAGCAACCTTATTTTAAACGGTAACCTCTTCCGGTCCTTGTTGGTCCGTGAAAATAGCAACCGATGTACATATTTCAGGGTTTACTTTGTTGCAGGTCTACGATAGAGCAGAAAAATTCTACGTCATTAGCTACGGACAACACAAAGACTCAGGATACGGGCCAGCAGAACAATCAAGGTAAGAAGACGTCGTTGCATTACAACTTTTGGTTTGAACTATTTTTGACACGTGTTCCTCATAATATTGGCCTGTTCAACAGATAAAAAGAAACCCCACATAAAAAAGCCTTTGAACGCGTTTATGCTGTACATGAAGGAAATGAGGGCAAAAGTTGTAGCGGAATGTACCTTGAAAGAGAGTGCTGCGATCAACCAAATATTGGGAAGACGAGTGAGTAATTGTCATCATCTATTTGCTTGTCACCGTTTATAAGATACAGACCTCGTTTACATCAGATTAAAGGAACTATTTAAATCAAGACAGACCCGCCGATGCAGAAGCTTTAAATGATGAATAAATTGTGCATGCAACTAATATAAAACTTGGATGAAATTTTTGAATACCAATTGGGCATTTAAGGAAACAAAATATTCTGATGTAAACGCTGTCAAATTACTTTTAAGTCAAGATTTCATTCTGCGGAATGGTGCAATTTTTTTCACCTCTTACCAAAGCTTTTGTATCGTACTCTTTTTATAAAAACTACTTCGACCGGTTATACTTCTAGATGTTCCAAGGTACCACGAAACATTTGAACCTTATTAAAGCGAAACACATTCCCATACTCTATGTCATCGCAGGAATTTCACAAAATCACTTGAGAGAACCCATGAAAATGTACCGCCTTCCGTAATGATTCTCGAATGTAGCTCCTTCCCCTCTCGACACAGTGAAATCTTGACAATTTCTTTGAAGCATCGAGCCATTCGCAGCCTCAAAGAATGTAGCCACTATACTGTATATAAGCATGCACCTAACGTTCGAGAGTAATATACATACATATTACCCTCGACCTGGTACTACTAACCAAAGCGAAGAAGTACCTTAGAAGGTACCGATAGAGCATTGTAGGTGGGATCTAAGGAATCTCGAAGCGAAGGAAAAAGTGCGGATCCTCTCGCTAAGGCAGAGGACAGGTTGCTAGGGGTGGGTGGGAGCGATCCGAAGCACAGGAGTATACCTTGATCCTCTGGTACCGCTCGGCGCGCTGAATAAGTTGTAAAGACTTAAGGAGCACGGATGCACGGATGTACGGATATATCTCTCTCGAGTATATGCGAATGTCTGAAACGTTTTGGGGGTATGACACGCAGTGGCACTCGCTAAGCCGGGAGGAGCAGGCGCGGTATTATGAGGCGGCCAGGCAGGAGCGCCATCTGCACCAGCAACGCTACCCCGGCTGGAGTGCCAGGGATAACTACGGATACGGCAGCAAGAAGAAGAAGAGGAAGAAAGAGCGCTCCGCAGATCCCACCGGAGGTACCACTTTCCAGTGCTAGAACAGCAGGCCCTTAATAATCATTATAATAATTACTAGTTCCTATTGGTTGATTGAAACGATCAAAGTCTCTGTGCGTTTCTGTTTTTGTTTTTCATTTGTTTTCTGTATTCTCTTTGATGAGCGGATGATTATTCATTGGATTGGATTGTCTGTGGGGATTGTGGAATGTGGCAGCATAGAGCGAAACCGGAGCTCGCGGTAACATGCAAATGATCATATCTGGCCAACTCCCTAAAGCGGTATATTCGTCTCGGGAACGATTTTAACGAGAAAGAGCAAATCTCTACAGGATGTCTGGTAGACCCAGGATGCGCCGTGACATGTCGAGCCCAAGGCTAACATCGGACCGCATTCAAGCCTCGCCGGCGTTCCCATTATCGACCTCCTTGTCGAGTCCTTGCCGACCTGTCCAGGGCACCAGCATCCCTGCCCGTTAGTGCACCCGCGCTTCGCCGAGGCGTTGCGTTCGCGCGACCTCCACGAAGACCTTCCACCGACCGCCGTCTTTCGGCGCTGCGTTCGCCGCTTTTTGCCGTGACCCGAGGTGCCTCTGCGGATGCACTAAGTCGCGAGGAATGTAACCCGAGGTCGGATCATAGCTAGAACGTGTCCCGGACATTTAGCGGACAGCTTAGCGGCTCGCGGGGAAGGCGGAGGCCCATCGGTCAACACACCAGGGACGTCTAGCGTCATTTGGGCTCGAGGGTGTCATTGTCGAATCGCTCTCGAAAGCTGTTAGGTCCCAGTCTCGTTTATTTAAACAGTACCTAATGTTTGTAATGAAAAAAAAAAATAGAGGAAGGCACCACGTTGCTTTCGAGAGCGTTCGCCGTGGAGGGGCGTTCCTGCGCCAACTCTATCAGACACCCTGTAAACCTAGGCGTCGTATCCGAACGAAGGAGTAGGGTGCAACCGAGGGGGGCAACCTAGGCTGTTCTTCTAGCACTTTAAACGGAAAGTAGGGACCCCAATGTTACTGAAATGCTATGTAATGAGATACGAGAGAGAAAAATGACAAGAGAGCATACGAAAGATGATTCCTAGATGACCTAACTCGAGTATAGGCAACACAGGGTGGCGGCTCAGTAGCATAGTGACTTTTTTCTTGATTAATGTTTAGCCACGGTCTCTTTATGCAATTACAAAAGTGTTTGGTTCTCTCTCGGTAGTGGCACGCGCTAGGGCGAGAGGAACAGGCCAAGTATTATGAGTTGGCGCGACGGGAGAGACAGTTGCACATGCAGATGTACCCTGACTGGTCTTCCCGCGCAAATACCAACCGAACTAAGAAGAGGAAGCGCAAACAAGACACAAACAGTGATCCTGGAGGTACCCACATGCCTCACTCCACACATTCTTACAGTCCCCCCATTATTACATATACTATTTATTATATTACGTTAATATATTGCTACACTACATTATGTTGCATGTTTCCCCCACTTCGGGGTTTTAGGTCAATATATACCTGCAAACATATATATTATATTATATTATATGGGTATACGACCGACACGTATATACGTATACTTACGTGCATATGTGTATTTTATTATATATCATATATTATATACACTACCACGTGCGTGAGGGCGCGCTCTTCGGCACGTACATACATATCCTGCGTGTATATATACATATATGTATTGCATATCACACGTATGAATATGTATATATACACGAGTACATTAATTACGTATACAACTTTGGGGACGCTGGCCATCTTGCATTTTTACAGGGGACCTACTCCGCAATCAGACAATCCTGAGCGTTTTAATTTCTCTCAGTCTCTCTATCTTTCTCTCCTGTTCAATTTCAATTATGCATTTTTTCCTTTGATCGTTTCAATGTTGCCTAATCCTGGATTTTGTTTTTCGTTTGAATTTTTTTTTTTTGTTGTTTTTGTTTCGTTGGTTACCTCTAATCATCACCCACCAAGACCCCGTATTAGTTCTCATTCACGATGCCTACAAGCTTACATTCAAATTAATTTATATAAATATATATATATAGATATGCCTAGAGCTTGTACCGCATTCACAACATGCGTAACTACCTCGATATATTCGTGCCGTTAACATGTATTGCATGACGATTGCTTGTCTAAACATCTTGTATTATTTTTTTTTTACCCCCTCTTTTTTTAAATCAATGACAACCTTCCCCGATGCTCGCTGAAACTTAAGAAGGATTAACGACTTTTGTTGTACTTTTAATTATTAAAAAAAAAAAAAACATCGAGGTTGTGTCGTTTGGTCGATGGCGTTATTAGCGTTACACCATCTGGGAATGTCGTCAGTAAACGTAAATTATAGCGAATCGATCGTTTGGCAATCAGCATGATTATCTTGTACGATTGATAAACGTTGATTCGCTGTTTACATTAACCGCAACTTGCCGTAACAGTTTCTTTTTTTTTTTTTTTTACGTTTATCCCATGATTCCCCAGAAAACACATGGATGTGTCACGATATATGATACCCTCCACCCAACACGTAGTTTTTTTCCCACGTGAGCGTAATCTCGTAGCATCGTATATTTCCACGATTATTAATAATCCTCTAGTTGCATCCCCCGATAACCAACGTTGGCCCTTCGATGTCGACGTTAACTTTAGTCCCAGCACTTTGCACCCCTAACTATCCCAGTTACATCCCACAGGACAGTAACATTAGTCTCGGCGATAGCTCGACTTTTATGCCTTAATATTCTCGCACGTTTCTTTGCGCGCGATAGGACGCTAATCATTAACGCCTGCTTCTCCATTTCTAGGTAACAACATGAAGAAGTGCCGAGCCAGGTACGGATTAGACCAGCAGAGCCAGTGGTGCAAGCCCTGCAGGTACGTTGACGTCGTACCGACGTAAACGGATTTTAAAACCAACTAGGTCTTGGTGCGTGGTCTTGAGGCAAATCTCTCTCTCTCTCTCTCTGTCTCTGTCCGGTTGTGCACATGCACCTCGCGTGTAAATACGTCTCGCCGGCATAGATTCTGAATGGCAATCGACCATCCCGAGACAGCTCTCTCGTCGTCTTCCGGGAGAGGGTAATCCGAAAAGAAATACGAAAAAGAAATATACAGAGAAACGGCGTCGAGACCCGAACGGTACGTGGCACTCGGTAGTACGTCCTGGTATCGGCTCTGGGTGGAACCTCGATTAAGCCCGTTTCCATCGAATCAATTACCGCGGAACGACCGCGCTCTGCGCGTTTCACGCTCGGCTCCATCTGCCGAAGTTCAGCTTCATTCAGCCTGCCCTGAATGGTGGATATCGAGCCGGCCGCCAATTAAAGTTCCGCTGGTGGTCATTCAGCTTCCAGTCGATTTTCAGCGCCCACTGTGGAGGTCGCTCAACTCGGCCGGAAACGCTTCTCAGTGTTCCACCTGGGTGTTAGAGAGATCCCTTGGGACACGCGGCGATACCATGGACGGACGAGTGCGCGAGGCTCGAGTCGTGGACTCGATTTCGACCTCGGCTTCCGAGATTTGGACCTTCAAGTCGGCTCGAGGCGCCATGGCTGACCTCTTGAGAGCACGCCGTTGGACTTCCGAAGATTAAATGGCGGTTGTTTGACTACCGTCACTAAGTGGACCGACGTATTTCGATGGGGATCGGCGACGAGGTGCTCTCAGGAATTGACTCACGGCGGATTATCTCGGGCGCCGATGGAAACGAGACCTCACGACTCGCAGCGCGCGAGGCCCTCGACGACCGTCGAGCGAGCTTATCCTAAGTGCTAGATTATTTAAGAGCCGCGAAGATGGCAACGCGTCGCCACCGGCCCGGTGCCATCTTCGAGCTCCGTTCCGTCATCCACATGTGATCGTGGAGCCCGAAACGATCGGAAAGAGTTGCTTGCGATCGAGGAAGCGTACTCGAAAGCTGCGATCACGCGAGCGGTCCGCAAGGGCCTGCGCCCTCCGATGCTGCGAACCGTCAGAAAATGTGTCTTCCAAACTAGCGAATGGGTTTTCCAACTAGTACCGAATTGATCACGATAGTTACCCACTGCTTGTAAATATCTCTTCTAGAACCACACTCGTAGTTATTGCGACGTCATGAGCTGCCCGTCTAGTGCCACTAACTAACCGTAACTACTTACCGTATATATACATATATCTATATACTGCATAGAAACGCCCAACGCCCCAACTCCCGGCTGGGTTTGTGAATCTCATGGACCTCATTAAAGGGGCGAACACGAATCCCATCCTTGCTCGAGTCCAGATTGCCGGATACTTTGCGAGGGAATCGGTATCTGCATACGAACGAGGACATACGGAGAGCCGGGTATCGCACCTACGGAGGAAGGAAAATTAGTCCTCGGGTGATATCTTCGGGTAGTCCCTATCTTTCTCCGGCAATGCGCCGACGGAAGCGACGCAGCCATTGCCCGGTGGATCCTTTGCTCGTCCCCGGAGGCAATCTAAGGGCCGGGGCCAGCAAGGACGCGATACCTAATTCATAAGCCATGCCAAGAGTCTCGACGGCCACGTACTAACTAACACATTTGGGAGACATATTTTCTGATCAGTCACGTGCCAGTCTTCCTCTCCCTCTTTTCCGTCCATCTTCCTGCAGTAACCCTCCACGTCTGTGTCGTTCATCCGCCCACAAATTCCTGGACGCGGTTCCTGGAGATGCCGCGAGGACGACCTTCCGCTCTAGAAGATTATATGGGAAATCAAATCCCCTCTACACTCTGGAAGTGAATTTCCGGGTGGCGTTACCTCGACGCCATCTTGGATTCCTCCGAGTCTTCCCTGCACCGAGAGAGAAGAATCTCATTGAACCAAAGAAATATTCCGTCAACTCGAAGAATAATTATTTATCCCGAGGATGTCGGATGCAACATTTATTCGGGATTATGACGATTTCGGTGAAATTATTATCCTTGGAACTGATGCGACATTTCTTTGGTTCGATGCATTTTCTTTTTCTTTTTCTCAGGGTGGGAGTTCACCGATTCGGGTGTATTGTACGAGTTCAATCTCTCTCTCTCTTTCTCTCGTTCTCGGGAAGTGGAGGAGAAAACGGGAAAGAGGTAAATTGGGTTCTCTTAGGCATCTCTTGGAACGGCTCGCGACCGGCAGCGCGCGAAGCGTCGACGCGTGTGGGTGACGAGGTTCGATGAGATGTAAGAGGCGGGCTAAATAGACGATGTCGATGCGAGCGCCCCTTTAATGGCTGGTGGTTGGTTTTGGCAGCCCAGTGGAGCATGGAGCGGGGATGGGCATCCACGCGAGCATAATCCATCACGGTGTGGGAAGTAGCGCGGGGGCCGGGGTCGGGGCTGGAGGCGGTGGGGGATCAGTAGGGGGGGCGGCCGCTCCGCCGAACACCAACACTGCCTCCAATGCCTCCTCGCCTCAGCAAGAACCCACTTATGTTAATCTCTAGTCAAGCCTATCGCCTCCCTTCTACTGCAACACTTCTTCTTAAACAGTGGTCAGTCCCGACTTAAAACCTACGGGCTCGCTAGCTCTCACTGATGCAAAGTGCGGTCCTAGGGTCCCTAAATGCGGGATCCGCGATTCCTCCTCTCGGCGCCGGAGTTACCAGACCGCGAGGAGACGAAGGAGAAGAGAAACGGTCGCGGGTGTACCACACCGAGGAAAAAAAAAATGGTTGACCCAGAGAAACGTACATTCTTGAGATATAAAATCCAGCGTCCAAACGATCAAGTACAAAGAAAATAATTCTTGCTTCGGTCAACTAATTTTTTTTTTTTCCTCGGTGCTGGGGTCGTTTCGATTATTGTTAGGGCCCCCGGGCGGATGGCATAGTGAGCAGCCGAGTGACGCCCTAATGCTCGCATTGTTTCTCATTGTTGTGGCTCTGTACAGCTTATTATTCTTATTATTTATCCTGGTTTAGTTACACGTTACTATCTGCTCAGTGTTACCCTTTAGCATGGCCATCGACGAGGTTGCGCGTGTACCCACGTGTATACGCGTAACCGACCTTTTCGGTTCAGATCGTTACCGTACATTTTACAGTTGATAGAGTTATTTCTGAGTTTAGCATGGCAGTTTCTACGTACATGTCTTTACATATAATTATATATATATGTATATTTATATATACTATATTTATACGGTTACGAGATGTGTGGTACCGGTATATTATATATGTATTTAGTATCTAATATTATATTATATATTATGATGTTATAGTGTGCGTAACACCTCGCAGCACGACGCGACACTGTTGGAGCTTGCGCGATGGACCGTCGGGCGTCTCTAGTGTCGCTCACTCGCTCTCTCTCTTTCTCTTTTTATTTTTATTTTCTTTTATTCGTATTCTATTTCATTGTCTCTATGTTTTATTTCGTTCTCTCGTGCCCTTCGCCTCGCGCCGGGTTATCCGCCGTTATTCATCGACTGTTGTACCCGTTCACGCCTAGAATATCCAAAACTAAATGGTCCGACGTCGACGAGGTACCACGGAGTCGTAACGGGAAATACGACGCCATCTTTGGCGGTTCTTGTATCGCAATTTCCACGTTTAGTGCTCGATGATGCGTTTGACGGTATCACCAAGCGTGCCTGTTGCTGTATAACCGCTTCGGTATTACTGGTATTACTGACGATCTAGCTGAGAGATTAATAATGAGAGCCAATGGCAGAGCGGTAAATGTCTCGACTGCAGTGCTGCAAGTATCGCGTTGTGCCCTCTAGGTTAATCGCTCGGTCCCTGGAGATGGAAAAAAAAAATATGATGGATGGGAAAGAGACACATTAACGACTTCGCGATATTTCGAAGCCGCGGTGGATCTTCGTCCTTTTTGGTTCCGGAACGCCGGAGGCAGTGGACGACTTTCCACCCGGACGTCCCATGGAATTAGAGATAAGGGGTGATAACGGGCGGGACAATTACCCTTATCGCTAAGCCCGTGGACGTACACTCGGTTGAGGCCTAAACCACCCCAAGTGAAACAGCTCGTACCTTCGTTAACGTCTTTAACGTAATTAACATCGTTTCGAGGGAGAATGACTACATGCGACCTGTAGTGCGCGCTACGCGAGAAAAAATTCATTTATCGGATTAATATCCTATAGGTATTTATGGCTCGGTTTACGAGCTTGAAAAATCTCGTTCGGAGACGAGGAAGGGGAGTGCACGAACCGTCTCGAGGATTTCGTTCTTCAAGGACTGTTTCACTTGGCCTCCCACTCTACTGCGAGAACTCGACGCCTCGACATGTACCGATTTTGTTTCGACCTTTGGTTTTCCCGTGTCCATGTTATGCTTGTTCCGTCTTAACTTTGAAGCATGGCATTTGCAGCGTGTGACCGTCGAATGTCGAGGGAGGCCCCGCCCGACTGCGTCGGGAAATTCGAGGAGAGAAAATACAGGGACGCTTCGAGAACGCTCGCGTCGAGCGCGGCCTCGCGGCGGCAGCGAGTGAACGCATGCACTTTTAGTTACAAACGTATAACACCTAGCCGTAAAACCGGAGCGTTGTGGGGACCGGGACCCCTTGAGTCAGGGATGACCTCTCCTCGACCTGGCCTTCGACCTGGAGCTTTGTATCAATTTGTATTAAGAGGAGACCGCGAGACTCGAGGGGTCGCGACCCGCCGTCGCTGAACGACCTCCTTGGACCGACGTCCGACTGACCCTAACTCGTTGTTTCCAGACGTAAGAAGAAATGTATCAGGTACATGGGGGAGGGAGGAGATGGAGACGGCGAGGCCGACGGAGAGGGCGAGGACGACCACTCGGAGGACAACCTCGGCAGCGTGGGGGAGGCAGGCACTCCCGAGGAAGACGAGTCGCTGAGCAGTCCCGGAGGTCTGTCGGCGCTGTCCAGCCTGGCGAGTCCGTCTCTGGTGCTGCCGTCGCCCTCCAGCTTGGCCAGCCCCTGCCCCTGCCCCCTGACGCCCCCGGTGCCCCCGCCGCCCCTGGGGGCCGGCTCGGCGCAGCCCACGCCGCCCCCGCCGCACCGCAACCCGGTCGGAACCAACCCCCACGACATCAACAACCCCCTCAGCGTTAACCAGCTGACCGGACAGTGCATTAAGAGCGACGTGGGCCCGGCGCCCTCGGGCCCCTCCAACCCTGCGATCAGCGTCACGTAGCCCCACGGGGCAACCCCACGTGGCAAGACTCTGACGCTCGGGGTCTTCGGGGTTCGACTACGCAGGGCGCCCTCGGACTCGCTGGACAGTCGCCGCACCTAGGGCGAGACTGGGAGCCGGGGTGGTTAGATGGACGGGGCTTCCTGGGGTGGGGGGATCGTCGGACAGGGGGTCCGACAGGGCCCATGGGTCCCTGAAGGGAGCCAAACAAGATCGGTCGGGTCCGTTGCGTTCAATTCCGGTGATTTTTTTTCCGGCGTTTTGTTCCTCCCGTTCGCGACTTCCCGGGTACACTGGCCGCGGGAGGTCGGGTTCCGAGAGGGAGGCGACGGTGGCTCGGAGATGGCGGACCGGTCGATCAGGGGTAGAGTCGGGTATGGTGGTAAGATCTAGGAAGGTGGAAAATTATCGCCTCGATACGCCCTTAGGCTCGTTACCTTATGACGCGGGTAGTTAAAGATGGGTAATCGTTGTCCTCGAGAGAGCAGACTGTTTGAATTCCAAGTTTTAGAATTTATCGACGAGCGTTGCTGGCGAGGGATTTATCGTCCTAGACTCGCCGAGCCACCGTCGAGGTCTCGAGGCATCTCGCGCTATGATGCGTTTAGCAGGGAAGATTGCGTTCTTTGAGTCAACCGTGTCCTTGATCATCTCAAAAATCAGCTTAGAAGCCATCTCTGCGAAAACTGCGATCATCGGACCGAACGTGCTCCGGATGGGACGAGGTCGACCGACCCTGAAGGGATCCGTAGACCAATCCACGTAGGCTGGTTGCCGACCCGACCAGCGCACCCATGGAACCAGCATGGACACCGAGTTCCGGCGGAAGTCGACCCTGCCAACCGGAAGCCAGCTCGCGAGGCCAACCCTGTCGCCAGGTGATGGCTGGTCCCGTAGATGGGTAACTCGCGGGGCCGGCCCACGGACACCTCCTCTCGGGGGTCTTTGAAATCCGCGATGGGACCGCTCTCCGGTGCCCATCGACCCCTTTAACCAGGAGGCCGAGACGCCGTGGGTGGACCGAGGCCGAAGAGGAACCGGGCTCCGGTGTGCGGAGGAGGCTGGACACCCCATCCTGACGATGGGATCCGTCCGTGGGGTCGGTAGGGATCCAAGAAGACGACCAAGCCGAGGTGAGTTCGGCCTCGCTCCGTGGAAGAGGCGACGAACGCGCGATTCGTCCGCGAGAAGACGATGCGAAAATACTCAGGACCAAGTGTCTGGCTGCTGTCACTCACTCGAAAGGGGATGCAAGCACTCTCGTCTGCCGAGATCGACCTTTGACCCTTCACTGGGGATGGACCGGTGAGCAAAGGTGCGGTCAGGACCGACTAGGTGAAGTGCGCGTGACCGCAGCTCGTAGTCCTTGTTACGTTGTGATGCCAATGACTGAGAGGTCATGTTCCTGTGCCAGGTACTATATTCTATAAATGATTATATCTCGCAGACGTAGCTAAAGAGTTAAGTGATAGCGTTTATTATATTCATTCTCATTTGTATTCTCGACGTCACGTGTCAAAGTACCCACGCGCCCAGGCCCCTCTCTTCCTTCCCTGCTCTCCTACCCTCCCCCCGTTCCCTGTATGTAATTTGTTATTTTTTTAAAAGTCTATACACATTGCCGATTAAGTAGAGCGTAAGGCCCTCTTTAGTGCGACGTCGTTACTTTTTAGGGCGCGACCGGAACGAACGTTCGCCGCCCTGCAATGTACCCTGCCAAATTGTCCTGATCCTCGAACTGCGACCCCTGGCTCCTCGTTGCCGACCCGATAAGCATGTTCGCCGATTGGCAGGTTCGTTTCTCGGTTTTTAATAAACCTCGGTGACCTTGTACGTGGATCCTCGTGATACTAAATGAGGCTCGTCGATCTCGAGACGAGACGTGCCTCGGTCTTCAACCTTCTCCCCGAGTTTCGCTGCGCGTTGTCCGATTAAATTAATTCGAACGACCCGATCGGTGCTTCTTACATTTTACTCCTAATTGGGAGCTGCTTGTCAAACCTATGTATGATATTTAAATTGATCTTCGAACCGCGCAGCGTCACTCGTTCACCTTGCGCTTCCAACCGAATGGAGAGCGAGGCACTTCGCTGATCTCTGACATCTTAAAAATTTCAAATGTCTCTTATGTTTCTTTAACTATATTCCCTGATTTTCTATCCATTTCACGGACATCCACGTTCCAGTTGTCGAGCGGTTCGGACTTGCCTGAGCTAGGAATGCCAGAGGAAATCAGAACTGGACACCGATTTTCCCTAACCTGAATCCGCTTAAACTCGTAACGTTAATTGATATTTCACTGATAATACTTAACACTTCTGGTCAATGTTTATCCCTAATTTGGGCGACTTTCTGGCATTCCTGAGACTATAATTATTGATCTCGGGCCGGTATCGGGGGAGCTTTTCTCGTCTCTTGTATTTCGACCGTGCCAATCCGCAGCATCCGAAAAACATGGATTTTCGGGCATGTTCAATTGAGTTTGTATAGAGACATAGCAGTATCGGATTGCTCGCAGAGTCTTCCACCAGCGCGCGTGCTGCTTCCTTTAGCAATAATTAGGAAACGCGAAAACGCGAACATTTCCGCGTAGAGCGATCGACCTCCTTGGTTCGCGACTTTGATCTCCGCAGACCCGGGCACCTACTCGAAATAGTTTTAGCCAAGATCTTCTGGGAGTCGATATCGGTGGTAATCCGTTAATCGGTTGTTAAAAGAGCCACGGCAACGCGCGCTGCCAAATGTAGAGCCACGTTAGCCGATAAAAAATTGTACTCGTAGTTAAGTCAATTCTGTATGAAGTTATTCCAAGTAGATGCCCAGATCTGGATCTCCGGTGGGTCGCCACAATATTTAACGGTCCCTTTATCAATAATTTCCCCTTCCTGCGATCTTTTGTCCCGAGGACTGCCAAGACGAGGAAGCTGCGAGTGATCTCTTGCTGATCGAGAAATTCTCACGGCCCCCAACTACGTTTCTTCCCTCCTCCTTCTTCTTTTTTCTTCCCCCCCCCCTTTTTTTTTTCATTCGTTTCCATCGCGTTTAATTGCATGACCTTTCGGTGCAATCTATTTTACCATTTTACCAACCAAAAATGCAATAGGAATCTTATAACGATTGTTTGAGCGTTCATTTTTAGGAAGCAGCTAATTGTACATAATGAGTAAATACGTTTAAGGTGCATTTATTGTGAAGATGGGAAAGTGCAATGGAGGATTTTAATATCGAGGACAAATTGTATACGCTAATACGAATCGGAGGTGCGAGAGAGAGAGAGAAAGTGTGCGAATGAGAGATAGTCATGAGTGTGTATAGCGAGCGGAAGGCATCTCGACTGAAGAAAAAAAAAAAATCTATTGTCTGTATAGCGATCCCACGTAACCGCTGTAAACGCGTCACTGAATAGTAAACTAAACGTGCCATACGAACATCATGCCAATATTATTAATAATACATATTTTTTACATTGTTCTCCGTTCATCCCCGTTCCGCCTGCGAAACGCGAGAACGCGAAGTCGGCCGAGATTGAGGGAAATGCGAGCGAATTAGAAAGAGAAATGTGTACGGGTGGAAGTTAATCGAAGTGCGCATTTTCGGCTTGCCAAATTGTCGATGACTCTTAATAGCGCGTTAATTTCGAACTCGGAGTTCATTCGGGAGATTATCGAGGGTGGGAAAAAATGTGCACTTCAAGTTGTCGTTTTTTTGCGCGCGCGGATACGTCGAGGTCGGAGAATTTGCGTTGAATTTGCGTTGAATTTGCCGCCGCCATCTTGTTTCTTTGCTCCCTTCCGATGTCGCGTCGACGTATCCACGCTTGCACGGGTTTTGTCGCGTTGGAGCGAGTTTTGACCGACGTAGCCACAAAAGACTAAGCTGTATGAAATATGTAATTGTATCGATGACTGCTGTAACGCTCTGTGGTACACGAAAAGGGGACACACCCGGGTAGGGCCGGACCCCTACGCCGTGCACGAGGGCCGAACACTTTTCGAGGACGAGGTTTCCTGCCTGTGCCACTTTGCAATCTTTCAACACTCCTCGACGACGAGACGGCATCGATGCGGACCAGTTCAGCAGAGAGAAGCCGAGCTTTGTGTCGTCCGGGAACTGGAAACGTCTTCTCCGATAAAGAATGACCTACCGAAATGGATCTAAGAGGACCGAGCGACAAAATGGCGGAGATAAAACCTCGCTCCATGGAATGAAATATTTAAAGTACAAGCTCGAGCCCTCCGCGCGATTTAGTTGAATTTATACGCACTTTTAACACGTTTATGATTACTTTGCATGTCGAGTTTTAGCGGCAGGAATTTATTCAAGTTCAGTTCGTTGTTATTCGGGCGATCTTTTAATTAGACTTAATTAAGGGCGCTGGGGAAGGAGAGATTCTGGTTTTCTTTTTTTATTTTTGTACGTCGTCTGCAATTTTTGGTTTTTAGTTTGATGGGGGAATGGAACAAGCATGACCGAACAGTGGGCAAAAAGGTGCGGCTTCTCTCCACTGAATACGAAACTCTCGTAGATCGGATTCGTCTCGCTCCCAGGAGTGACTGTATCATATGTAAAGTATCCGACAGTTCAGCTGCGTTGTACAGTGTTTTCTAAGTATCTAGTTTATAGTGTGTAATTGAAATGCATTGTATTTACACTGATAAGTGATCTGTATCAAATTCAATCTCGTATAGCCTGTACTCCTACTCATGTAGATGCTAAAAGTGATTTGTGTCATAAAACTATAAATAAAATTAGCAATTTGAGAATGTTGGTCAACGCCTCGTGCTTTTGTTCATTTTCGTGTTGCACGAACCTTTTCAGGTTGCGATTTAAAAAATAGTAAGTAGGATACAGCATTTACGATATTATTTAATCATGTCTTTAAAAGTACTTTATGTGAGCTGTTTTTTTTTTTCCTTGTGTGTATTATTCCGACGTAGTTGCATGGTGCTGGTTTTTTATTTGACTGGTTTCAAATTTTCCCGCGGCCAAGACGAACGCAAGATGGCCGCCATCTCCCACCACGAATTCGGTACTGCTGTTTTCACGGAGCGACAGGAACACGTCGCTGTAGGCAGGGAAAGAGGTCGTCGCTTTCATGAGAATATGGATTTGAAGGTTCTCTAAAGTCTCTAAAAACCGGTCTTTGATTGGCCACTGTCGTTCCGCTCCTCCAATGAAAACGACGGTCGGCTTTCCATTGGCGGTTCTTCTTTTTGGGCGTTTTGTAACGTCCTTCATGCTATTGAAAACGGAGCAGTTGCCTAGTGCTGCCTAGTGGGTGCTATTGGAGACGCGATCGACGGCAAAGTTTACGTATGTGTGGTCGGTTTACGGGAACGGGCCACAATTAAAAGTAAATAAGGCAGACCATGATATTGTGGAGTGTAATGTGACACATTTTATTATTTTCTTCAAGGTACGGGCATAACAGAGTTGGCAAAGTGACTTTTCCGCCTTTCCTGCAAGTAACCGCCAAAACTAGGCTCCGAGACGCCATCTTAAGCACTTTTGTTGACAATATAATTAGATTATATTGTCGTTCAAAATTTTTTCGTGATAATTTGAAACTACGCGCGTCTTGATTAGGCTCTTTGTAAATATTCCAAGTTTTGGTGTTATTTTCGCATGGAATTATCCAACGGTTTCTCCGTTTCAAATTTAATGTTGCACTTTTTGTATGCAGTTGCCTGTATACTATTGTCTATACGCTTGTTTGCACTTGATTTAAATGAGTTTCGTAAGATAAACGACGGTTTTTTCAGGTACGTTAATAAAGAGGATCCACTATGTTTTATGCACACTTTGTGTTGGCCAAGAAAGGGCCTCTGGCCCGTATTTGGCTAGCGGCACACTGGGATAAAAAGCTGACGAAGGCCCATGTTTTTGAAACTAATATTGAGAAGTCCGTCGATGGAATTCTACAGCCAAAGGTAAGAGTATTAAAAAAAGTAATGTATTTTATAAAACTACTGGGCTGAATTTCAAACATACGTGACCATTGTTTCTTAGGTTAAAATGGCCCTGAGGACATCGGGCCACCTTCTCTTAGGAGTCGTCAGAATATATTCGAGAAAAGCCAAGTACCTCTTGGCGGACTGCAATGAAGCTTTTGTTAAAATCAAAATGGCATTTCGGCCAGGCATGGTCGATTTGCCGGAAGAACACAGAGAAGCTGCTGTTAATGCTATTACATTACCTGAGGTGTTTCATGATTTTGACACCGCTATGCCAGAGCTCAAGTATGTACTATTCTTTCATTGTTTATAATTATGTGAAGAAACCCTACATTAACTATATCGTTTGTTTTGTAACTCTTGCAGAGATGTTGACATTGAGGCCCAATTTAGTTTAAACCAATCTAGAGCCGAGGAAATAACAATGAGAGAAGACTATGGTACCCTTTCCTTGGTAACTCATGATCAAGGATTTGGCGATATGAGTTTTGATGCTGAACCTCCAGAATTATTAAGGCATGCTGGTACGATGGAGCCATCGTTAGACCAGGTACACGATGATATCCATGTAACGATTCAATATATTTTATTTTCTCTGTTTCTTAATGTATAAAGATTGACACTTATTTTTAGAGTCATATGTTATTCAGTGATGGACCTGGAATAGAAGCAGCATTAGAACAAAAAGAAAAAGAACCCATTGCCGGGACGTCGACTACTGCTCAAGCAATGGATATAGATACACCTATAAGAGACGATGGGTTTGGTGGTCACCTAGGTCAAGATATTATATGTACGTGTCTCGTCGGTACTTCCTGTAAGCAGAGTATTTATTGGGTATATATGAAATTTCTTTTTTAGCTGGAGGATTATTTGAAGGAGGTCTTTTTGACGAGGCACCGATGGGAGAAGTCCCAGTGCCTGAGGTTAGCAGTATTAGCGAACAGCAGGAAGCTGCAGCTTCTGCTGGCGTTGCTCCCTCTGTTCATGAAGAATCGGATGAGGATTTAGGTGATCACTTTGGAGGGCCTGCGTCTCCGATGGGTGGAATGAGGTATCTACGGATTTTATTCTCCTATCACATTTACTCAGTCTGCATTCTACGGTACTGCAACCAAAATATTTCTCATAATTTAGCAGTAGTGGGGGCTCCAGACCTGCCACGCCAGTAGCAACCGGAGAGGAGATCGAGGGTCGAGTGAGCGTAGCTAGTCGTAGGTTCACTCCAGCACCACCAATACCTGAAGAGCATCCAATGGACGCTATCGAGGAGCCACCTCCGTTGCAAGATCAGACTACGTTGCTCCACGATGAAGAAGAGAGTTTTGCGCTTGCACCTGTTGATGCTTCTGCGTTGAAAGGTACTATATTGAATTTTATTGGTTCTAACAGAATGTTTTTGCACGGTGCAAAAATTTATTGTGTACATTTATCGTTCTGTCCTAGGATTCACAAAGGCAAAGCGCAAGAGGAAATTGATAGTCGATGAGGTGAAAAACATATCAGGTGAAGAAATGAAGGCGCAGTTATCCGACACAAGTGACATCGTGACGACATTAGATCTAGCGCCACCAACGAAAAGATTAATGCATTGGAAGGAGACTGGAGGTGTCGAAAAATTGTTCGCCCTTCCTGGAAGACCAATCCCGGCGCGTGCGTTGTTCAAGGTATGGTTTAACGTGATAATCAACGTTGTCGAGTTGCCTTTGATTATCTAAAAACGTATCTGGTTTTCCGACTTCAGAATTATCAACGACACTTGACCAGTAAGTCGTACGATCATGAAGATTTTGGTCGGTTGGGTGTCGAAGAGGATGGAATGGCATTGGAACAGATGAGGGACGCAGAGCCAGAAGCTGCTTTTGAACCTAGTTTACTCAGTAAACGAATGAGTCGTAAGCGTAAGACGCCATTAGACGAGGAGGTAAGTCTGCGGATATTCTGCAATCCTTTCCATACTTTTTTTTCATTAAGTTCAGAATATTTAATAGCATAATTCTTTATTCAGCCCAAGGCAGCAGCAGACGTCAGTGAACCCTCCTTGACTGTCGAAGCCGTTGAACCCCCAAGTGTGATCCCACCAGTACCTGCCCCAACCCCGGAGGGTCCTCCTATCCCTGCGGAAGTAACGTTACCTTCGGAAACCTCGGTTCCCGACATCAGTACTATGCTACCCTCTGTGGAATCCACGGAAATAATGGGCGTGCCACCAGAAACACCTTCGATGAGCATAGAAATGCCACAAATCCCACCGGCTGAAGTGAGTTCCATTCTTGGCACTGCGGAAGAGGAACCACCTTTGCCTCCAGTTATTCCCCAACCGGAAGAGATTATCACTCCACAGCCTGCGGAGATGCCACAAATGGAAAATATGGGATACGATCAGGTACGGAAGCTGTCAATTTAGATTTTATGTATTTACTTGGAATTGATCTAGCGTTCAACTGTCATTCATTTGTACCTTTCCAGACACAACCTCCTGTCTCTTACATGGGCTACGATGAGCAGCATCCTCCAGCTCATACACCTGGTGCTGTCTCCGAAAGAGGGCCAGCGACTCCTTGGAACCACGAAGACTATGAGTTCCCTCCTTCGGTTGGACCGGTATGTTTTAATGTAGAAATTTAATTTCATAACATCTCTGGGTATTGTTTATCTTGTCAACATTTTCTTTTTTGTCATTTTAGCAAGAGGAGCAACAGGTGGACGAGACCTATGAGCAGTTTGAGGAGCGCGTGCTGAACAAACGGGCTGCGCACATGTATCACGTTATTAAAAATAAATTGGACACCAAAGATAGGTTGACCCTTTCAGAAATGGCATACAAAAACAATCGGAAGCAGGTATTTACTGTCGTCACTGGTATTACAAAGACCTTGGGGATAATTTAAATTTGGGCTTTAAAATAATCACCTTCGTTCTAATTTTTTTAGGTGGCGCAGAAATTCTATACACTACTAGTCCTTAAGAAATTCCAAGTATTGGAGCTGAGCCAGGAATATTCATACGCCGAAATCTTCGTTACCAAAGGCCCAAAATTCGACAATCCAGCGTTGTGAAGAGCCGACTCTTCGTCTTTCGCTCGTATTCAGTTGTAAACTGGCTCGCGTCATCGGAATTACGTTTACTATTTCTTCGCAAGAAAATAATTGATACGGACTTGAAAGTCTATTTTAAACGACATCGGTATTATACCGTCATGTCGAATGTGTCTTTCGAATCGCGTTCAACATAAAGATCGGACTTATAAATATTTATTACGTTGTTCTCACATCATTTAACAGAAAGAAAGAAAAAAAAAAACTACTTAGGGTTAAGGGAGAGTATATTTCTACATTTCATTGATCAGCGAAGCATTCGCGTAATTACGTTCGGTTTAGAGATTAGACGATAATGTTCGAGACCTTTTTCAGATAGTATGCGAAAATGACCTACAGATAGAGTAAGACCTTTTTTATTCAGGACTGCCGGCGCATGGTTTTTTAAATAACCGCTAGTAGAATAGGGAATACATATCACATCTCTCGACTCTATTGCAGTTAATACCTTGCAATAAAAAATAGAAAATTGTGTACTTCCATTAACGAGATTCGGTTGTACGATTTTGATATGGCAGTTATCTTTTCAAATTCCGTTTTTCATACATTGTATGTACTCCTCAGTGTAGGATTTTCGATAAGGTCTTGCAATGGTCTGGCGATTATTTTTGCGCTATCCTTGATATAATTAGAACTTTAAATTACTCTGCCTTATTAGTTGTACGAGTCTGCAAATCTCTTTGCAGAGGTGATATGTATTCTATTAAAATGCATATTCGATCAGATGGGCGTGTAAAAAAAAGTTAAATCATTGCGCTTGATTTGTTTTCGAGCTCCATTGAATAAATGACATCGTTAAATTTGAATGACCTTAAAAATTGAATTTATATCGATGATACACACTGTATTTCCCTAGTATGGTATCAAAATCAGTAAATGTAATATATTATATAATAAAACAAAATACTTATAATATCGCTTTATAATTACCGGTTATCAATTTCTTGCAATCGTTTATTTTATACGATGCGTTTTTCATTAATATACGGAAACAAAAATGGGATTCCAGACATGGTACTAAATAAAATGAAAAAGCTTTATTTGAAGTACTCGCGACGGTACACATTTACTGCGGTATACGCGCAGTTGTACTTTCATTAATTTATGCGAACATTAATACAATGATGTAAAAATTTATTTAATGTATCATTAATCATACGTTTTGTTTAGCTTTAACCGTGTTAATGAAAGACGAACGCCCTCGTACCAGACTTTCGTTCAATGGAAATATCAACACGTGAACGGAAAATAGCACAAAATTAGTGTTTGTTTAATCTAATTCTCCTGCAGCCATGGCGTCTTGATAGGATTTATCCTTTGGACGTTCAGGATCTAGCTTGATCATGTCATCGATTCGCAGGATGGTAATAGCCGCTTCGGTGGCAAATTTCAATGATTTGATTTTGGAAATAGCAGGCTCCAACACTCCGGCTGTCTTGTTATCTCTGACAGTTCCTTCTGTCAAGTCTAGTCCAACCCTGTATAACAAATATATAATACATATTTAAATTGTTTCTTCACAATCTTAAGGTGCTAATTAACGTCTATCCATTGGTATAGGCGATACGTACCATTTGAGATACGCATGATCAGGTTTCGTTTGGCTGGAGTTGTGATAAGCCCTTAATTTAGCGACAAGATCGGTTGCGTCTTGAGCCGCATTAACAGCTAATGTTTTCGGTATCACCAACAGTGATTTTGCAAATTCTGCAATAGCCAGCTGCTCCCTGGAACTCTGAAAATTATAAGAATAACACATGAAGTTAAAGTTACCTAAAGGTAATTTTGCTTAAGACATTAAATAAATAGAAATGGAGTCTTAGATTTACCAAAAACGTGGCGAATGTCTCTAGATATATTGATAGCGCTGCTTCAACACATCCACCACCAGCCACTATGCGTTTGCTTTCCAAAACTCGCTTCACCATGCACAGAGCATCGTGCACCGATCGCTCCATCTCATCACAATAATAATCATTCGGTCCACGTAAGATAATAGAACTGGCTGTCCTTGCTTTAGGCCTGATATTAAAAATATAATATTATTTATACCTTTATTTCAGTTCAGTTAATGAACATTATTGAAAATCTAGAAATTACCCCTTAATCAAGATGAGTTCATCGTCACAGACCATTTCTTGAACTACCTCTGCAGCTTCACCTAGATTATTAGCATCGAAGCTTTCCTCGCCCTCCATGTTCGATAGGGATGTAACGAAATGCGCACCCGTTGCCTTGGCGATCCTTTTCAGATCGACTTTCTTACATCTGCGAACGGCCATTGCTCCAGCTTCGACGAAATACTAAATATAAGAGTGCATAAATGTTAGTATCATGGAAATTGTTACTACTCAAGTTTGTTGCAATTTTAATAAACAATCTTGCAACACTCTTGCAAGACTAGTATGTATATACCTTAAGACATAAATCGTCGATTCCACCACTGACGAGAATTACATTAGCTCCGACGGACAAAATTTTCTGAATACGTTCTTTTGTAATATCGCACTCGCGTTGACGGACACCTTCAAGTTTTTCTGGATCCGTAATAAGAACCTCGACTCCCAACTTCATCTTGGCTTTTTGCAAGGGAAAGTCCAAACAAGCGATCTTTGCATTTGTGATCTTTTTGACCATTGCCTGAGAAGCTACGGTACAATTCAATGCATAGCCATGCACCAAGATTGATTCTCGAGCACTTTTTCCATGAGCCTTTAATACATTCACTGCTTTAATTGGATATATGACTCCTCCTTTAACGTCGTTGATCTTGACGGCATTGGCAGCATCAACAACCATTTCAGAAAAAAAATCAGCATCTCTATTTATCAATAAGGAAAATAATACCTGTGGCAAATGGCATATCTTTCCCTATTAATTCAGTTAAACATAATGTATTATAAAAGGATACGCTCCAATGATTTTACTTGACATTGCAGTTTTTGCTACATTAACTAAGCAATCTCTTCCCAATTCGGTCGAACTGACAGTTAAATGTTGCTGAATATACTTGCAGGCCTCCCTAAAACAGAAAGATCAATATTAATACCACTAAGTTACAGAATCGATGTACTTTGGTGAAGCGCTTACTTGCAAGCAAGCCTATAACCACTAATAACCGATGTAGGATGAATTTTCTGTTTGACAAGCTCATCTGCATTTTTTAGTAGCTCTGCAGCCAGGATAACCTAAGAGTATGAACGGTGCTTAAATTCACATATTCCTATGTAGCACATAACAAATATATTTAATAAGACGTACCACAGAAGTTGTACCGTCACCAACTTCGTCGTCTTGTAGCTGAGCTAATTCTACTAAAACACGAGCTGCTGGGTGTTCAACCTCTAACAATTGCAGTATCGTCGCACCATCATTCGTCACGGTAACATCCTAAGAAAATATCAGCATCGTAAGAATGCGAAGAATATTGATTTCGCATGTGGTAAAAAAGCTAGCGATGCTTACTCCGATGTCATCCACCATCATTTTATCCAGACCAACTGGACCTAGAGAGCTTTTCACAATGTTTGCAATCGCACAGGCTGCCATAACTAAAAAGTGCACGTGGATAAATTTTTTAATATTAGATCCTGCTAACTACAGGAGTAAAGAATCAACTCCACTCCTTCCGTCCTACATGACACCGGTAAACGACGCAATGTGTTATATGCGATTGCTGACTGCCCCTCAATTTTAACAAGAAAATACGTACCATTTTGTGTGCGGACGGGAGCGCCAGATTGCCGACTGCCTCCAACGGCCAACGGGCTTGCTAATGTCGACATTATTTTACTAAAAGACCAATTCTTTCGGATAACGAATCTTCTCGATGAAAAAGAACACTGCCGTAAAAGGAAAAGGTCTACGGAAACCGCGTGTGGGGAAACTCGAGGATGTTCCTATAATAACATGAACTAAGAATATTCAAGATCGGTAACCATAGCGAGGATGGTGAATTCGAACACTTTGAACGTAGAACCGGCCCCTCCCTAAAATCCCTAAAATAGTAATACTCTATGCAGAGATGAGTTGGGCCGCCATGAGTGGCATCAGCTGACAAGTGCGCGAGCTGCTCGCATTCTCCACCGAGGATAGAACGCGATCGTGCGACCCAGCCCATGAGCAATTTCCCAACTCATCTCCGAACTTAACGTGTGTGCGAAAGTTGCCGGCATTTTCAAGGGTGTTAAGATAGGTTATGTGTAGCCGGTACATTTTAATTTTCATTTCTCGTTAGTCATAAACGAAAGCGAAATGTGAAGTCTTGATCATCAGTGCACGAGTTGATGGAGTATTTACAGTGGGCATATAGATGGCTGTGAATGATCGTCTAAAGGAAGAAGTGCAGAAAGAGTAACTTTGAGGTTGAATCGTCTACGATCATGTTGAACGGAGAAAAAGCAGGATGCAAGGAGTTGCTGGCAAAGAGGATCCTTGCGGCTATCATCTCGAGCATAATCCTGCAATTTTTCTTCACGACCTGCGTAATTCTGATAACGAACCTCAGTATCGTGCACCCACTTTCTTGGTTAAGAGATACCTGGGGGATCATCACACGCTTCGAAACATGGAGTTACTATTTGGCTCTCGCAGTGATAATATTTCTCCAAGGAGCAATATGTAGCAGGAATTACCTTAACGCCCCTCCATGCCTGAACAGTAGATTTGCAATTCTATGTAACATTTTTATGCCTCGCAATCTCGTTATGGGGTCGTTGTACATGGTCATCGGCTCTACTCTAGTTTGGCTACATTTGTCCTTGGAAGACGGAAGGTACGGGGCTCTAACTAGAAGCTGTGACATAAAAGAAGGCTCGTGTCTAGTCGAGGAGCACTACTTTCTTTTACTGGGAGGAATGTGGGCTGGGATATACTTCTTCTTAAAGACGAACAGCTTCAGCTTCCACTATTTACAATTTCCAATAATCCCACAGTCGAAATTTTCTCAAGTCAAAAGAGGGATCGAAGTGGCCCTTCCAATGGTGATGTTGAGTGCAGTTTGGCCAACGTTATATTATCTTGGAATATATTTCATATTTGGAGCATACCTTCGCAATGCTGCTTTAACTACATTGTTCCTGCACTTGGAAAACGAGCCCCTCTCAAGGATCACAGGCTTGTTGAGCCTATCATTGATATTTCACATGTGGCTCTATATGTCACTATTTGCATTAAGTATGAACGTCATGCATATAATATTCCAAGCCTATTTAACGCAGTGGATTCCCTTCGAAGTGGCTCGCACTGCTGTTTTCAGCAATGAAACTTTGAACGTGACTCTTCCGGAGGCATTATCTATGGATAAGATCCCAATAATTCAGCATCTGGGCTACCTTGATCTAGTTACGTTGTCTCAAAAGGAGAAACACAGACGAGCGATGCTGTTTACTTTGAGCCAACCTGGAGGTCATCCGTACAACTGGAATTGCATAGTTGACAAGTGTACAGAGATGATAAAATCTTTTACAAAGGAACTTGACGCAGCATGCTTGGGCAGACAGGATCATGTCCAGGTGCTTGCGCCATCTACTTTATCAAAGTTGCAACCAATGGAGAGATCTCATGCTTACCACATGCGGAATCTGGTATCTCCGAAGATTGTTTCTCCTATCCCAGTGGAAAGAACAGTCTGTAAACAAAGTGAACAATTTATCCTGCAATATTTCCAGAACTTGAAACAACGTTTGGTGAATTATTTACTTTCTAAGCCACTTATTTTCTACATATTTGGAGAGCAAACTGACAGCAAAGTAAAGCATGTCTTAGTCAAAGCACAGCAAATCATCTGGGCATCCGATGCTCTCTCTTCCATTGCAGTGGTATCCCTCATGGAAGATCCTTATGGGATTGTGCAGAAAGACTTGCCAGCATTAATTTCTGTACTCTTGGCATTGAAACACTCGCTTGATAAATTACAGAAAATCAATATGCAGCTGGTGCGAAAACCTCAAACCGATGACCGACTGATACGTCAAGTCATAACCTCCTTACGCAGTGCAGTGAAACGCAGTGTATATAGAATCACTTCATCCTTCAAGGATTACATTCTGGACCTAGGACTTGAACCTGCAACCCTTGAACAGTTACAAGGATTCCTCTCCTATAGGGAATAATTATTGTTTTCTTATTGCCATATGCAGTACATTTATAGTAAAGACTTTTATGATACTTTTTATAGGTTGTACAATGTATTTTCTGACTTACGTCGCATTTAATGCATAGACACTTACAAGAATATCGTTAAAAAATAGGGAGTTAATTTTTTAATATCAAATTTGAATGTACATTCTTTTAAATCAAACAATCTACTTATTTATATTTCTAGCCTAACACAAACTCTTGGTCGATGCTACTGCAAAGTAGAATTACTTAAACTTGATGCCAAGGCCGGTGACAAAAAAGTGATCATTTGCGCTATTCATAATTATACGTAAACTATGTGTAAATTTCGGAATTTGCCTTGTACATCAGAAATAAAATATTTTCATATTCACTTGTGCACTTAGTGATATTAATAACTCAACAGCTATCAAATTGCTGAATACTAAACAAAGGAGCAATATGCTATATACATTATATTGTACATCTTAACCATAAAAATAATGCTGCAATGAAATGTACTATTACATTCTTCTCAAGTGTTCAACTAAGCTGAGATTATAGTGTAATTTCTCTCTAAGGATTGACCAGTTTTCTAGTTGCACTTGGGAGAGTTCTTCCAAATAATCCACCAATTTCTTTGTTTTTACTATCGTCCTGTCATGTGTCTTTAAAAATGCAGCGAGGTAAGCCTGAGACAGTTCGAAGTCCCTTTTAGTTGTCATCATCCACTTGATCATCGCCAAGAACTGTAATAAGACTTCAGTGGTGTGTTTTTCATCCAACGACAGAGACTGTATTTCAAAGTCAACAGAACTAGGTCCAAATGATTTCAGCATCTCGAAAACATTAGTGAAGTCATTTGTTTCAGTAGTGGATAACAACTGGTTGCCAAATGAAGTGAGAGTTTGCAAGTTTGTGTTTTTGAGCAATTTACTGCCCGTTGTATTAGTTGCATTCGACAGGTCGAATTTTATATCCAAAGCTGGGATTGTGGGCAGGAAGAACGGAGCAGTTTCTGGCACCTTCAGAGGCTCCCTTGGTTTGTTTCTCTTTTTGACGATGTCTATGTTGAGCAGGTTTTGCCACCTTGAATTGGGTAACAAAGACAGGGTTATCAAAGTTTCGTGTAGCTGGTCTGGAGATGAGTATTCATCTGTTGTCTCTGCTTCTTCTTCTAGTTCCAGTAACTGTTCGCCATCTGTCACTAGAATTCCAGGAAGGTCCATCGATGGGACTACGTAATCCGCAGGCAGTGCTTTCAATGACACATGGGAGTAGAGCATGCGATTTGACCACAAATAAATTCCGAGGTTGCAAACGTGTACTGTGGCTAAGTACACTCCTGTTGGAGAGAAGTGGACCGAAGTACATGCTTCCGGGACCTGAATTCAGTTATTCATGAAGGTAGTTTTTTTTTGTGAAAAAAATCGCCAATGACTGTTTACATTTAGATTATGATTAATGTATTAAATTTCGAGATCAAAATGTGATTACCTGAAAGACATCAATCAAATGAGCAGAAGGAATATCCCAGGTGCGTATTGTGCAATCCATGGATGCTGTCACTAACCATCTTGCATCAGGATTGAACGTAGCATCTGTAAGGCGTCCAGAGTGTCCTCGGAAATGTCTTACAACTCGTCTATTTTCTAAATCGACGAGAACGATGCTGAAATCTTGCAGAGCTATCGCGACGAGAGAGCTTTCTTTGTGGTTTCTCAACCACTCTGCAGGTTCATCTAACTGTACCGTAGCTTCGGGCTCTCTGCCTAGAATTGATTGTAAAAAATGATTACATTTTCTTTTATAAAGAATTATATGAAAATTAGTGGTTTAAAAATATCAAGTCTACCAAAAATCGTACTTTGTGCGGGTTTGAAGGGCCAAAATTTAAGCAGTTTATCTCGGCCTGCACTGACTACTGTTTGGTTTAAGACATCTACTGTGATTCCTCGAACTGCTCCTTCGTGACCTCCTGATTCTTTGCCATAAGTGGCTCTATGAATTCCAGACTGCATATTAAATCTATCAATGTGACCGCTACTGTATCCGATAACAATAAAATTTCCGCAATGAGTTATGCAGAGACTCGTTGCAGAAACGTATTGTTTTTTACGAAATCGCTCCGGTAATAACAAGTGTTCTCCCATCTTCTTGTTGTCATATGACCACGTAGAGACCATTCCAATGCCTAAGTGGGATGTGGCAATGTTGCACCAATCTTTCTCTCGTGTCTTTTCGGACACAATGTCCATTATAGGAGGCATAGTTGCAGGATCCACTATTATTCTACCTTTTTTCTTTGATGCTTTTCTGTCATAAGAGGCTTTGCCAAGACTCTTATTGAATGTCTCCGTGATTGTTGAGAAGATCCTCAAAGATGAATCTCCACCAGCTGTCAATACATTGTCTCCATCGTTTCCATAAAATCGAATACACGTTGGTGGTTCGGAGTGACCTTCACGTATTTTAAGCAGCCTGGCTCCACCATCGGCTAAATCAAAGATCCATAATTTTAAAGAATTGTCAGGAGAAGAGGATACCATCATTGGTTCATTCGGCAAACAACTTAATCCAGTTACTGCCTTTAAATGTGCTTGCATAATTTCACTTTCCATCTTTCGTTCGTCTAAATTCCACAAAACAACGTGCCCAATTGATGTGCCCGTCGCCATGATGGGTTGGCCATCACTGCGGAACGTTATGGCAGTGACGAGACCCCAGTCCTGCATCAACTCAAATACAGTCCGATCCACTTTAAGATTATGTAAAATAATCTTACCACTCGCAAGCCCGATTGCTGCTATGTCTATTGCTGGAGCCGATTCCAATGCGGTCACTGGACTGTTCCAACCTTTAAAAGTGTAAATTAATTTTGAAGTATCTATATTCCACAACTGTAATTGTCCTTGTTCGCTTCCTAGCAGTATTTTATTAACATATGTGTAAGGATGAGCCAGAGTAGTTATTTTGAAGATATCATTGCTGAAATTCAACTCGAGCATGAGTTCTTCTGTCTTAATATCCCAGACTTTTATATTACTCTCCTCGTCAATTGATATCAAATGGGGCCCGAAGGGTAATAAAAGATGTACAGGACTATCATGACCTGTATATGTGTGTTTCAATTCATTCCCTCGTCGCCAAGCATAAATTTTGTTCTCGCAGGTCGAGAAGATATGATATGTGTCTGCAGCTAAGCATGTTATATCGCTTGCATGTAAACTCGAGACGGTGAGAAGCGCAAAGTGGGAACAGCTGTATGTATGAAATGCCCTTCCAACAGAAGTAACAATTAGATTCTCGTTTCTTTTTAGGATAAATCTCGTTGCATGTGCTATGTGGTTGCTCACATAACCTAGAGCTCGGTTTCTTACAAAGATCTTACTTTGTGACATCTTGTTCAACGAACAATCTAAAATTAATAATGTGATCGCAATTTGCCTTCGATGAATCTTTCACTTTGTCGAATTCCTTCGGTCGTGGCGGAATAGTTTATATATCATAGTAACCCACGTGTTCCGATGAATATATTTTACTTAAATTCACTCAAAACAACTTTTGTACGAGCCGCCATCAAATCTGCGACAGTCATGAAAGAAAAAGAGCGTAGATGTACAAACGCACTATGAACAAGAGACAGGAATATATGGCATTCGTTTCTTTAAATTTATTAATCATATTTTTTTTTAACTCAGCGAAAATTCTAATTAGAATTTTTATGTGATTTTCAAAATCATCCACTGTGGTACTTTACGCTCATAGGTTATGATTATACTTTGGTTGCTAATTTGAAAACTCGGCATAAGGACGTTTGAAATTTGTCCCATCTTCAATTCAAACATAACCTACGAATTTTCGTCGCATTATGAGGTGAAGCGAGTCGATCCAATTAATTTGGAGAATGGCGCGTCGAGAAGTTGATAGAGACTGTGAAAAGACACAAAATTTGATGGATAATAATAGTATAGATTTAGACTCTTATAGGAATATGGTTAAGTCGTACATTGATTTGGTAAGTCGATTGGAATACACTGTACAAGGTGCCGAGAAAAAGTTCAAGAGTAAATTTTGTTCATTTACAGCATCTTTACGGTGCTGCGTTGTTCTGGGCTGACAAGGTATTATCATTAGGCAAGGAAGATCCGAAGGATGTGTGCGTCCTAGCCCAGTGTATGTACCTCATGAAACAATATCATAGAGCGGCTCATCTCATCAGAAGCCGAGGATTAGAAAAGGTTTGGTTGAGTAGCATGCTGTTTGTATTTTTATTTACCACAAGCGTGTTAAATTATATTATTCCTCTTGCAATGCAATTTCAGACAGATGTAAGATGTCATTACCTGGCTGTTCGTTGTTTACTAGAGGCTAAAGAGTTTTCGGAAGCATTGCAAGTAATTAATGAGTCTGAGATATGTAATAGTATGTCACATTCAGGTATAAGCTTTTCTGATCGTGCGGATATACTTGAGAATGCACCAAAAAATGTGAGTACATTTAGAAACAGTCTGGTTATATTCTTGATACTGTTTTACTTTTTAATACTACTGTTTCACATAAATTTTCTGGTCATTTAATATAGGTGCAAAGTGCAATATTATATGTCAAAGGACGAGTTTATGAAGCAATGGATAATAGAGCAATGGCAACAGACTGTTACAAACAAGCCTTAATTTGTGATGTATATTCATATCAGGCTTTTGAGGCCTTAGTTCAAAATCAAATGCTGTCAGCTGCGGAGGGTATTTACTTGATTGTTTGATTATCTCTTAGTTATGCTTTACCATATATAATTTAAATGTAATGTTTGTTAGAAAAGGAGCTTCTGGAATCTCTGCCAATTGCTCAACAGTGCACGGAGGGAGAGAGTCAATTACTCAAATTGTTGTACAAGAGTAAACTTAAAAAATACCAAGTCCCCTCCGAGAAGCAACCTGTAATAACGTGTTGCGTCATGGGAATACTTGTGACGGATCGTTTGCAAGATAATTTGGACATGCAAGTTTCTAAGGCTGAAAGAATGTATTATAATTGTGATTATCATCAGTGTTTTTCACTCACTGAAAGGTGGATATTTTTCTCTTACGTCAAGTGGTATTTAATTAATACATTTTTTTGTACTTATATGCTTGATTTTTCTATATAGAATTTTGAAAAAAGATCCATACCACAGCACCTGTCTGCCAGTACATATAGCATGCTTGGTGGAATTAAAAAAGACAAATGGTATAATTAATTAATTATCAATATCTGATATGCGATAAATGTATTATAAAAATGTAATGTTGCATTTTTATGTCGCAGCATTATTTTATTTGGCACACAAACTGGTCGACTTGTATCCGGATATGGCACTTGCATGGTTTGCCGTTGGCTGCTATTATTATACAATTGGTAGGTGCACTTATTTGTTCAATTTATTGTAATAAATAAATCAATATATAAATTTCCTTTTTTTTTTGTTTAGGCAAAAGTGACCCTGCCCGCAGGTATTTAGCGAAAGCTACTGCATTAGACAAGTTATTTGGTCCAGCTTGGCTTGCCTATGGTCACTCTTTTGCAGTAGAAAATGAACACGATCAAGCCATGGCAGCATATTTCAAGGCTTCGCAATTAATGAAGGGCTGCCACCTTCCACTTTTATATATTGGCCTGGAATGTGGTTTAACAAACAATCTCAAGTTGGCAGATAAATTTTTTCAGCAAGCACAGGAAATAGCTCCTAACGATCCCTTTGTCATTCATGAAATGGGTGTTATATCATTTTACAATTTGGAGTAAGTACATCAACTGTTTGAAATTTGAGGAATCGATAGCCTATAGTGTTTCTCATCCGTTCTTTGTATAAAATTTATTTTTTCCGTTCATCTGTTCATATATTAATATCCAGATTCATTAGAAAAATTTCCTAATCTAGTTAATATCATTCTTATCCGATGAATTTCTTGGGTTAATCAAGAGTTATCGTTTCACCAAGTACAGTTACAAGAGCGCCGAGCGCCAATTTAAGGAAGCGATGAAAAGGATACAAGGCGGCACGAAGGATGTCATTTTACCCAGTAAATGGGAAGCGTTGCTGAATAATTTAGGCCATACCTACCGAAAGATGAAAAGGTACGAGGAAGCGCTGGAGTTTCATCAACAGGTACGAAAAATGCCTACCAATTTAATTGATATTTTCGATATTTTCCATTAAAATTATATATTCGACGTTACTTATTTTATTCGAAAATATTTCCTATTAATTAATTATCAAAATGAAAGAATTTTACATGTATCGTCTGCAGGCCTTAGTATTGAATCCATTAAGTCCATCGACTTACTCCGCCATGGGTTTCATTCATGCACTCATGGGCAATTCTCAAGAAGCTGTCGATGCTTTTCACAAAGCACTTGGACTTCGACGAGACGATACATTTACAACAACAATGTTGGGTTACGTCATGGAGCAACTCATCGATGAGATTCCACCGTATCCTGGTAAGAATCTTTTAAAATTGTTGGATTACTTATCTCTGGATAAAAAATGTCACTAGGGTTTCTGTATATAAAAATTCTTTTATTTGCAAAAACATTGTTACAGATGCGCCAAGAGAGGTTCCAAAATACAAATTTCCAGATGCAGGACTTCAAACGGAGGAAGCTGAGACAGGAGAGAATGCAACTGCGGGACCTGCGGTCCCACAGGACCAGAACATCGATAAACTTAGGGTGAATCTTTTTTCTGGATGGGGCGAAGATTCTGGAAAAGGAGACGAAAATACCAGCGAAAAAGCGGAACAGTCCCGTGAGAGCGTTGTCGTTAATTATTCAACTAACGACATGAGTTCCGAGGTGGAAATGTTAGATTCTTCAACGGCGCACATAGAATACAGTTAAACAAACAAGTTTCATCTTCCGATACGAAAGATGACTCGTCAATGACATTTATCTCACGCGAGGGCCTGTACATATCCTCGTGATTTTAAGTTTAAATTAAACTTAAGTTTTGATACAATTCTGGCCTCTATGTTCCTTCCCGTAGAATATTCTTTCGATATAACGCGCCTCGCAAATATCCAAAGCGGTCATCGCTTCTAGCCCCATAATACGAATAAAAGCGTCGAGGAATCATCCATTACATGGAAAACAACACCTCTTCGACACCACTTTCACATCACCTTAAGAAATACGTCTTAAGTTTTCGCGGTGATGAGTTCCTTATTGGTTTATCTCTCTCTCTCTCCCAATTTCTGGAAGTTGAACTCGTTCAAAGGAATCCCATTGTTTCGGTATGCGTGTCCGCCGGAGGAATGCGACCACGTGACAGGAGAGCGTGTAGGTACGCGAATCTCCTCCCACGTGGTCGAGGAAGAGACCGTTGATTGGCCGAATTTTCCCTCTCCCTCGCGGAGAGACCTACTCAATGAGAGGGTGGGTCTCCCGCTCCCACCTCGAAGTCCCTCGGGAGCGATTGAATTCAGTTTGCGGAGAATTGCGGCTCCTCGAAGAATGGCCGTCTCGTCAGCGCGGTGATTCGCTTCGAGACAAGCCTGAGCCCGAGGGAAACGCACAGGTCGGCTCCGGCTCGGATTCCTTCGACAGGGAATGGCCAACCTCGTGCTCGGCCAAGGCGAGTGATCGCCGGTCGCGTCTCAAGATTCACTCTCGCAAGCTCGATGACTTTGTCGTGACTCGTCCTATTTATTAATTTATTCGAATCGGTGCTTCCGAAATCTTCGCGACATCTTCCCTGCTCCACCTTCAGGCATCCCCAGACGCCGGAAAGATCGACGACCACCTGCGTCACCTCGAGGGGAGACATGTCCACCTTGCTGCAACAGGTAAACGCTTCTTGCGCAGATAGTCCAAGACTTTTCGACGTACTTGGCTTACGTACATTTACTCTGTACGCGTATTCCTCGTCTCGCTGGCTGACACCCCTAAGGCGGGGCGAAACCCTCGAATGCGACACTTTTCTCAAAGGGTTTTCCACGGAACTGGTTGAATTTTTACCATCCAACTCAGAGGAACGCCCTGACACTTTCAAAATGTTTACACAATTTTTCGGTTAAGTCTAGACTTTTCTTTTTGGAAGATTAAATTTTTTTATAACGTCTGCACGTTTTTTGGGCGATCAGGAGTCTCGTGCTGAAATTTCGGAACCAAGGATTGTTTTTTAGGACGTAATTTCAGGTTTACTTTTCTTTTCTTTATTATTAATTGTTGCGTTTGAAAATCACGGAGGAGGGTGATTGGTAATGGGATGTATTATGGAATTGTCGATGTGAGTAATACGTTATATATATATATAATAATGGAGGAGATTTGGGTGCCACGTGGAACCGGCGGTATTGCACCCCCTGGGGAGGTTATGTTTCCGGGAGTGGTTACAACCTTCGCTTTCCACGCTTGGCCGGCGTAAGTTTAGCCATTACTACTTTTCTAAATGTAAAGCCACTGAATTTCACGATCTCTCGAGAATCGAAAAAAAGTTTAAAGTATTAACCTCCCATTCGCGATTTCTTTAATACTTCATGGACCAGGAATATTAAACGGCGTATTAAGTGATTTACTTGAGAAACTGAAAAGCAATGGAAAAATAAATAAAATGTTATGCAAAATTTCGTAACGTGGAGTTAGTTTTTCTTAGACGTTCCTCGTAGCATTTTTGTATTCGTTGACCCGGGAGATGGTGAAAGAAAAATCCTGAGAACGCGAATAACGAATGTCCCTCATCTACTTCCGGATGGCGAATGAAACGAGCCGGGAAATATCAAAGATTAATTCTGTATGGAATGGAATGCGTCCTGTAATTGCATAAAGGTAGTTTTGGCTATTTTAGATTGAATTTCCCGGGGCAGCTAATTGCGTAAACGATCTTAGGGAAATAATTAGCCGTGACCCGACTACGTGCCCAAATCTGGTTAGCCTAGGCCCCTTCTACTTGTACTTGTGTTTACGATTGTTGCGAAGTTTCGTTTGTTTACCACGCATTCCATTCCATCCCGAAATCGCCCGCGAGGAATGCCAACGACAGGCCGGCATTTCTTAGATAAATTCAAGACCTGTATTATCCGTGGATAGATGTACAAATACTCGGAGTAATTTTAACAGGACTGGAGATGCATAATATCGAGGGAACAAAGGATTCGCGGTTTCTTTTTTTGGCGTCGTTTAATAAATTCACGAACAACCTTTTCTGCGGTGAATTTTCTTTGGAGATCATTTTCACGCTTATGTAAAAGTATCGGGAAGGTCGCAAGGGGAAGGAATACATTTTTGGACTTTTAAAAAAATTCTTCGGCGAGTTTTTTTTTTTATTATGGAACGTCCCAGTTCCATGGGGCGCGATAAGAACGTTTGTTTATCGCGCGCTAAATTCCGTACCGAGAATATGGACAGGCCACTTCGAATTCGCGGAAAGTCTTCGCCTGGGCGTCAAGTCGATAATTCGTGGGATAATTCGACGAATTCCGGAGCGGCCCTGGGTTCGCCATTGGCCGGGTATTCGAATTTCTTGCGACGCCATCGCGCCGCGGCCCAACGGTCGCGGCGGCCATCTTGGACTCCTCGGCGCGCGTCGACCTTGTCCGTTGGAAGCGTAAATTAAAGGCATACGGGAGTCATTTATGAATGATGCGATTTACGAATATCCACGAGCGAGGGATTTTTACGAGTCTGCTTGCGTATTTTCCCCTCTCCGGCGCTTTCAAGTGGCGTCTTCGCGTCGATTTCGAGGCCGCGTGGCGAAGAGCCGCAAGAAGTTTGTTTTTTAGCGTCGCAGGGGACGCGATCGAACGTCTCGCAGTGCAACGCCCTCGAATCTTGATATCGCAAGTAGCGATAACTTGCTTCGGTCCGACTTCTTCGGAAGCATTGCTCTTTGTGCTCTTTTCTCCCTCTTTTGTCCCCACTTTCGGTAGAGAAGTTGCGCCCCTCTTTCACTTCTCGAGTGGTACGAGTTGCATACGTCGGGGTTTTCGTTTTTTCTTTTTTCTTTCCCAACCCCCCTTTTCGAAACTAGGACATCCAGAGTCTGGGGAAAGAGGGCGGTAGCCTCGGGGATTGTGATTTCAGGATGTTAGAAGGTACGCCCCGGTCGAATTTTGTGGGAAATTATTGACGAGAAATTCCATTTTTCTCCGTCGGGATTTTGGTTCCCACAATGGCCAAGAGTGAGGCGAGGCGCTTGGGAGTTCTTTTTTTTTTTTCATTTTCTTTGGGCCCTTCCAGGCGCCGTTCCCGGGATTCCTCGAAAGCCTGGAATTCCAAGTAGGACTCGGGCCGGGCTCGACTTTGGAAACGGCTTCTGGGCGAGCTGTTACATTTTTTTCCCCCTTCCCGGAATCTCTTCCTCGCCCCCTTTCGGGCCCTGTTTCCGCCATTCCTGGCTTTTGCAGAGCGCAGTTCGTCGACGATGTTCGCGACATTTACATCGGGTGACGGGCCGATCGGGGCGAGGATTCGCGAGAAGAATTTTCCGGGGAGAGACGAGGCGCGTAAAATTACACCTCCAATTAAATTCCCGGATTTTATTTTCCGGGGCGAATATTCTTCCGCCTTCCTCTCTGCTTCCAATAGTCTCGAATTAATTCAACGATGGGGTAAATTAAATGGAAGTGAGAGAGAATTCGAAGGTTTTCTTTTTCTACCGGTGAAAACAAGGAATTAGAAAATTAAGCGGGAGATTAATTATTATTTTCGGAAATAGGCGGGGATGTAGCTTAGGGAGGATTCGATGCATAAATTGTATTTATAGTCGGGGGTTAGTGGAGGCTGAGCTTAATTTTCATTTCGCAGTTGGTCCAGATTTTCGACGCCGAGGGAGAGATCAGGGACGCGTCGGAGAACGGAGAACCAAGGAATACGCAGATGTATCAGAGGGACCAGCAAAGAGACCAGCAAAGAGACCAGCAAAGGGACCAGAAGGAGCTCCAGAGGGAGTTGTACCCTCAGCAGAGGGAGAAGCCCCAGCGGGAGAAGAGGGACCAGCTCCACCAAATTCGCTCGATGAATAACCTACTCCTGGATCTGCCGACCTACTCCCGGGAACCGGGAGATGCCGACTTCGGGACCTCGAAAGGGTCCAACCTCGAAGGTCGGTGTCGATAACGCGTCTCGGTTCGTACTCGAAGAGAGCGGAGAATTTCGTCGACGCGAGGGTGGTTAACGTCGAAGAGAGGTCTTAAGATCGTTGCGCGAAGAAAAAAGAATTTAATTGATGACAAACATTTTAATTTACAGCGGTACCATAAATTCCCTCTATTTTCGAACCGCCCTCCCATCTCCTCGGTCTCTTCGTGGACCGCGTTGAAGAGCGCCTCAAAATTCAGTATATCACATTTTTTATCGCGATTGATAAAAATTCCTGGCATAGATTATTAGGCTGGCCAAAAACTCTTTCTCATTTTGATCAACCCTTAACCACCTTGAACCGAGGAGCTGGAGTCGAATCGGCTTCTCGAGAGCGTTTGTTCGTCGCTTGTCGAGTCGCCGTCCAGTCTCGTCTGGAACCTCGACACACGAGAGGCCCAGGGGTGAAGAGAGAGGACTAATTCGCACCTTTTTTGCCCAGGAGACATGTCGATTTCGGATCTGTTCGGGCTGAGCCTGCCCCGAGGGTCGCTGATGGGTTCGCCGAGCCACCGCCAACACCAGCTACAGGGCCAGAACTACGGGCAGACCTCGCCCTCGTCGACTTCCTCCTCGCACAGGCATCTCCAGGTATCCAAGCCCTCCTCCGGGACCTCCTCTCTGTATCGAGTCGAACCCCACCGGGGCCGGGACCGGGAACGATCGGCCCCTTTTCGGCGACTCTCGGTCGCCGTGCCAATTCCGCGGAACAGGGCCAATCGCTCGAAATCGAGTTTGCCCCCCTCTTGTTGTCGCAGCTGTCATTTGGTCCAGCGACAGAGACCCATTGACAACCTCGGGTACGAGCTGGTAAGGGCGGAAGATTTCCGATTTCGCCAGACCGTGATCATCGGCCCGCCGATAGCGCGACGCGGGAGAAAAGCCGGGTATCGTGCAAGAGACGTCTGGGCGCTGCCAATGCAATAACCGGAAGGACGATCGCCCTCCCTTGGAGGAGGTCCAAGCGGCCTCCTCGTGGCTAATTCTTTCCGCGATCTCCTCGAGCCTATCTCGAGATCATGGACGCGAATGCCGATTGCGAGAAGCGTGTCGATAAATGTACAACGATATGGAACGTTGCGTTACGTGGGTGGAGGGACCTTCCGTAGGGCCTCCTTGCCTCCTTGCTAGGAGAAAAGTGACCCTGGTCTCGCGTCGCCTTAACTTTGCGACGACCGACCCGCGGGCTTCGGACCGGAGACAGTAAAGCATGCATATTAGGCTCGACGGACAATGGGGGACGCATAAAATAAATAACGCATAGCGCGGCGCGTTAGGGCGACCCCGATTCCGCGGGAGCCAAGAATCCGCGGGGTCGAGCCAAACGGCTCCGTCGGTCCGTCGAGGAGGGGGGCTGGGGGATCCCACCCCCCCGTTATTTTCCGACGCTCCTTTGCGCGACGTTACTTTGGAGTTACTCCAAAGACGGCCCTGTTCTCCTAGGGCGATCGATGCGTCTCGTGGCGGCGCGTCGTAACCTTTTAAACGAGGCCTCCGACTCGCGGTTAAGGCGGTGCGAAAGCACCGTCCGGGGTGTCGCTCCCTCGTCACACTTTACTCTGAACTGGGTGGACCGAAACGTTCGAATCTTTACCGCGTGGACGTGGAGGACCCACCGAAGGTCCCTCCACCCATGGGATTTTATATCTTAAATTTCTTACCGGACATTTTTTAATTTGTATGGAATGTCAAATTTCAACGGTGGACGGACCTTCCTTAGGGTCTCCGTGTCCACGCGGTTAAGGCGACGCGAAAGTGCCGTTCGAGGGGTCGATCGCTTATGACGGTTTTATGTTAGTCTCGCCCGTGGGTGTGCAGTCGTTCTGCCGAGTTTCGTGTTTCTTTTGGGTATATATCGGTGTTTTCTTTTTCACTTCAGCCGGAGGATTGGCAGAGCTGTTACCCTGCTTCTCTCAGTCTGGACTTTCCGGGGACACCAAGCTCGGTGACTACCCCTGGGAGTCCCAGCACTCCTGGAAGCGGGTACTCCAGTCCTTACACCTACGGGAGCGCCTGGAACAATCCTCACGTGGCCTCGACTCCGAATAGCAGTCGCGCTCCGATCCAGAATTTCGGATCCCCGCTGTCTTCCGTCAACTCTTCCTACTACGGGAGGCCGATTCGCGGCTCGCCGCCGTACAGGTACCCATTTTCTTTTTTTTTTCTGTGGAGAATAAAAAAATGTTTGGAAAATACTTAAACCATTCGACTTGAGATCTCGTTACTATCAGGGGTGACTGCGAGTCGTAGGCACTATTTTTAATATCGTTCTATGGGAAACTAATGGGGATATTTTTTTTTAGCGACTGCGGAAGCCCGACCGTGGAGTACCCGTACACGGTGGGATGCAACGGGACGAGATCGAACTCACCGGCCGATTCCGAGACCAGCGGCGTCAGCAGCATGGACGGCTCTTTGTCCGACATCATGGTGAACCTTGTTTTAAGGGATTTAAGGGGGTCCCATGTCCCGGAGAGTGGTGGACACGTACGAGACCGAGATCACGGACTCGACTCTTGGTCTTGGTCTTTCTCTTTTGGAACAACCAAGACCAAGGCTTTTGGGACCAGTACCGATTTTACTCGTGGGTTATTAATATCATTTTTGCGTGGGTGGGCTTTTTTGTACGCAGAATTGCCTCTCGCTGAACTCCAACCAGCACTCGTGCTACCCTCAGTCGCTGAGCATTCTGATGTCTCCGGAGACGAGCGTTTGTTCGGAAAACAGAGCGGCTTATCAGCGAATGCCGGTAAAGAAGTGCATGCCGCCGTCGCCGGGCCAGCAACAGCAATCCTCCCCCTCTTTGCACCACCATCATTACCATCACTCCCATGGCCACCCTCGGAATCATCAGTACTCGCAGTCGCAGCTCGGCAACTCGATGAACTCCTTGCTCCCCGCGGAGAAGAACTGCTGCATCAATGGGAATCCCCATGTCATGTCGATCAACCCGTCCCTTGCGAACTCGTTGGAGCAACAGATGTCCCTGGACCGCGCCGCGCGTTTCCACAAAAATGCGGCTGGTAAATCGTTAATCTAAAAATGCTAGGGAAAATAATTCTTTCCATTTCATGCTTAATTATTTAAGTAATTAATTGTGAGGAAGGTGTCTCGTTGCTGAGACAAGGTCAAAGTCGAGTTGAATTTTTTAAGGTTTAAGGAAAGTATCTTATAGGAAATGATTTATTTTATGTGATTTAGCGCTGTGCGACGCCACGTGCACCTGGAGCGGCATTTTGCCTCAACGTACGCACAAGCCCCAGGGGTATTCCTCGAAGATCTTCCTCGGAGGGGTTCCTTGGGACATTACGGAATCCTCCTTGATCGCTACTTTCAAGCAATTCGGCCAGATTCGCGTCGAGTGGCCCGGAAAGGAGCAATCGCCCACGCAGCCCAAGGGCTACGTGTACATTATACTGGAATCCGAGAAACAGGTGTGCCATTGTTGTCGCCAGTCTCAAAATGCGACTTTTTTTTTACTTTTCATAATTCAATATTTTGCCGTTTAAATCTTCAGGTCAAGGCACTGCTTGCCTGTTGCACGCACGATTTTACCAATGGCGGTAGTTGGTATTACAAAATCTCGTCGAAGCGAATAAAAGGTAAAGAGGTAAGTCTTCCGTCAGCTGTTCGATTACTAAAAAACTTAAAGGAGGTACCTTTGAAACGTTTGAGCTTACGTGTGGGGTTTTTTCATCTCTACCAGGTCCAAGTGATACCTTGGATACTGAATGACAGCAACTACGTGAAGTCCACGTCTCAAAAGTTGGATCCGCAGAAGACCGTCTTCGTGGGCGCGCTTCATGGTATGCTGACTGCCGCGGGGCTCGCGAAGATTATGAACGACCTCTTTGACGGAGTCATTTATGCAGGTATTTCGTGGAATCATTCGAGGAACCATCTTCCGATGAAAATCTGGAAGCTCGAGCCGATCTCACCAGTATTTCTCCGTTTCAGGAATCGACACGGACAAGTACAAGTATCCGATTGGTTCCGGTCGCGTGACCTTCAGCAATATTCGTTCCTACTTGAAAGCTGTTTCCGCAGCCTTCGTAGAAATTAAGACTGTTAAATTTACTAAAAAGGTAACCGGACGTTAATAGTCCCCCTATTTTAGGTCGTCCCTAACCGTTAATCCTTGTTCCAGGTTCAAATCGACCCTTACATCGAGGACTCCCTCTGCTCCGGATGCTCGGTGCAGCAAGGACCTTACTTCTGTCGCGAATTGGTACGGTTGAATTAATTCTAGATATAAAAGTCCAAAGGGATTTAGACCAGAATGTTTGTCAACTTGGATATGTAATTTTTTTTTTTTTTCATCTAAAAACGTCGATTTCAGATCTGCTTCCGGTACTTCTGCCGCAACTGCTGGCAGTGGCAACACGCCATGGAGTCGATGCGCCACCATGAGCCTTTGATGCGGAACTCCAAGACCAACCAGGTCGTCGGGTTGACCCCGAACTTCGGGTGGAGCGGCCATGGCGGAAGGACCTCGAACAGGCTCGCGATTTAAATTTCTTTTCCCGTCGACCTCGCGGCCCTGGAGGTTTGCGCGAGCGTCGCCGCAATTTCTTTCTTGACTTGAGTTTAGATATTCGTACGAGCACCGAGATTTACCGTAGCACCGAATTACCCGATTTTTGTTGTCGTGACGGCGCTGAGTCAGTTTTAAACGCGGGGCTGCGGGCAGCTGGTCTGACGAAGGAGGAAGATTGCCGGACGATCCGTTGGGGAATAGGTCGGGACGCGTTGTCCACCTCGAGGACCTCCTCCTCGAAGTCCCAACCCCATCCCCGAGGTCCCCCAAGCGAGCGCGAGACACTTTTATTTCGCCTTTGTTTATTTCGGGACTGGCGCTCTCTTTCTCGCCCCCATTTCCATTTTCCTACGTCCTTCCTTATGCGACTCACCCGGGAGCGCGAGACCCTCTTGGGGGAGGATTTTTGAATTTCACGCGCGAAAACATAATATTCCGATTTATTCATGAGATCTTAGGTTCCTAGCGAGTTTCCCCCCTGGTTCGGTTCGTCTCTCATTTCGCGGGGTTTCGCTCACCGGGGGGAGGATTTTTGAATTTCGCGCGCTCCCGCGAAAGGACGCCACGGGCTGTTTTTCTAATTCTTAAAAGGGGAAACGATACTACAAGACCTTTAGGATAACGATCCTCCTCCGCTTTCCCACGTTCTTTTTCAAGCCTTTTCTTCCCTTTGCGTTTTACGACCTTACCGGAGGACCTTACAGGAAACGATGGAACGATTGTTTTAACGAGACCCCTTGGCGCGTCTCGACGCCCCGATAATACGGATCGTCTCGTTGTTCGCGAACGGCGGCCTTCTCCGCGCGCGGACTAGCGATTCTAGGGCCGTTATTAATGCGTTAGATTATTATATCACGATGTTATAAAATGTTAACTCGCGGGGCGGCAAGCAGGGCCGTGGCCCTCGCCCCGATTCCGCTCGACTCTCGTCGACAGGTGGATTCTAGCCAACCCCCGTTACATCGGATCGTCCCACAAGTAACGCGGTTCTCTTTCGTTTCCTAAAATAAGAGACTCGGTTATGATCAAAGGAAAAAGAAAAAAAAAAGAAACAGAAATACCCTCGGGACGCGATTCTTCTCTCTAAAGAGAAATACTAAACGCGGTTATTCGGAGGAAAAATGAAGAGGAACACCGAAGATTCCATTTTTTTTTGCACTCTCCTTGGAGAGAAATACCAAAGTCGGTAATTTGAGGGGAAGTACCGATAATGTGAGCTCTTTTTTTTTTCTATCTCTCTCTCACTCTCGGTGGACGAAATCACGAAATGCGGCTTTTTCTCGAGGAGAATATGAGACGCCGCTCTTTTTCTTATCGGTTAATGAGATTATCGCGTCACTTTTGGGACCACCCGATTAGTAGTTTATATCGTTAGGCAACCGTACACATATTCCCACAGTGTACGGGTCGCAGATCGCGTATGCAGATGCAAATGCAGATGCAGATGCAGCGACCACTCGGCGGCCCGATGTTAGCTGTAAAACGCGCATAACTTATCTACTCGTTAGTCGAGCTCGGGCCCGAGCTCACGTTGGACCGTTTAAACGTTGACGAAATGGATAGGTATACGGTCTACGATTCTGGTGCGGATTGTAGTGAATTGATTCCGTTCCTTCTTTTCTTTTCTCTCCCCTCCCTTATTTTTTCTTTTTTTTTTTCATTCCTTTTCTTCCCTCGTTACGATGTCGCGTTGCGTCTCCCTCCGACGGGGAGGACGTCCCCCCCCCCCCCGATGCTGCGTTTGTCTCAAATGTGTCCCTTTCTTCTTATTTTTTTTTCTGCTGCTGGTCTTTTTTTTTTGATACGATTTTGTTGAGCGAATTAAAATTCCCATTTTTGCAGGTACACGAGATGCTTATTTTGTTGCTTTTTTTTTTACCGCGTCCCGATTTCTCCATTGGTTTCTGCGTTTCTTTCGTTTTTTCAGTTCGTCTCCTTTCTGGAGTTTTAATGATTTTACCAGAGGTGAGAGTTTCCTTTTCTTGGTAATGTGAAGATGTTTTTTTTTTCTTTCTTTTCAGGAATTTCCTTACGGATCTAGGAGTGAAAAGTTGAATTATTAAGGGGCGAAGAGTGGTCGGAGTTGCAATGAAATTAACGCGCGATTAATTAACGATAGATATATATACGACGTAAGCTTTCTCGGCGTTATCTTTCACCGGCAAGAAGCTCCACGCTTTTTGAATATCATGATCACATCGAATCGTATGTTAACTCTAGACAGATCTACGTGCTCTCTTCCCTCGCGGGGAAGGGGGAAAAAATGAGGGACGCCATCTTGGTCGCTTCGCCGATCGTGGAGGAAGAAAGAAAAAAAAGTATATATATATCGGGATTTTGCAAAATGCCAGAAATTGCGGAAAATCGGTCGGCCAACTCGGGCCGATTTAATAAAACGAGGCGGATATCGCGAGAGACTTTTAGGGATTCTCTTTTATCCAGGGGCGATATCCCCTCGGGGGACTTTTAATGCACCGTGCCTTTTTAAAGAAAATGTGATCCGCGGTAATAGGAATATTTTATGCCGACACGTCGACGTAATGGGGATTCGTTTTAAATCGTCGGAGAGACGTCCGCGCCCAGGGCGGACCCTTTAATTATACCGATAAGAGAGAAAGACTTTATGAACGACGGACCGGCGTAGAATGTCGGGCTTTCCTACATTTTACGCAGAGGTTTCGGCGCGAAATGGGGGTCGTTTTTACGTTGGAACCGAACAAGTGCCTCGTCGTTTCTTTCTCAGGGTGGGAACAACGTTCGAGCCGTAGATTCTTTCATTTCGTGGCTGCGCGTAATTCGAGGATGACAATAACGAGGCTTCGCTCTTGTCGAGAGATCGGCCGAGATTTTCTCCTGCCTCGGACGTTGCGGAGTCGTTGCCTGAACTTTAACAGTGCCAGGTTGATCGTTCGTTATCACGAGGAACGATATCATGTAGCTGGAACGCATTTCTTAATAGATTTCGTTGGCATCCTTCCTAGTTTTCCAGGAAACCGACGTAGCTCTGTCCGGATGACGACTTCCTAGTGACGCTTTAGCTTTTCCTAATGTATCCTCGACGATGATGTCTCACACTGTACTGCCTAATTTATTTGAAACAATAAAACGTTCCTTGTTAGACGGTCCATGTTCCTTTCGCGGGTCGAGGACTGGATTCTCTCCTGTGGAATGGAATATATAATTGATGGATTATCTAGGTAATACTGAATTAAGAGTAAAAGATGGCTACGGTGAGTTTTTAGCTGTGAGCCGAATCAATCCTAGGAGGGAGATCAAGAATTCCAGCATAGAGGTGGAAGTAATATCCACTAGACTTCTGATCCATCTGAGACTTGTTATGTAATAATATTATAATATGTATTAAAACAAATATACATACAATATAATCGGTGACCTTTTAATGTGTATACTGAAATCTTTGACTACGGGTATTCGATTAATTGTAGGGAATCCTGGATATGTCTAGAACAATCGTTCCCCTCTTAATCTCACGTCCAACACGGGTTAACCCCTCTCTCTTCTGAGTCTCGTTTTTTCTTGTTTTTGTCGCTTAAACCAAGAACAACGTTCGGATGGTCTCGTAGAAAATGTGATGTAAATTATACATGCTCCGGTTTAGTGGGTAAGGTGCAAGTGTGTCGAATTATCCAAACATGATTCGTAATGCGATATTTGTTCCTATCCACTGCCGATAGAGATTGGAAATTAATAACATCCGCTTTCCAGGAGCGTTTTTCGCTAAGAATTCAGCTTCCCGCTCGATAAATTCCAGCAACGGAGTATTTACAAAATTACAAATAGCTTAAGTGATTCGCAGCTTAGTCCAAGACGAGACCCTTGTATGCGTATCCTTCGGATTCGGGGGATTTCATTCTATTACGCAAACGCTCTAATGTATTAGTTAAATGCTTCTGAATTTGCTCGGTCTCTTCACTGACTTCCAGCTTGGGAAGTTCCTCCTTGATCTTCGCGATCACCTGGTTCAGGATCTCTATGGTGACCTGGAAAAATGATTCGTCAGACGATCCGTACTCTCGGTACCACTAAACCGTTAAATCCTTGAGATCATTACCGCCGTGTTCCCCTTCTCGTAGAAATAAATATAATGATTCAACAACTCCACGAACAGCTGAACTCGAACCGAAATGTCCACGCACTGACTCACAATGCGGATGGCTTTCTTCAGGCAGCCCAAAACTTTGTTTCCGTCTTGCATCTGCAATAATTGAAGGTGTAAAATAATATATAAATTAGTGGACCGGTTCGGTAGATTTTTATATGTACATTGAATTTTAAAGTGTATCAATTTTCACCTCTTTTCCCTTCGTAGCCAAAGACTTCCCCGACCAGAATAAATGGGCGCAAGTTGCGACTCCTCGACACTGGTCCGGCTTTTTCAATAATTTGCTTGCGTAAAGAGCACACTGGTTTCTAACAGGCTCTGCATTTTCCTCGCTGAAGCAGCTTATTTGCTCGAACGTGGCAATGATCAGCGTGATAGCGGCCAGTTGGGCCTTCGAGTCGCTTATTTCGTCCTCGTAAATGGAAAAGGCCTGGCTCATGAATTCATACGCTACCATTTCGAAGTTTTCGAAACGAATTTCGCCAATGGCCAGTGCTCCTTGCAGGAACAGTCTCAGGGGAATTTCTGCATATTCCGCCTTCATCAACGCCGTTATGGTAGCGTGGCAAAATTGAAAGATCTTCTGGCACTTCTTCTGCCACATTTCGTCCTTACGTAACAAGGACAGATTATTAAAATACATATTTTTACATTCGCATAAATTATTCGGCATTTGGATAAATTATTTAAAAAAACCTAGGAAGTGAAAGAGCATGGTGTGCAGGTACTAACCTGGTCTCGTAAGCTTTTGTACGTGAAAGCAAGTTGGTAGGCTTGGAATACTATCGGAGGCAAGGTGAACTTGATTCTCTTGTTCCCTCCGGTGCTGAAGTGCTTCCTCGCAGCACTTAGGATCATGTATTGCTGATCGGCTGTTTCTGATTTGAAGTGGTGAATCAATCTACCTAGTAAACCTTGCTCTTCGGCAAAGTCTTCAGGGTCCTCTTCTATGCCGTGCATGTCCGGCTGGTCTTGGACCAGTGGTGCCACCATAGAGAGCACAGCGTCCACTTGTTCCTGTGTTGGTATCATGGTCTCATTGTCCAAGATGTTTGTTATTATGTAAACTGCCAGCAACTTTCTGCCCTCATAGTCAAAGTACTCCAGCAGGGGAGCGAAGTGCTCCAATTTTAATACGGTTAAGATGTTCTTATAATTGTCCACCGGGATCTTCATCAGTCTTGCCAGCTCCCTTGACACGGCACTGTTGTATTCTAATCTATAAAGTTTCCATCGAAAAGTTATTCTGTATTCCTCGTTACCTGCTGGTTTGTGACTCATACATACTTTTCTATATTCAGATTCTGGAAGATTTGTATCGTAGTCAGGAGAACCTTGTCTACGTAATCCACTCTATCTGGATAACACTTATGCGCCAAATTAATGAGGGCCACTTGCAGTGAAACAATGTCTTCCGATGGCATGTTTTTCCTGGTCTGTTGACGTTAACCAGAAAAAAAAATTAGTATCCTTCCAAGCCTTTCAGAATGTATCCATCGAGATACTAGTAGCAATTATTCATCGTGTTCTTTGTATGTCACTGATCACAATGTCGCAGACTCAAAATTTCCCATCATTGATATTTTTCATAGACAGACCATTTAATATCTATGCAAGTAGTTTGAACGGACAGAAGTTAATTCACGGATAATGAAACACACTGTCGGACACGTTTCAAGAATGCTTCCGATGGAATATTACTGTGCTTGTTATTATAGCACAGCCAATTACATTCAAGCCACTTCAAACTACTGATATTAACTGTCTTGTGAAAAGAGTAAAAGCAACAGCGACATTATCAATGGTTTGCACAATACACTGATAACGTTCTAAGGATGTACGCCAATTCTCATATATAGAACATTAACACTGTTAAACGTCAAAATTTGAATAGCTTATTAAAATTAACATGCATACAAATATTTTGTGACTGTTCTCAGACTTAAACTAGATGAGTAAAGAATGTTTCATACAAGATATCACAGTAATTTCAATGGTGCAGTATCTGGATCATCATAGAACAGTTCGGAAGTGGGTATCGAGGAAAAATATTTTCTTAAAAACATAACGAGTTGCATAAATATAATTTTCACACCTGAATAATCGTAGCCACTTGGTCGCTAAATACATCAAACAATTTGACATCTTGAGGGATGCCAGGAATTTGACTTGGACTCCCTGGGCCACCTACGCCATCGGATCGTTGACTGAATGCAGCAAATCTGTCTATCAGTGAAATTATTATATTTTTGACGTTTACTCCATTCTCCAGCTCGGCGCATGACTTTAGGAAAGCATTCAGAGTTTGTAGATGAAACTCATCAGGGAAAACCTGTAAAGATTATTAAATTCTTATAATTCGTTTAAGTTACATTTAATGAAATATCTTTTCTAAAATTACCTGAATGATACACTCCATAAGGTATTCCTGTGCGATAGAGTCTTTACAGCTGACTACTTGTTCTAAGATCCCTGGTAGGACCAGCTGAAAAAAATTATTAATTTTAATTTTTACTGAAAACGTTACATACTTATACATATATATTATGATAGATCAGGAACTAACCTTTTTGTACATGTCTAAAGTTATGGATTCCAGTTGACTTAATCGGACGAGATTAGTACCAACTAAAATCCGTAACTCTTCTCTTTCCTTTTCCCTTCGCTCTTTATCTCTGCTGTGGCCCTGATGTTGCATTCGTACCCACAACTTATTCATTTCAGCAAAGTTCATGAGAACAAAGTCTATACTATCGCGTACCTGAAAGTCAAAAAAGGTTTACCTGGTTTCTAAGAATTTTATGATCTTTGCTATATCCATGGCTTACCGTCCCTTCTTCCGGAACTCCATCGATTACATCAGGTAATATATTTCTAGTACACTGCAGTAAATAATTTCTCAGAAACAATCCTCGCAGTGGATGTTGCACGCCTCTGCACATTTCGACTAAATCTCTCAACAGATCCCTTCTTAGGCGAGGCACCATTTTTATGTAAACTAATCCCACGGTTATAAGTAAATAGCTGCAAGTAGTTATTTCAATTGAACATACAGATTTAACACAATTAAAACTCGGAAAGGTATTCACAACTTACAGTCGTGGTACAATGTTTCCAGCATATTGCACTATTTCGTACAGATCGGTGACTTTTCCATTTTTCTTAAATTCATCTAACAAGAAGAGTTGCAAATGTCTAAGCTCATCCGTAATTGCCATATCTTAATGGGAATGATAAGGAAATACTAGTTTCGTACTAATAAGTGCATAAATTAATTTACGTTAATTATCATTGTAAAAAAAAGGATACAAAGTTCATAGTAGCTTTTTGGACTAAGCAGGGAAGTTCGTAATTCACCCAACATAGAGGAAGCATGTTTCAAGGCGTCCATCAGCTTTTCATTATCCAAACAGTGCTTCATTTGAAAAGCTTGAACCCGAACGACTCCACTTGCATCTTCCAGCAATTTTTGCTGCTCCTCTACTCCCGTCATAACAGGCGTCATTGGCTATGAATAAAGATACGTACTAAGAATATAAAGCGACCATGCCGAATTAAATATCAAATTTACTTGTACTTGACGATACATTATACAATTTTAATGTTACAAAAGTGACCATGCAAAACGAAGTCCAATACTCATCTCTTGATACGAAGGTTGACGACGACAATGTCAGATGAATCAGAATATTCAAAGCATTGACAAAATAAGAAGTGTTTGTAGTTATAGGTTACATCGCAAGCTTTAATCGACAAAGTACACAAACTATTCAATATTACCGAATGCAAATAAACTCAATATGAGATAATTGAATATAAAAGTTTAACTATTAAATGTTAAAACAATAATACAAAAGTTTACGATGAAACATGATCTAACCTGACATAATTCAGAGATAATCTAGAGAGCACAAAATTATTTAATATATCTCAATGTGGACGCACATACATCACAATTCACTTTAGAAACGAAATGTCAACGTACTCACCATTTTTGTAAAAAAAAATAACTACGTACAAAGCTTTAATGAAGCATCACCTGTATAACTGACAGAATTACCTCAATCGGATTCATATCTAACTTCGAAGAAACAATTTACTGTCTTATAAAGTACAGAATTGCGGCTTGTTCCGCCATCTTGTGAGTAAACGCTTGAAGCAGGAACGAAACAGATGATGAATGCAATTGAATGCAATCGTGACCAGAGCATCTCTGATCGTGACCAGGGCGTTTATTATGTATTTTTGACGAGCGCGCTCACTTCTCGCACTTCCATCTCACGTGGGTTTATTCGCCGAATTACGTATTCGCTATATGAAAGAACGAAATCACTAGCACTTCCGGTCTAGTAATATTGCAAATAAAGGTATATACCTTGTAAATCGAACATTTCGAGAGGTGTGCAGAGCTGTGGGATATAGGCAGGAAAGGCGGGAAGATGGAAAGCTGTTAAAAGTAAAGAAAAAGACTCGAGTCTATTCATATTTTTTAAATATGTTTACATTCATATTTACATTTACTATAATTAGAAGTTCAACAATACAATTTTCTTATCATGTCATGTAAGCATGAAGTATTTAACAGTTTTCAATGTTTAATAATGTAATATAACCTTGCAATAACAAACACTAACCGGTATGTACCGTCCGTTGATCAAACTCGTAGGTTATATTCAACCTAAATGTGTCTTTTTAAAAAAGATTCTATACTTTTCGAGCATTGTTCAAACGCTTTTTCAAATCCAGTGCTATCGACATCCTGTACACATATAAACGTGTGCATTCAGAATAATAAAATTCATGACCGGTCATCAAATTTAAATTCTACTTACACAATATGGATCTCTTATAATCGATATTCCGTCTGGATAATATTGGCCAAGGAGTTCTACCTTTGTTTTGCTATCTTTTGGTCTTATTTCATTTAATTCTTTCATATTTGCTTCGTCCATTCCAAATATCCAGTCGAACTCATAGAAGTCGCTCTCCTTAATCTTATTGTGATAAAAAAGGTGTCATATAAAATGTAGAAGTTTCAATAAGAAATGAAAATATTGCTTACCACCCTGGACCTGTGACTATAATTAGTGATTCCTTTACTATAAAGTGTTGACATTGTTCTTTCGTTCGGATATTCTCCAGTATGGTATCCTTTTAGTGCAGCACTGTCAACTTCCCAGAAATCTTTTAAACCTAGTTTCTGTATTTTCTCGTTAAACACAGCTTCTGCCATCGGAGACCGACAAGTGTTTCCTTTAATATTACAATATTAAATATACGTTTATTGTTATGCATACATGTACATTTAATTATTAATTAATTGTACCTAAGCAAACCATAAGTACTCTCCTTCTTTGAGCCATTGCTTTGTTTGGCAAAAATTCCTCGTTTCATAAAGAACCCGCCAAAAATTTTGCACAATTACTTCACCTAATGTCACGATCCAAGATGGTCGACCTTCCTTTACCAAGCTCTTAATTGTGCGATGGAACAAACTCTGGTAACATTATACGTAAACTTAAAATATTAAATGAAATGCGCAAACTAACGTCTGCAGTCGTTTTTAGACTTTGCACTACAGTGACCAAAGGAAACAGTAGGACGTAACACTGCAATTACTCGATATATTTTTAGTCCCATTCTATGACACATAATGCAACTTGCGTCATATCGCTCTGTTATTAAGATAATAGCAAAAAAGTACTGTATGTTACAAATAGCTTGATCTAATGGGAGGGGTGTCAAATTATATTTTATATCGCTTAAAACAATGCGTTTATATAGAAAGTAAAATTACATAACAAATGTAATGTCCTATTGCTTTATTTCTACAATGAAAGTACGTATCTCCATTGGTTTCAGAGTAATAGTAGTACCATCTTCTGGTACTCTCTGCGGATTGGTATTCAGATCATTTCTGTACGCATCATTTGCTTCAGATTCCCATTTTAGACGCTGTTCATCTTCTAGCCACTGGTTTGCACCTAGAGTTGTCTCGTGTACTGATGTCACCGTAAACCATGGGAGTATGTCCTGAAATAAAACCTTGTTTAAAAGTTCTAAACGCTATCTAACTAAAATCATTATGCTAAGTAATTGATCAGGGAGACTAAATACCGTAATATTCAATGTGACAGGCTGAGACAGCTGTTGAGCTTCATTAACTTCGAACAAATGTTCCAGCCTCAACAAAATGGTACCTTCTTTCCAGGGTTCCAGAGTTAGAATATGGACATTTGGAGGCAGTGCCTTAACTTCTCCAGCACTCTGGTTTAAAATAAAAAAAAAAGTAGACCAAAACGTTTAGCAACAGAAAATAAGATACACTTTGGATGTCGCTCAGCGTCATATAATTACTGTCATTTTGTAGAACTTCTTCCATTCATCGTAGGTAAGGTTTACAGCAGGGCTAACAAATGTCCATGGCTGAAGCGCTAATTTTAAAGCCAAGGTTTTTTCTTCCAGCACTAAATTATCTTTGTCAGTTGTACTAGCACCGAAGATGTAATGGGTTCCTCTTGCCACCAAACCTTTGCCGAATGCTTCTTCATTCAGAGCCTCACCCACACCAAACGCATCATCACTCAATAACCTTCTGTGTAGCTAATGAGATATAGTTAATCATCTGCTTATTATTAATTATGTATTATTATTTATGCTTACCATTAATTCTAATTCGCCATCTTGCATACTGGTTCCCCCTTGTGCTCGGTCATTTAGAACGTTAAGTCTGAGTCCTTGTTTTGGATCTTCAAGATATATTTTTGATGTTACGGGGTAATAATTTCCTGACACTGGTTCAGCTAATTTAACCTGCCATGTTGGTCGATAATTCCTCAAGCGTTTTATCATTTCTCGCCCATTACTGTCTGTATAAAAGGTTCCTTCGGATTTGAGGTTACTAGAGTACCTGGATACAAGTTCTTTGCCGATTTTATCACTGAAATGAAGAAACCAATACTTCATTTATTTAACTACTAATTGTATAATGATATTAGCATTATTAGAAAAATGTTTTACCCGACAGGGATGGGTCCAACGAGCCAATGAAATTCGATTTGTTTTCCCATGTTATAAATTCTTAACACTTGACTAACCCAATCGTTTATTGTTTGATGAATCTCTTGTACTAGAGGACCTGTGCAATCCCATTGTGAACAAATTTTACTTTTTATTGTAAAGTAAAATGAGATTTGATATTGATAGTAATTTTTGACGTACCTTTATAAATTTTAAATGATCCACTGTATGTCAGATTGTTTATCTCCGGTTTTTTTGGTCTGAAGATGTAAGCCCCGGAGGAACGATTTGCAAAGATTTTGTTATTACCTTCAGCTCCTTCATAGTAATGATAAGATTGTACAAGTTTCATCTTCTCATTTTTCCATTGAATCTGGATTTCACCAGTTGAGGTGACACTCACATCGTACAGCTTTAAAAGTAAACAGAATTTCACATAAACAATAAACATTAGGTTAACAATTTAATAGAAAATTGCTTTACTTACAGAATTTCCAATGGATGTGTCCGATTGAACTTCATTAATGTAATCGTTCTGATGGTTTACTTTTTCAGTAACATAAAATGACAGATAGCCAAGGGGTGGAATTTCATCAGCGTAGAAAACTAATTCCTTTGTGGCAGTGCTTTTTCTTCCAGGAATATTTAGAACTGTTTCTGGAATCGGCACAATTTGAGATGTTATTTCCGTTCCTAGAAAATAAAACATGTCGTGAATTTTTTACTTCCATATGACATACATTATCGACACAATATTGCAAAAAAATATTTTGTTAATAACCTGTGGAGTTTTTAACACTGTACGAGTTTCCTTGGACCGGTAGTCGTACATAAGTCGACACAAGACGACTTTGTGAGTTGTAAAGGGTAACAACAAATTGTTTATTTTCCTCGGTTGGCTTGCAAGAGCTTATATTTAATTGTAGACACGAATAAAACTTAACGGGAGGTTGTTCAGGTTCTTTCGCTAAGATTTTCCTTCATGGAAATAATTAATAAGAAGATATTAACAGAGTTTCCTTAATATCTATCGTACCAAAATCATTATACTTACCTCAGTGCATCGGAATTAAGGTGTTCCGCCTGATGCACACTGGCATACAAAATCCGAGCATAATCGCTAGCAACTTTTTGCTTCTCCGTACCAGTTATTGCATCGTGATGCTGCATCATGCCCATCGCCTCTCGGAAATGACTCAAATGCTCGTCTTTTGAATCTAAGTGTGCTAACACTGAAAGTTGCTTACAAACCTAAAAACATATTTCATGCGATAAGTACGCGTTTGAAATATAAAAAAAAAGTGAAACTAGGTACGTACTTGCAAGAGGTTGTTACCCATTCTTTCAAAGAATTTCAAAGTAGGTCTAGAAGTGAAGTACCCAGTCCAATATGCATGAGGATCACTCGCGTAGGGAAAGAAATCATCGGTCTTAGTTGGCCATTTCAAATTAGCATCATGTAAAGCCTTGAGGTAACATGATGGTGTCGAGTAAAATACATTCACCGTTGATCCATTCCGAGCATTGGTATATCTAAAAACAAATTATGACACTAAAAAATTGTAATTGATAAATTACATATTTCAGTATCATGCAAAATCATGTAAAACAAACTCTATGGTGTTAGAATTCATGTTAAAAGTACTATTCCCCTTAATCATTTTTGAAAAGTGATTAATTTCCATTAAATCTTAGAGTAAGAGAATGCCATAAATAGACATGCCTACCTTCTTACCTAATAAGCATATCCATATTAACGAACCACATTTTCGCGTTTTGATAGTTAAAATCTTCACCCATTGTGAGAATAATATTATTGGTTTTATAAAACCTTGATTGATTTTGTACATAAGCCACAAATATCTCCACCTGTTAAATGATCACTTTGCTTATGGACCGTTAATTAATTAATTATGCACAATCATTTTTTGTACTTGGTTTTACAAGAATTCTATACATATGTATAGAAAATATTTTTTATAGGCCCCTTGTGTTGTACAATTTTTTTATAAAAAAATGCAATGTATTAAACAAGGAAGTATTCGTTTTCATAGAAGACTTTAACAGGATAATGATGATGACACATGTTCTTAGTAATTAGGCTATTCGAGAAAAAAGGTGATTGGTGATTGTAATTAAAAAGCCTTTAGTACCTTATTAGACTGTCCAAATTTTTGAACCACATTTGTGCGTGTTGATAAGTAAAATCTCCTCCCATTGTCAAAATTGCATTATTCGTGCGGTAATGGCGAGCTTGCTCTCCGGTGAAATTGAGAAAGGAATCAATCTGACATAAAAACAAATATAATTAATAACTAAGAATTAAAATAAAATGACGTATTAATATGCTGACCAAACATTTTTAGCAGACCATCGCGTCTTACACTCGCCACATATCATGTAATTATTTAGAAATAGAAAAATAAATTTAAGTCTTAAATACATCTTGCAGAGCGAACTTTTTAAAAACAATCACATAATATAATTACAATACATTGCTGAATGTGAGAAACTACTTCCAAGTAAAATCTTCTATTGAAACTAGATTGTCATTGTCATTGGAATTATAATATAGACTATGGATTGATTATTCAAGGCATACTTACTCTTTTAGCAATATTATTATCAGGGCTATCAGGATCATCGATTAATGGCTCATCGGCACAGAGCACATCAAAGCAAAAGCCTGGTGGGGGTGAATAGTTATTAAACAGGACACCTGTGAATAAATCTGCCTTTCCACCTGTAACAAAAAATGGTCCTCACGTATTGTTGTTCAAGATTCTAACATATTGCACACCGAATTAACTAAGCATACCTAAACTAGGACTTGCTTTCCAGATGAATTCAGCAGATTTCTCACTTAACCGCTTAAGTTTGTCCTGGTAATCTAGACGGCCAATAAACATGCCATCAAAGCCCATCTGGGCGAACATTGAAGCCTGTTCTCTTGAATGTCCAAAAGGATCAATTTGCCATCCTATATGAGGTCGAGCACATGTTCCAAAAGTATCGTTCAAACGTCTGAAATTATTAAGTTCGTAATTAAAGCCTTCGAGCATTATTTCAACTGTATGCTAACAAATATGTACCTGAATCCCCAGGTGAACTGATCGATAACAGAGTGATAATGAGTAGAGCCTTCATCGTTCATGCTCCATCCCCCACTAATAATTTCGAGTCTTCCTTCATTTATCAAAGTTTTAACATTTTGCCTTACTTCATCATTCTGGCGCAACCACCACTTCCACAGGAAAGCAGTTTCCACATAAATAAACCTGTGCGAAATAATTAATTTTACTTAACTGTCTTAACATTCAGGTTTAACCAATTACCTTCTTTGTGGATCTTTAAGCAGCTCTTCGATAACGGTATCGAGGATGTACTGCACTCCTGCCTTTTGGATTAAGGATTGACCTATGTAAAAAAATTATGTCTCACTTTCTTGTTTCATATAGTATTACTTAGGAACAAAGTGTTGGCTTACTCCCAAAGTAATATTGGTCCACCGTTTTCAGCCATCCAACATCGTCATGAGTATGTGGTACCAAATGGATATTCAACTTATCCTTGCTTATTGTGGGGCATGCCTATAATAGAAAGTCTGTTAAAATCTGATGTGTTCATTGACCAACGGTACAGGTCAATTAATTTATGAAATTTTCTGGTACTTACTGCATAACCGCATGTAGACTCTAAGGACCGTGTGAAGGTTTGAATATGTGCGCAATTCCCTGACGTTAAAAAATAGCCAAATAGCAGAGGGAGCAATAAAGGGACAGTGATCCCTGACATAATTGTGTTTGGTTATGTTTCCTTATTTTCGAGGAAAGCACTAGCATTCGATCCGACGGAGTTATTGAATTTGAAATTTTCTGAGCCGGCGTCTCGTACTTATGCCTCCTTTTATCGCGTTGATGTGTATGAACCTTTCATTGTATTCTACATGTCTAAATGCTGTGCACTATATGGACGTATTCTCTGCAAATGCCAGATACGGGAAATATTCCCTCCGACTCCCTCGCGAGAGAACACTGCTGGCGATTCATTTTATCAAGCAATACTTTGTCCTTTCTTACTCGATCCGTCTTTTAAAGCAATTTTCAGATCCATTCCGATAATACACGAAAACACTAAGAGTTGCAATGTTACAATTGCGTTTTCGTGCGTCCATATATTTCAAGTATTTTATAAAAAGAAAATGTAAAAGATTAAGTCTCATAAAGTGAGGTCAATATCCTATTTTTTTCGGTCATTGATCCGTAAGCTTAATTCTCCACTTGACATTATTCAGTGGTTTGTTTTGAATGATATCGATAAAATCCATAAAATAGAGATAACTCTAGCTTCTTGTAAACACTGAAAGATAGAAAGGGAGGTGTGGCATCGAGAGATTTCTGATATTAATTATCGAACATCGCACATATACCGTAAATACATTTATATGCACTTATACTTATAACAATACATGTAATATATTCATACTTAAGGAACTTATTTAATAATTACTTAAGTAATCTAATAGATTCCTTTGTCAACAAAAGAAAACGAAACACAAGAAACAATATTTAATTGCACTGTATTCATGATTCTAAGAAATAGTCAGCGACAAGAAATAAGAAAACAGTGTTTATTCATGTATCATATGTAATCGATAAAAATGCAACAAAGTAACACCGCTGTAAGCAAAAATCAACGTTCCGGATTTCTATTAATAATCGCTGATGAACTCTCGAGCGGCACATACATTTTGTGATATATACGAATGGTATATTTTTACAATTAAGTATTTCAAATCCGACTGGAGAGTTCGATCTTGACTAGGAGCGTAGACTAGTTATTTCTAGAATCGAGGAGGTAGGTTGATTAAGCATAATTAAGCTCAAACTAACGTAGCGTTAACACCACGTTCTTTATATATCTCCATTTATAATTTTCTTCTGAAAAGAGTCAGCATTGAATACTCAGCAAAAATAGGAGCATGCTCAGTTACACCAGAGACAGGTTTCGTTAGCGATGTCCTTTGGGTAATCTTCAGGGTTGTTCGGAAACCTAAAAGAAATCACTCTCTTCAGATAATTTTTAGCTCCTCCGATACACTTTGCAAGAAAATCCATTTCTTTGTAAATTTCTAACACACGATAAACTAATAAATATAAACATAAATCGGTAGACTGATAATTAGATTATACTTTGTAAACAGATAATATTCAATTACGGGTTTGATAATAATCGCGTAATCGCGGTCACTGATTAAAAGCGTGATTAATTGACGTACCAAGATTAGGTAAAGTTGCATGTCTAAAAGTCAGAGTACACGATCGTGTCCTGAGGCTTTTCAAATTTGATTGGTCGATAATAAGATTGGGACTGATCCCAGCCTCGGGGTGCAGTATTATAATTCGTCAATGTCTGAAAGCTGGATAATTTCGGTCCGTTATAGGTACTCTCGTAGAGTTTCTGCCCTGTAACGTGTTAAAAATACAATTACTGTTACAACTTATCGGATGAATTGTGCAACCGAATAACACTTTCGATAATCCACGATCTCGATAAAGACTCGATAGCATCCGACCTGATTTTATGAAAAACAAATGATGCAGATCCAAGTCCGATCATTATGATGCTTAAAAAAACGGATTCCACGCTTAACAGATAAGGATTTAAACTCTCTATTTATTCACAGGGCTTATCAAAAATCTGAAAAACAGTAAGGCGAATGGTAAACAGAGCACTCCTCCACGCCACCGTAAATAAGACGTCTCGGTGGCATCCTAAGCTCTCTTTCCAGAAATACTCACCAGGAATACTCATTTCAGGACGAATTTCAACATCAGGACTGACTGAAAATGCAGGAAAGGGGATCCCGACGGAACAAGTCAGGCTCGTCATAGCAAGGCACATGAAATCTCAGGAAGGGTTCAGCAACAGCCAGCAATGCCCATGCGCTCTAACTTGCCTACGTCGGAGTCGACGCCATTCAGTTTGCACTCCAGCGAAGCACCAGGGACCAAGTTCTCCAAAACAGGTGTATTACGCAGATTTCTAATCGTCTCCAGAATATCTTCCTGGGAGGCCACCATAGCGAGAACTCTAGGTTTGGACTCCATGGAATCATCCCCATCGCCATTCTCAAGCCCAGAATTTCCATTGGTCAACTCATCGAAGCCAGTTAATTGACCATTAGCAACTTGTCGTCTCCAAAATTCATCGACGAGGCTCATGGTGAACTCGGACTCCCCGTTGCCGAGACTAGAGGTCTTCAGGAACTCAGACTTGGTGCTCTCTTCCTCGCAGAAAGACGGAGAGTTGGAAACCCCGCGGTCGAAATTATTGTAACCATTCGAAGGAAACTGGCAGTACTGCTCGAACTCATCGTCGTCGTCGTCGTCGTCCGAATCGTCGTCTTCCTCCTCTTCGTCCTCCTCTTCGTCCTCCTCTTCGTCCTCGTCTTCGTCTATTTCCTCTTGCGGGCATCTTGGAGGCTCCAGGACTCTGCTGGACACTTGCTCGTAGTTGTTGATGAGGCGAGAATTAAAATACCTCGACAAATCGCTGTCGACCGTTGCTTGGCGGATAATCGGCACGATCTTCGGGCTGATCTTCTTGTACTGCATGGACGGTCGGCAGGTTTTCTCGAATTCTTGAATAAGTTGTTTTACAGGAACCGGGGTGTATTCGTTCTCCTCGCTGTTGTCGGAGTGCTCCTCGTAGACGCGTCTTTCGGGCTTCGTCTTCATGGGCTTCGACTCGCGATTGCGACTCATCGACGGCTTTGCCAAAGGGTTAGCTAGCGATCGGCTGTAGCAGTTATTCGAGCGAAGCGACGAGTTAGCCAAGCAGTCGTTAGTTTCGTCCAGGACGACGCGTCGGGATTTTTCTACGTTGACGAAACGTCCTGGTGGATGGTTAAGTGGGAAATCGACCTCGGTCCCGACTGCGACTTCTCTTACGTGGGTTCTCTTCACCTCGGCACATTTTGTTAGACCATGGTTTGCCTTACTGGCACGTCTATAGTTGTTCCCTGAAACTTTTGCCATAAGGGGCTGAGCGAAGTTCATGACCGTTTAAACATTAGAGATTTTAATAGTTGTCCGGATAGAGCTCCACTTATAAGGCTCGTGGCAAATATACGCTCTCCTTTGATCCGATTCCAAAAGTTTATGCAGGAATCCTTCGCGTTCTAAATCTAGAGTAGGCCGATATTACGAGAGGTCGAGAGACGTACGTCTCGAAATTTGCAGCCCTTTGTTCTCAGAAATTGTCATATCTATCCAGTTATCCATTGCTTAGCGCAGATACGCACCGTAACGAAAATACGGGAATAATGTTTTCTAACGGGTGCCAGCACGGTTTGCCAAGTAACATCATGCATTAGTTGCGACTGTCGTGCGTTCTCACCTGTTGAAAAGTTGGCACCGTTCAAAGAAAGGTCCAACGTGAAAGGATTGTAGAAAGGTTGCGACGCCGGCGTGGACGGGAAGGGTTCCATCGGTGGGAACTTTGCATTCTCGTTGGCAATGTCCTAAAAGTATTCAACGGATTTAATTATCGAGCTGGAGTGATCAAGTTTTCATGTAGACGGTCGTGCCAAATCCAGGGGAAATTACCTGTTTGGTAGGATAAATCGGAGCTTTGGATACTGCCGGAGTACTCGGGGTCTGGGGCTGACTTTTATCCACCACCCATTTCTCGGAGCGTTTTCTGCGCTTTGCAAATATCTCCGCGCCTGAAATTTGTTGAAATTAATCGATTTGGATACGGACACCGGTCTACTAAAGTGCAATTTCGAAGAAGCCAAACCAGGAAGCCTTGGCTCAAGTTCAAAGCATTTCGGGAAATTTGTCAGATTCGTCCGTGTAATTTCAGGGTGAATCTTCACGATCTTAGTATTAACAAAAAAAAATGAAATCTTTTAATATCGATAAATTACCGCGGCCTTTCTGGTTGTTGAGGTCACGGACGATGTCGAACATTTTCTCCGGATGCGCCGGTATCGGCTCGATGTTCACTTCCTCTCCCAGAGCTTGTATGCAGTGCATGTCCAGGACTTTTCCATTCGGATTCATAACGCACTTCAGAGGAACTTTATCCTGCCGGGAAAAATCAAATTATTCTCCGGTGAACCAAGACATCTCTTGAATTCTCGATGTTCACCTTGTGAATCGGCGACGGAGGTTCGTCCTCGCCTTCCAGCCCTGAGCGAAATTACAATCGATTATCTCTACCACCCGAACGAGTAAATAAATAATCAAAAAAATTCCAGCTACCATTCCCATCGTGGATCCACTTGACGGATCGCTTTTTCCGATTGACGTACATCGACTGACCCTTGCTCTTCATGTTCCTGACGTCGCTCAGAGAATGCGAAATTCGGCGTGCGAGTTCGACCTGGTCCTCCACCGTGGGATGCGTCGGTGCGTAGAAGTACGAGGAAGCGTACATTTTTTCTGAAAATGGGAGATAAATATATAATAAAAAAAAATGTGCCTCTCGATGTTTAATCAATTAAAACTTCAATTGCATCGCAGTTAACGAATTCCTTACTGCTCTTCGAGTGGATGATCTCGGGCGAGTCGGATGCTGGCGTCAGCAACTTCTGCAGGTCGATCGGCGTAGCCTCGCCGCTTTCCTGAGGGAGGGTGAGATTTTATTTTCGATATCGTATTTTACATGTACTTAGAGATATCTCACCATGTCGAAGTGCAGGATCTTTGACGTCAGGCTCTCCAGGAATCTTCTTTTGACCGGGTCGTGTCGGTCCGAAGGCTTGAAGCCGCGATTGCGGACTACAACATTGTCGGCCGAGACGCTTCTCTGCAAGTAGCTGCTGGTAGCTTGCAGACTGTAGTTCACGCACTTGCTCGCAACATCTCTAGCAGCCGGGGCGAGGTTGTACGCCGCTGCGTTGCTTACAATATTGCGTTTCGTATTATCGTGTCTGTAGAAATGCAAATGATTCATGGTGAGAGGGCCGAGTGCAAGCCGCTGCCGCATCGATTCGGACGCGCGATTCTGCGAAATTCCGAATTATCAAGGGAGAGAAATTCCATATCGAAGTACCGATTGTAACGAGTAGGACCGCGAGTAGGACAATATCGGCCCTAATTACCAAAATCTGCGAAAATCGGGAAGGTCCTTTGCGGGGTGTACGTAACAGTTGGCTCCTACCCTACTGTCAATCGGATCGAGAATCCGCCTATTGGCGCAGACACAACGGGGTTCCGGTCTAAAAGGACTGCTAAATTTACTTGCTCGTAACGTTTAAAAATACGGACTGAAGCGGCGTCCTCGTAAATCCTCGAGGTCTTCCTACGAGTACTCGAGGATGATCGATGGATCCGATTGCCCCGACCGACCCTCGACTTCCAGCAACCCTATTAATCCTCTAGAGTGCCGGTAATTTTACCATAAACCGTAAACGCAATTGACGAAAATCTAGAAAAATTCGCGTACAATTTTATGCGCAAAAATTCACCGAATATCTAGAAAAATTCGCGTACAATTTTATGCGCAAAGATTCATCGAATATCTAGAAAAATTCGCGTACAATTTTATGCGCAAAGATTCATCGAATATCGACACCGTTAAGTCGTCGAAATAATTCGTTCGGTGCCATAACTCGAGGAGTACGCGCAACTGACCGAGTATAAAAAATCTGTAACAATTCGCGTACGATTTTGCGAGGAAAGATTCATCGAATATCGCTACCGTTAAGTCGTCGAGATAATTCGTTCAGTGCCGGGTTCCACCCGCCAGGAACTCGAAGAGCGCGACGCTCGCCGTCCGCCCGCGCCGGCCCGACAGCCACGTCGAATCGTCTAACGTTACGAACAGATAAATTTAGCGTTTCTTTTGCATCGACCCCCGTTGCGTCCTTGCCAACAGAGAAAAGGCGAAGGGACGTGGCCGGAATTAATCGGCCGACCGCCTCCTCCCCCCGAGCTCGGCAGAATTCAATTTCTCCCGGTACCCGATATTAACGATGACCAAACGCATTTACATTCGCAAAATCGCAAGATAGCGCGAATTGGTTGGCGGGAAGCTCGCGTAAATCTCCTCTCCCCGGGCTCTGTCTACTCCTGGGGCTTTTCCACGGTTATTTTCACCCCGCGATTCCTGCCGAGCCACCGCTACTTGAACCCACACGCGCGATTCATTGCGTTCCACGTACCGACACGAGTACCTTCGAATGTGAATGGCTCTGACTAAAAACGAACGAAATCGAGAGCCACGAGTTAGCGCGCCACGTGTGTATATTTGGCTTGTTACGAAACATTGAAAAAGAATCTCCGCGGATGAGATTACGTCAGAGGTGTCGATCGGCGCTCGATGAGATGGTATTATTCGCTCATTTTTACAGAGGGGTAGGAAGGATACCGTTCCCTGACAATGGGTCATGGAGTAACCCAGTTACGGGTCTCTCTACACAGTACCCGCAAAGAATAAAACGCACAAGTGGTACGTCCCGACACGGCGCAGTAAATATAAGCCGAGGGAACACTTGTTGCGACGAAACGCCGACGAAAGAGAAGAAGCGGCTCGTTATTTCGGGAAGGTTTTTGTCGGAAAAGAGGACGAATCGGACACGGTCTGCACTTCTTCTCGCTGAGGATTAAATCTTCCGCGAAGACCATTTCAGAAATCCAAATAACACCCCGATGGGTCCTCTTACGGCATGCACGAAACGGTAGACGGAACGGATATAAAAAAAGCAGGTAGAGTCTCACGCCAAGTACACTTCCAAGGGGTTTTCTCCTGGGCACTGGAAATTTCTTAACTCTTCCTGCTTTCACTAAATCTGAATGTAATAAGCGACTCGACAGGGTCTCGTGCAATTTTTAGTATTCGATACTTTACTTATTAACCGACGTCCTCATCGCGCGTATCTCGGGCCGTCTGGTTTTCGTATTTTACGTAACTTCCCTCGGTCGACTCGCCGCGGCCGGACTCGGAGTCGCTCGGCGCTCGCCATCTAACCGGGAGCACACGGTCGGGTTTTGCATCTTGCAAAATATTCCCCAGGCGCTACATATGAGCGACCAACACCGGTGAATCCCGTTACGTGTCCTCTACCCACGGGCGCACACAGGCGCGCATTATTTGGTAACCCACTTCTACAAATCCGCGGAATCGTTCTCGGGAGGACCGGCGAGTTGGCGACGCGCGAAGGAGTCTATAGAGCGCGTCCATTCCCCGAGCGTATTCCAACCCCTCGACCAATTCGCAAAACATTTATAAGATTCTAATTCTAAAAATTGACCGCGAACCCCGACATTACCATGAGCGGCACATAAGTCTCGGGAAAGCTCGATCTACTTTACAATTTCACTGTCGGCATGCCGTAGAACTTGGGAGGAAATAACTATTTTCGAGCTTTTTTAGGTACAAGGCGTATTCCTCCAGGGGTACGATCGGAGGATTATGTCTGTCACGCTGATTAGAAGGTTTATGGAATTATGGGCGGTTCACTGGGGCTCGGGGTTGCTTCGAGACGCAAAACGACGGCAAAGTTCGTGTCTCGGGTACGGTATATCGCGCGGCAAACGTACTTGGTGCGCTCTCGAGCACTGGGCTCCCTTAAGGTAGGGACGGCGACAGTTACGACACGGCGATGCGGCTCGCAGTAGCCGGTGTAGCGGATAGTAGCGGCTAGTAGCGGCCACTCGTTGCTCGAGACTTCCCGACGCGACTCGGGTCGCGCTCGATAAAAATAGACCCCCAGAAAGCGACCGGGCTTCTGGGCTTTCGGTTTTCAGCTCTTGGTCCGACGACCGCTCGCATCCGCCAGGGACAGTGCGTCGGACCACAAGGCGAGACCTTTGCTTCGAAAATGATGTCTTCTAACGCGTTCCATCGGTGATCCGTTCTCTTGATTTCTTCATTATAGACCTACATCGATTTAAAAAAAAAAACATAAAGTTACGTGTCGCGGCTCAGCGAATTGCATACGGAAAGTCTTTGAACGCTCCTGTGAGAACGACTGGCTTTATTGTTCCTTTCTCGATGCTCCTTGAGACAAGATTGTAGGCGTAAAAAAGTATACATCATCAATCCCAATCATTGACACTGGTTTCCTTGACGATATCCGTATTTTCTCTGGGAAGGTCTTCGATATCCTCAAGGGCGGCGTGCTTGGTTTTTTTCTTCTCTGCTCGCCTCCCAGACTTTGACTTTCTTTTTCTCTTTTCCAGCACCTCGAGCTCGTCCTCGTCGTCATCCCCGTTTTCTTCCGTCTCTCTGGCTCGCTCTTTTAGTTTCTTTAACGTGGGTAAACCGAAGTCGGCAACTTCGTCGTTCTTTGTCAAAAGCTTCAGCTTTTGCGACCGCTGGATCTTGATCCAAGACTCGAAGAATTTCGAAATTGGAGTTCCCTGGGCTCTCATTCGGTTCTCCCAATTTTTTATTTCCACGGTGTCCTTTAATTCGAATGCTACGTTGGCTCGTTGCTTCTCGATGAACTGCCGGTTCTCTTCGATCTTGTCTAAGAGCTGTTTAATTTTTCTGCAGTAGTTCGCTACGTGACACTTTTTCACGAATGCTTTCAACTGAAACATAGGATTAGGTAGCATAATTTATTTATGAAATTTGAAACAATCAGATTCTGTTACGTTACACTGAAATTATAGAACAGTCAAAAAACATACCTGTATGACACAAGGCACGTACATGTCGGGGAAATAAATTTTATGACTGTCTTTCTCTGCACACGTTAATACAAGTTCGTAGATATTTTCAATGATGCTGTCTTTGAAGCCATTTTCTTGTAACTGTGCCTTGGACATTCTCAGCACGCAAGTTAATGGTATGGGTTTCATGGACACTGCTTTATGCCTCTTGTTAAAATCATATGAGTCAAGTATCTGAAAAACATTAGAAACAATTATAATACTCTAATCCTGACTAACACCACATACAATTACGAACACTAATTTACCTCCAAAGCAAATGGCAAGATCGGTATGAAAGTATCGGTGTCCTTAGAAATGTTTATTAATATTTCTATACAATGGAATCGTAAAGGATAGTATTGCGTAGTTGGTATTACTTTGATAGTTCCTGTGATAATCTGCAAATTAAATATATTTAAATAACAAGATCCAGCTGAGGCCAATAAAACTTTTTTACACCATGACATACCTGTACCAAAGGATAGAGAAGTGATTGCAACATTGACTGATTTTTTAATCTTATTAATTCAGCCCAAAACCGCAGGGAATTAATGTACTGCCAATTATATACTGCTTGGAAGTATTCCTTCTTCTTTAAAGTCACTGCATTTCTTAAATGAATCGCCAATTGACGGATATAAAGGAAAGCATGGTTATACGAAAGATTGCAGTCGAGCATAAATATTTCGCATAGTGAATGTCTCATAAAATTGATTCCTGGTAGGGTTATCGGAGAAACGAATTTGGAGTTTTCAACATATTTGACGTACATTGTCTAATAAGAAGAAACAAAATTAGTTTTGTTTTTAATGTGCCTATTTGAGTAAAAACAGTAATGAAGAAATTTACCTTCAACAAGGTTTCAAGAATCGATCCTTTGCGACCTAATGCATAATGTAATATATTCAGAAAAGCCACAACTCTGACTGTATCTTCACCACTTGACCACATTTGCAACAGTATCCTCAGCAGAGGTTTACTTAGCGTTGAGAATGAATGTACATAAGGTAACATTTGATGAAGATGTTTCAAAAGTACAGTAAGGATGTTAGATGACGTTACGTTTTTTAATATCTAAAATAAATAACATTGAATAATCAGATCTATATGACTACTAGTTTTGTTAATTTAATAATCACTTACTTACCTTAATTAAGTCTGTAAGATATGACTTTATGACTGTTTTTACTTTGACAAACCGTTTCGCTTTATGAGCTTCAAATGAATTTCCTGGACCCAATTGTAGAAACTTCTTGAACGCAGGAGGTAGATGTAGAATACACAAACGTACTATTCCATTGAATGCTAAAACGCCGAAAAATATCATGAATATATATAATAATGAATTTATTAGAAACTGGTATTGTTACAAACCTGTAGCCCCTTCAACTTTATACCGAGTGCTTTTAGGTTCATTTGGTTCTTCCACCATTTGTAAAGCTGCATGAAAAGCTTCAACAACATTTTTTATTGTCTTTAAGGGTCTGGAAAATCAGTCAAAAATAAATATTATCCACTCTTAAAATTAAAATATTTATGTACGTATTATAAAATAGATGTAAAGGCTTCAGTGTTGGTACCTGGTTTTTTCTAGTTCATCTTGCCAAGTTTGAAGCAATTTCTGTGTTACTTTCTGTGGACCCCCTAAAGTAGTACTACCTTCTTCTCCTACTGGCTCATAATCACTTTCATCACTTGCAATCTATTTTACCCACATTAATTAAAATATAAGACATTACTTAAAATATAAGTGAGAACAATATTAATTAAAATATAAGTGAGAATTTAATAAATTAAATGATAAAAATTTTAATAATACCATGCTAAATTGTATAAAACAAAGGTATGAATTATACCTCTAAATTATCTTCAAGGGTATGAGTTTTGCTATCCTCGATTTCTGAAGGTACATCATCCTCATCAGACAAATTAAACTCTAAAAGTTTTTTGTCATTTTCCTTCAAATACGAGTAAAATTCAGGATCGGTATCTTTTAATTTCATTAACGATTTTTTGTGTTCATCAGGGTCCATATCACTTTCTCCGCTATCATAATCCTTGTCTTCACTATTGCTGCCACCTATAAGAGACCACAATTTACAACAGGCAGTTAGAAATGAGCTACATTCCTCAAATTATTTTAAGTTTACCCTTTTTACTTTTTCGTTCTTCATCCTCACCACTGCTGTCTTCAAAATTTTGCTCAAAAAACTCTTCCGTTGTTACCTTACTTAATGGTTTTTTCAATTGCTGTTTCTTCTTCACCCTCTTGGCAACAATCTTTGATTTTTTTACTTTCATTTTATTTTTTATATTATTGTTATGTGAATGTATAATTTCTGAACAGAAAAATAATTTATATTAATGTGATGTTCATGCATTTAGAAAGTGCTCTTCTATTAAAACATAAACTTACCTTCAGCTTTTATAGAATTTATTTGTCATTACATAATTTATTTGACAAGCAGTTCACTTCATAGTCCTATATGTAGTTATGCAAATAATAATATGATAAATAAAACAATCTAGCAGGTAATGTAACAATATCAAGATTCACACGTGTACTCGGTAACTTTAAAGGTTAGTGGTAAACAGTAATACAGTGCTGCCACCTAACAAGCGGAAGTAGATTGAAATCGTTTCTGCACATGCGCAATGTAAGCTTTTAACATGATTTTAATTCAATTGTATGAATTTGCGAACAATTTCATCGGCAGTACTTATTAAGCTTCGAAATATCCATGACGGAATATTTGGAGTAGGAAATTCGGAGCATGGAGTCCATTTACGAAACCTCTCTTTTGTTTTTTGTAAGTAAACAGGTTGAGAGAAGAAAAGTCCTTCTGGAATCCCAAAGGTACCTGGCAATAAAAAATAATGCGAAGAGTAATTATTTTACTATCCAAACTGTAATAATTATTATTGAAGAAAATCTTGCATACCATCGGAAAAAATTCCTAAAGATACGATCTGATCATCGCTGTTGTCATTTTCACTGTACCATATTTTGATAATGTCACAAATAGCTTTACACATATGATTATTATTTCCTTGGCTAGTTCTGATAGCAAAGTTATTCTAAAAAATTAAATACACAGTAGAATCTTACAAGTAAATAATTTAAGCAATTTTGAAAATACCTCATATATGGGTTGCATCTCGTAAGGGCTTTTGTTATGCACTGCATAAAAAAACCAACGGAACTCTGTACAGTTTGTGCCTATGGGCAATGTTGATTTTTCACTTGGTATCGATGCCTTTGTATCCAGTTTAACTACTCTATGTTTTTGAAGCATGTGACACATGTCGATGAAATCATTCACTCCTGTAATAAATTAAAAATTACATTTATAGCAGTTATTTTAATTTACAATATATGTACTGTAAAAAATATATTCATCGACCTAAGAATCCCCACACAGGAGGACAACCAACTTCGTTCAATGGGATATTCATTGATTTAAGAAAATTGTAAACTACTTCTAAAGCATAGTGAGCACTGACTGCAACAATATTTTCTTTCCTCAGTTTTGTAGCAAATTTTGTTAGAACACCAGCACAAAAGCACGTTGGCCCTGTAGAGCAAAATATTACTTTCATGTGAGATGGAGCATATCTGTTTATTTGTTCAGCTAATTCATGCGTGCTTTCGTAGTTACGCCGTAGCCATTTCTCTGTTTTTCCTTGACCTTGCCTAAGCAATTTAAATTTACTCATTTTGGTAATTTCATTATCCAGTTGATTTTGACGTTTTTCATGCTTACCTTGGTACATAGTCTAGTATAAGTAGAATGTCACAATCTGATAAACCATCAGGTATCGAGTGCAGCACGATGGCAGCATTCAAACCACCTCCGATCAACGATGCATCTTTAACAATTTCCCTTAGCTTGGAAAAATTAGTAGCAGTATCAATGAGATTGACAGTGACCCCAAGTTGCAACTGCAATTCCTTCATCGTTACCAATTGTGCTACTAGATCTTGACAGAAAGATTTTCCTGCTCCAATTATGGTTACACGACGATACTGCTTCTGAATATTCTGTGACTTAAACTCTGTTTCTTTCTTGCAAGCCTAAGAATAGATCTGGTAGTTTGAGTAGAAAATTCTTTATAAATGTTGAATTGGAAATAATTATTGGACCCACCAATGTTGTATCTAATTTTAACTTTTCAAGTTGTGATCTTGTAAGTCGAGAGACAATACCATAGTATTCATGTATCAATTCCCAAAATTGTGTTACTCCTCCGACATACGAACGATTACCTCCACAAATTCCATTTTCACGCCAAATTAATGGAGATGTCATATGAGACCAATTGTTAGCGTTGCATATTTCTTCTAACCAAGGCTATGATACAAGTTTACATAAAATTAAATAATACAGTTCCCTAAAAGTTTTGTATAATGGATCAAAATACCTTCCACTCATCTTCTTTTTTGAAAATCCTTTCAAAATAAAAATTTGGTAGCATGTCAGATAAATTACTAGCGACATAACAAACATGACCAAATGCCATATCGTTAGGTATTCCTGCTACAACAGTAATAACTTTATCAGCAGCCATACCTTTTACTTATAGTTACGATGGATAGTTCAATGTCAATTAGGTTAGCATTAAAAAAAAAAAGAAAGAAAGAAAAACAAATTGAAGTGAGCAATGAAATTGATAGAACTTTCAAGCTTACTGACACAGACTGTCTACTTTTTGAATGTTGTAATTAAATTCGACACGTGTGCACACATTTTTTATGAAATATAATGCATTTATTTTGGTCTGATGTTTTAACCATAGACATGTCATACAAGTTACAGTTAATTTTACATTTTATTACTATTAATACAGTCTTAACGTTGTTTGTGACATTTCTGTAGTCTTCTAAGAGATCACTTATGTGTGGGTACGAAAAAAATATTTGACAGCTTAGTGCAAAAGGGTATGTGACATTTGACACTTGCAACTTTTTTGCACTAAGCCCTTTATTTGTAGGGAACAAAATTATTATATAAATTAAATTACAATGGAACCTGCCTCACATTAAAGCATTTAATAATTCAGAAATAAAATGCATCGATTAGAGTCTGAATATAATTCCCAAATTCCTGTTTTAAACAGAACATTTCTTAACTTAATCATTCGTTCAAGCGAGGGTGCGAAAGTAATCTATAAAGGCTTCTTAATTGAGTTAAAAGTCATCATCGGTATCAGATAATTCTGGTAAATCGAGGAAGGTGTCCTTGTCTATTTCATCATCTGATGCATCAGTAAATATCTTAAAGGTAGGCATTACCGGAGAAATGAGTGCTTCAGGTTCTAAATGTTTGAAAGAAAAAATCGTGATTAAATGCATAACTTATAAATTAAATAAAAGTGTATCTTACCTAACTCAAAACCTTCGTCTTCATTTTTGTTCTTAGAAAAATTAAGCACTTTCATCAGGTTGTTGAACTCTTTATCAATAGATTCACTGAACAAGTAATCTGGAAATGTCCACAGTATGCAAAATTCAATACTATTTAAATTTGTCTGCAATGCAGTAAAAAATCCCTATATCGTGATAATAAAATGTACATACTAAATTCACGTTCTTGATCATAAGGATGAGCCAAGATCTCTGGTTCTGGAAGTCGATCATTTTTCTTGTTTGCCATCTTGGGTGTTAACGGTTTCTTAAAGCAACTTTCATCCAAAGATTTCTTTGCTTTCAGACTTATATTCTTCAAGGAAGATGCTTTTTCTGACTTCATTTTCAAAGGCTCGTTAACCTATAAAATAAAACCATAATAAAGAGGCTGTAATCGCATAGTACCCACCTTTGCTTATCATCTACCTTTGAAGATTTATCTTTGTTGCGAGGAGAAACGGGTCGTCCAGAGATATCCAATTGTGTCAGTTTCGGCTTGCAATAATCCAACTCGCTGTCGCTACTTTTAGATACATTAGGAAGAGGTGTAGATGGACGATTTAAATCAGAATTTGAGCGCAGAGACAGCCCCTTTGGCTTTCTCGTAACCAGACCAGATTTCAACGGTGGCTCTAACATCGATCCCATAGTTTTCGACTTCGTCATAGGGCACATTGTGCCCCTAGAATATCCTAAAAATAAAAGAAAAATAGTTATAAAAGTTTCCGCAGCATTAAATCTATAATTTAATCCCCGAAAGGAAATCATCTCACCTAGTACCGAAGTTTGTTTTCGAGGCTCTCCAACCCCAGCAAACAAATCGAATATATTGGACATTTTCAACCACTGTTGTTCAAATCTCAAGATTTTCAATCGTTTATTAAACGTTAAAACTGAGGATCACTTTAAACTTAAGTAAACTCTCGTGAGTCCGTGCTCAAATGAATTCTTTGCCTGACAAATTCGAGTTTCATACGCTTTTCGGTTACTTCAATTTCTGTTCGCTTCTTTTGTCGGTTACAAAATCCGAGTGATTCTCAGCTCCTTCAAAATACTTCAGCTTGAAAATGGAGAATGGCGGGAAATTTGAACATTCAGTCCAAAGCCATATCAAAAGGTGGCGCGCTGACGCCACCTGGAAGGCGCGCGGAGAACCAGAGATACAAAAGCGATCTTCCGTCCGACGTTAACCTCCGCAGCCGTTCGGTGACAATTAAAAGCCTGTAAAAACCCTTACGGGATCTCGTGCGACGAACGGATACCACCTAAATGTCCTCGAAGCATTGCCGGACATTGCTGGTTAGAAATAATGGGCATAGCGCTCGCGTCCTCGAACAGACGCGTCACGGACGACGGTCAGCCTTGCGTCGTCTGCAGCGAAGGCTCGCAGCCGGGGAACCCGGGCAGCTTCGAGGACATTCACAAGAAGGTGAAGGACCTTTATCCCCGAAACTTCGAGGGAGCCCGATTAACCGTAAGAAAGTTGCTGAGCAGGCACTTCGACGTGTCGCACACGGTAACCCTGAGCTCGGTGACGCCCTCGGGGTACAAGTTCAACGCCTCCTACTCGGGCACGAAGAAAGTGGGTCTACACGAGCGGTACCCTCTGGTCAGCGGGGATTTGATGCCGAACGGAAACCTGAACGCTCGGCTGGTGCACACCCTCGGGTGTAGATGCAGGTTCAAGTTCGCCGCTCAGGTCGCCGAGGGGAAGTACAAGGCCAGCAGCTCCTCCCTTGAGTATCGCTCCGACGACTCCACCGTGTCCCTGACCCTAGCTAACCCGCACCTGATGAAGCTGCAGGGCACCGTGGTCCTGCACTTCCTTCAGGCCATTACTTCCAGGATTACCTTGGGAGCCGAAGTCGCGTACCTCGGGGAACCCAGAGTACCCAAAGGCATGCGGACCGTCGTGTCGGGTGCCTTCAGGTACAGCACCGGTCCCATCACCCTGTCCACCACGATCGGGAACGCCGGCGTCCATGTTTGCTACCATCGCAAAGCTAGTCAGCAGCTGCAGCTGGGCGTCGAGCTGGAGGCCAACTTTAGGACCCACGAGTCCGTTGGCACGATAGTCTACCAGCTGGACGTGCCCCATGCCGACCTCGTGTTTCGGGGAATCGTTAATTCCGAGACCTCCATCGGAGCGGTTTTCGAGAAGAAACTTTATCCCATTCCAGAGTCCTCCTTGGTCATCAGCGGGTTACTCAATCACGCCAAACAACAGTTTCGCGTTGGGATCGGACTCAACGTCGGCTGACATAGATCGATCGTCCTTATGAAATAAATCGTTGCATCTCTTTACGCCGAGAACGGATGGGAGATGACTCGCGGTCCATCTCGTTAGAGGAGCTCGTAAATGCTCGTTTCTTAATTCTTTTTCCGTTCGATGGAATACTTGCAAATTGGGCGATCCAACGTTAGTCGGGAATCGCGCATCTTTTGATGCTTCGAGAACGTAAGACGGATATTTCGATTTTTGATTCGAGACTAATAATCGAGTAAACCGAACGTCTTAAGTCGGGACGTTTTTAAAGAATTGTTATATTAACGCGGAGTAAACGTGACAATAAATAATTTGTATTGGCTTAGGATACTTTGAAACTTGTGTCTTCATCGTGTATTATAATTTACAATGTATTTTTTATTCGTGGTTTGTGTCTTTTCACTGAATTCGATCTGGGTTTGGAAATATGTTCACGCTCTATAGATTTTATATCCTGAACCGGTTTTCTTAGATATGAGTAGAAAACTGAGCGAACACTTGGGTGTTCAAAAGTGCTTTTGAGCATCGATCAATACGTATTTTTAGAATTAATTAATAGAACTATTCGTCTCCATTTGCTATTCTCTCGTCCAAATCGTTTTCTTCTTCCTCCTGCAAGTATGCTTTCCAATCGATGTAACTCCACGAGGTTTGATCACTTAACAGTCCATTATCATCCGCAAATTCGAGGATGTCGCAAATTAGTGGAGATTCAACGCCCAGGATATATTCGCAGGTTTTAGGTTCTAGCAAGAACAAGGATACGCTAGCTGGACTAGTTGTCTGAGGCTCTACACATTTCAGTTTAACCTACGGCAGTACAATGTTCACTAAAGAATAATGAATTTTTAAAACGCAGATAGTAAAATTTCATTGTCCTCAAAAATACATTCGCTTACCTCTGTTTGTCTTAATTTACCCGTTTTGTCACATTCGCTGCCACCACTGTAAAAGTGAGAAAGCTGCTTTCTTTGAGCCAGGGATTTTGGCCTTTTCTTGGGATGGGCTTCGATCCATTCCAAGTGCTTTTTTAAATTGAACCTGCCAAGGTTTACTACGGTTTTGGACCCATCCCTTTCCACGTGGTATTGGGCTACGAAGCGTCCGTAACAAAACTCATATTTCCACCATCCGTTACCCTGAGAAAACATTTTATTATATTATGAAATATTCGCAAAGTCAGATAAAGTATTATATTCTACATAACGTCAAAGGATAAATATTCAAATAGTTGACACTTCCACTTGACAGATATTATATAAGATTATGTACCCCATATAAGCAGTTTTTACCACTGAGGAAGTTTTGAACAGGAGTGATGTCGACTGGACTAGTCCCTTGTTCTCCGATAGGACTTAGACTTTTATCTATGCTGTTGCTATTGTCAATTCCGTCCACGGGATGAATCTTAACTCTAACGCGAGTTTCTCCATCCTGAAATAAGACGTATTTTAGACTAACATAAAAGTGCATAAATGCATCCGTATCAATTTGGCACTGATACGATAACAGGTTTGTTACAAGGCCTGATTTATCGGAACGAGATAACGTCGATGAATTTAAAGGAAAGTAACGTCTTCCATTTCCCAGGCCCCGTAAAGTGTACCGATGAAAATGTTAATATGTAAAACTATGGACAGATTATACAGCATGGATGGAAAAGTTAGTAGAAAGGAATTGTATTGTATAATGATAAATATCAGTTTGTAAAGATGTAGAATATTGAGGAAGGTAATTTATAATTCTCTGTAAATTCCTAATTCTGTGCACTATAACATGGAAGATAATTTATCAAGCATTCTGGAAAGCGAGTTGTTTAAGCAGAAAAGTATTTTTAAAATGAGATGATGTATTTCTAGTCTTATTATATAATTCATATATTAGTGCGTGAAGTGTTTAGTACGAGATATATTTCTTTTTTTGTAGGTAGTATATGAAACAAGAATAGAATAATATGAAACATTTTGCCACATTGGCTTACTCATTGAGCAGGAAGCATTAGTCCCAATCCCAAAGATATTCAAAATACTCTAACCTGGCCTTCCTTATCTACATGGAAGATCGCAAAGACTTTCTGCTGGTTCCCATCCTGAATAACAAACAATTATGTTGGTACTGAAATATCTGTCACAGGAATAAATACATAAAAACAATTCATCCTTCGTACAAAAAAAAAAAAAAGAAATACACCCAATGTAGTTCTAATATGAATAAGGAAGTATACACAAATAAGTTTCATTTGAACCGTTAAAACTTCATCAAGAACATTATCATTTGCAGAGTGAAAAATAGGCTGTAAAAACACTTTGATATATTTCTTGTTCTAATCATGGAGTCCTAATTAGTATATAAAGCATAAGTTCAAAACCGAACAAGCAGGAACTGAGTTTCTTCCAGTTATAAAGTAACACTAGAAAGTAAATAAATTCGCAACTACATGTAGTAGCCTGTATTTTAGAAGGCAGTCAACTGTTGAAGAAATCGCACCCCTGAAGGAATGGATATATTCTAATCTAAATAGCAATAGAATACATTACCGTCACTTGAGGATGTCTGAGTTTTAAGCTTTCTGCATCCATTGCAGATAATGCCTTTGGTTTTCTTGGAGCCCCATTGACAGGTCTACAATTAATTTCATTTTCTCCCGTGTCCTGTGGATTATAATCTGGGTGGTGGCAGAGTAACGGAGAGAGAACCACTGCCTCATACTCACAACTTGAAATCTCTTTTAGAGAAAATACTTCGTGTTTACTATGTTGATAACACGTGTACAATACTCTAATCATTCTCGGTTTGCCATTTAAATCACAAAGTGTACCATCTGACATTTTGATTTCCACATATGGCATATTGACCCCTTCTACCTTCTTGACAGGTATATCTGCTTTATTAGAATTTTTTGCTCGCTGATCGTACTGTGCCGAGAGTTTCACTATTTCCGATGGATCTAATTTACCAAGATAATATTCTTGAATTTTAACCTTCTTTCCTTCTCGTTCCTCATGGTATTGACGCACATAGCGGCCGTGACACAATTCATAGGTCCAGTATGATTCTAACTATTGAACAAACATACTGGTATCGTTAAAAATTCACCATTATTTCAATTCATTTACCAATGAATGTAATATATACCTTGAAAGAACACGAATCTTGGGTGAAAAGTGGAGACAAAATTTCAATGGGATTGAGCCACGTATAGGTTTCTCCATGATCATGTTCCTGTTTTGTTGTATCTGGGATGAAACATTGGTATCGCTCGTTATTTGCTGTTGTTATAAAATAAGGTGCTACATTGGTTTGCGTTTCCTGCAAGGTAATCACGTAATAATTTACACGTTCTTATGTGTTAAAGGAATACGTTAATAATACGTACCAATAAATCAGCGCTACTTTCGCCTGGCCAATTAATTCTAAACAAAACCGTATCATCGAAGCCTTTAAGATCGTGTCCAGCAATGGACACAGTCGTTTGACATACAAGAAGGTATATATAAAAATCGCTTATAATAAACAGTTTCCACATATTTTTTATTTAACGGCGCCACTTCATATATCGTCATCCAATCATCAAGAAATTTATGACACGACAAATGCCTCTGCCACATTCATGTTCCATTCCAGTGTTGCCAGATATCTACAGCTGGTTTAAGTAGCGTTCCTAAATCATAGTGTTTATTCATACAGAATTTTCACTATTCAAGGTTTGCAGCAACTATTACACAACGTATAATGGTCGCCATTCGTTTCTTTCCGCAGAAACCATAGATATAGGAATATCTGAGACATAGCATAAAGTACATAAAATACAGTGCACCATTTTTTTACTTTTATAAAAATTATTTTTTGTAACTTGTACTATGTCTGCGGTTTCCATCACCGATTTTGGCAGTTGCGACATTAAATGGCATAGGTCGACGCTGTTCGATAGGTCGAAACTAGTGGAAACTACGGTCGTAGTCGGAACGCAACGTCGATTATTCGGCTCAATTCGGCTGCGCTCGGTTTTGCTCGGCTTGCTTGCTGTCGGACACTGGCGAGCGCGTGCGCGTGTGTATGTACGGTCACACGACACACATCGGCTCGAGTTATTTTTTGAAGAAATATCGCGAATCCATTTTGACCACGTAAAAATTGACCTTTTCCGGGAAGGAGATGAACCGATTGGTGGCGGCGTGTAGAATGTAAGGAACGATGTGCGCGTTCTCGCGTAATCGACGTAGACACGTTTTTTGACACTTCGGGGGTATCGGTCAGCTGGGTTCTGCTTTATACCGCGAGCGAAAACGCTCTTGAAACTTGGAAGATGACATTCGACGGAAAATACAACGCTAAAAGCCCCGGTAAGTGTTCCGAATTTAATTTGTCGAATATTTCCCAGGTCAAACTTTGTCTAAGAATGGTACTTTATGTCAATTTGGTCTATAGCCGTGAAGAGATTAATGCGGGAAGCACAAGAGTTGCATGAAGCAACGGAGGAATACTGTGCTTATCCGTTGGAGGACAACCTCTTCGAGTGGCACTTCACCGTGCAAGGGCCACCGTTGACAGACTTCGAGGGCGGTGTTTATCACGGCAGAATTCTATTACCACCAGAGTATCCAATGAAACCACCAAATATCATATTACTCACGGTAGGAGTCACGGTCGAATCGTGGAACATAAAGGAACGGGTGTGAAGATAAATGGTTTATAATTCTAGCCTAACGGCCGATTTGAAGTTAATAAGAAAATTTGCTTGAGTATCTCTGGCCATCATCCTGAAACGTGGCAACCATCGTGGAGTATCCGAACAGCTTTGTTGGCATTAATTGCATTCATGCCAACTCCAGGGAATGGAACTATCGGTTCACTGGATTATAACACCGAGGAGAGACAAAAGTTGGCCAAGAGGTAATTGAATTGCTTCAGTAACTTGATTTCTGGTAACTATTATGATGTCGTTATTCTTAGGTCGTTACAATGGCAATGTGACATATGTGGTAAAACTGCAACCTTGTTATCGAAGGACACGGTTAAGAAACCTATTACAGAGGAAGAACAGCACATGTTAGATACAATTGCATTGAAGGTATCGATATTAATAAATATTGGTAGGAAAAAACGACTACCACCTCCATGAATTCTGAAATAAATAAACGTTATAGGCCGAAGAACCATCAACGTCCGAATCTTCTTTAACGTCAAATACAGACAGTATTCAAGACAACGACCTGCGGAAACGTAATGTGGAAGTTCCACGTGTGGAGACCATTGAACGACAACAACCAGAGATTATTATTAATCATCAGGAAGACATTATGTCCTCTTCAAACGATCTTTTCTGGAGTATACTTATAGCATCTCTGGTGTCAGCGATCATCCTTCTTGTTTTGCGACGACTATTCCTCGTTTAAGTTGCAGCGCAACTTTGTGAACAATGGACATTACATCTGTACGCATGTTATCGGATTCAAAGTAAATTTTATACACATTTTACGAACAGCATTTTTAAACTTAGTGTGCAGAGGAAATTTATACTTGAAAGGGATGTCAAGTTTGAATTGTATACAATGTAGTAACACCATACAACTGTGCAATATCTGTACGAAACACAAAGTCATCTGTCACATTCACTACTAGGAATTTCAGTGCTTACGATGCACAATTGATGTAGCAGAGGTATGCAATTACCCTCACTTGCTGATTTTTACACATTGTTGGTTAAACGAATATGCTTCACTGAGTCCGTGTAATAACCTGCAGTTTCTTCTGTGTCTTAGATCAGCTGTAAGCTACTAGTCTTTAATTAATTTTGAAATCGAGGTTCACTCCAAGGTCTCATATATATGTATGTTAACTGTACAGTCTTTGAGGCTGTAGCTTATGAAATTTAGAAATGACTCGTTGCTTGCATTTATTAGCCATAAAGTAGCAATAATTACTAATAATAATGCGAATGAAAGAGATATTTGTACACATTTTGAACTTATATTTGAGCAGTAGGATGTAATTATCACAAACTGGTCTATAGATGAATCGTCATTGTGCACAGTATTTAATGAATGTCCTTCGTTATTTGAAGCCTTGACGAACAAATCATAGTCTCTTGCATTCACTGTTAGTTTTTCGATACTCCATTCTCAATGTACAATTATATGTATACTTGCAACAAATCTCGCACTGACTGTATTGTACCAATTTTGCATCACCTTTGAAAATCTTAAAAAACATCTCAAATACTGGAGTAACGACTCTTAAAAAATTGGTTCGGATACCCAGATTTTGACAGAGACCAAGGGAAATTTTATAAAGAAACTGTTTTATTGAAGCATACAAATGTACTCGTCTTTTAGAGTAGAATTACGTTTTGAAACCTTCCCTAGGGATCGGACATTCTCGTAAATGTACGGTACAGGCAAATTCCTAACAATTTTGGCCCTGATTACAATTCTGATATGAAACACAGTACCTCTCGTCTAATTATACCTTACACTGTGTTTGACTAGCTTATTACGGCGATTTCAAACTGACGGCGAAATGTCATGACCGTAACGGCACTCGAGGTCAACTACAAGAAACAGTCCGTTTTTTTTTTAGATTGAAAAAGATGCCGAGAAACTAGATGACTGGTGTTAAAAGACCCCGACATTGTAGACGTCGTTCATCGGTAACTTTTACTTTTTACATTGCAGTTCCCATTCGCATATAAGCCAGAGTAAGAATAAACAGTCTTTTTCATTTGTCACGTGTACAAAAGTCTGTCCATCGCGTGCACCTCTGCAAATGATCAGACACGGTCGATAAAATTGCCAGTCCACGTCGCCTCGACATAAGGTTTCCTTAAAAGCTTTCCAGTGATTAACAACGCCACGACATTGAAAATTTCGCAAAATACATAACACTACTTATTTGCGCTCGAAATGCATACCTCAGCGTTTTCCTTGTCCGAGGAAACTAATTACAGTACTCGTTATTGCGCGTTAAAGGTAATCCCCGAGCAATTGCAAATCTAAAAACACTTGAAGCTCAACGCGTTCCAATGTATATCTGTACCTGAGGTGCAGAATCAATATTACTAATTTAACATTTCTAGGCACGTTGCTGACGCGTCTTCACGATCAAAAGTATTCAGATTAGCAATCTCTCGAGAGAGTGAGAAATAATTGCAATTTCTCCTCGAAATCTTATAAATTATCCTCCGAAATATCCTCTTTCTACTAGGACTGGTTTCGATTGGAAGAAGCTTCTACATCTTTAACATGTGCGCCTTGTGCTCAACGATACATACATTTAATAGCCCATAATGCAAATCAAATAATCTTAACGATTAACTGCAACCTCCACATTTGGTCCCGGTCGTTTAAGGTCATTAACACAGTCGCAGTAAAATGAAACAAAACAGCTATTCGGAAGGCTCACCGATCCAAAGTTTAGACACGTAGCACCATTGTTAATTTCATATATTTTTTTGGTATCAATTCCAGTTATTTAAATTATGTGATTCGATTTGTTATCCGGGAAGTGAAACGCGAGTATAATCAATTGACTGTGTATCGACCTGATGATGAATACCATCGAGCCAGCAACGACAACCAAGCAGGTTAATCTCAAATTCCAATCACAATTCCTTTACATCACCACCATAGTTTCTAATGTAAAATATATTTGTTGCTGAACAATTTTACATAAATAGTCCATCGAGTGTTATGCTATAAAATGTGTGCAACATATTATAAATTTTTTTTAAAGCAGTGCGATAACCATTGGGTAAAATCAGTGATAGAGATTCTTTTCAATCGTTGTAAGGCAACCCAGTCGGTACTAGCACTCGTTCGAACGTTGGATTTTTACTCTTTATAGAACTCCTCATCCGTCGATCTATATAACTATAGTACAATGCATAGTTCTTGTCGTAAACGTTTCTGTACAGACACCTAAGTATCGATATTAATACTAATATCAGAGCTACTCTAATCACTTTTCTCGAGACGTGTCTATGTAGTTCAACTTTTCAAATCTATCTATTGAGATATTGACGTTCGAGATTATTTACAGTCTCTATGGATAATCGATCAAAAGTCTATTTGCACTGATTTTTACAGTGTGAATAGTCGATTCCTCTTTGTTGTTTCATATCTTTCTTTTCCTAAGAATTAAGAATGGTAAAAAGGATAATCGTGGTATCATCTTAGACGTTTTGTAAAACCAACGAGTAGTTTGTTATCGTTTTGTAGAATGTTTAAACAATTTTGGGAATGTGGGCGATAATCTGTTTCTGCTTTCAACGGTTATTAATAATTTGTTATTCTATCGCATTGATAATTTATTATCGATTTATTTTTGATAATTAGCTAGTAAGTTTAATAAAAATAGAAAATTATGAGATTCGAGGAGTAGACATCAATTTTTTTACCCGTTGTTTCGTAGGGCATTAACCTAATGCCACCTCGAAATAATTTTGAGTAACGATCTGTAGACTATTGATGCTCACCCAAGTAACGCGTTAAATTTATTAAAACCTTAATGAGATCATTTCATCAGTTAATATTATAACATTTCTGTGCAGTTTCTCAGAAAGTCAAACTTTACGTTAAACCTTTAGCTTTCTAGTTTATTTTGGTATATTAGCGTGACGCTAATTTATAAATTCCATTGAAATAACTTTTAACATCCCATGTAGACTATCTAAGGTCATCGAAATATCCTGCTCAACTTATTAAAATAGTGATGAGGTAATGCAGTTAACAATCTGTGATTTTTCCAACCTCTAAGCAATTTCACTTTTCTGTCGATGAGATCAATTACGAACGAGTTTCCGCCTGTCTTATATTTTTGAAGAATAGAAGATATCCTTTGTACCAAAAACCGATGAAAACCATTCCTTACTCTAATACAAAAATATAAACAGCCCACAATTGAAACGATTCCATAATTTATCAGCTAGTACCTGTCCATTCTCCAGTTTCTTTCAAAGCTCTATCTGTTAGTCTTTCTATTTCAGTTAACAATTGTTCAGTCTCGATGTCGACACACACCATGTCAGCTTCAACCGGGTCCCACTCCAAGCTGTCGAGAGTCGACACTCTGGACCAGGGTGAATTTGTCAGACTAGAAGGCTGACTATTATTGTTCGATAGCTGCGCCAAGGAACCTTCGCTGCTCTCCATCTTATCATTCTCTATGGCAGGTAATGGCATTCCTAGATGAATAAAAATTTCATTTACAATGTACATAAAATGTATTCATCAAATTTGTTGAAACCATTTTATCAAGTCTTTTCAGACTTCCCCATTTTTTTCTTGAACACACTGTATACTCACCTTCGTGTTCCCACTCAAGATCTAAGGAAGACGCAGGTGTAGAAGACATGCATCCTTGGTGTTTCAACAGTGAGCGGGCATCGAGAGTTTGAAATGGCGTATCCAAACTAGAACTATTGTGCAGTTTAAATATTTATAACATGTACTTGAAAAGACACGCTTTCCCAAGTCTGATATTTTTATTACCTTGTTGATGCATTATTTCTGGAGCTTAATCGGGCATATTTGCTTGTACCTCTTGGCCAGCCGCTTTCTTCCACCAATTCCAGGGTCACCGGAGTTCCATGTTTTTTCTACAGATACATGTAATTCTTCCATAAATATATTAAAGCACTGCGAAATATTAATGGATAAAGATGCTTCATTTTACTTCATTGATTGAAATACAAATTCCAAATATTAATGGAATTTTCCATTTTAATTCATACGGTATCGTCTATATAGTAACACAGTAAACAGAAACATCAAACCTTTCTCTTTACTTTACCTTTAGTCGTTTCAGGGACAGATACGATAAGAGTCTGTCCGGAAGGCATGGTACAGAAATTGATAATTAATCGGAAACGTCAATCAAACTTTATCTGATGAGTAAAACTGGCATTTACCTTTTAGCTCTCCCAGCCTGTTCCGTGTTTCCAGTTTCTGCTTCGTTCGTGAACTAGAAAAAGAAACTTGTGGAAGAAGAATCGTTTGTAGGTTATTGATTAGAACAAGCAATCAGACAATTTGAGATAACGTACCTCCACTCGACCGCTTTCCTGGAAGAACATACTGGAATGTCTGTGGTAGGACCTTAAACGAATAAACAATAGAACAGAACAAGATATACAGAATGAAATAAATTTATGAATGAAAATTTGATGACGATTCTTAAATCTAAACAGCGTTCAGTTACTCCAATTTTAATAGCGATGTTCCGGCATTTAAAATTCCGTCAGTTAAAGCATTATTTCGATGAAATGTAATTAATTTCATGGTAAGTCTGTAAATTTAGATGGTAATTGTCCTAACCTGAAGGACGACGGGTCGACGACGTTGAAGCAGCGGCTGAGGCAGGCCCCCATGACCCGTCGCGTCGAAGCCCCGCACCGTCATTTAACCTGCTTTCTAATCGTTCATCCGACTCGTCTTAAATTTCACGTGAAACACGAAAAATATCCTGAGGTTCCACCTCGACATCACGAATCAGTCAATCGTGATTCATCGCTACGCTCGTCCATATCTGCCGCGAGGACCGGCTCGTACGCAGTCGCGTCAAATCATAGAGAGCAGTCGCATGCACCTGTGTATACATACATCTGTCAAAACAGGCTTCCATGAACCACTGAATAAACAGATGCGAGGTAAAGTAGAAAATAAGCGACTGTTCACGGACTATAAATTTTTAGGTTAGAAACAGAGAGTAGAAAAGATGCTGCTTTAAAATGAGACCGGAGAGGTTATAGATAGCGCCACGTGAAATATGTGCGAGCTTTTCCAATTCTCTATGGAGGGCAGTCCAAGATGGCGGACAACTGACTTCTTTAACAACCTTGGAAAACATGTCGGACATGTGTGTCATCTTCACGCGAAGACTATCGTAATCAAAATGTCTTAACCTTTGTGAGAAGGGTTGCAGTGAATAAATTGCAGCAGCAGGAGGCTTGCGCCGTCATGTGGAAGTGTCACAAATGCGGGAAACCCGTATATTTCGGTCTGAAACAATATTTTTCATTAAGCCAAGTGCGTTCCTGACGTTGTCAAGTACATACGCTGTCAATGAATTTTAAACGAATCACTGTCAAAATTCAAGTTTTGTAGCAAGAAATGTAGTACGTATTTATTTTCGTCGGAGTTTTCATGTACTAGACAACTGAGGTAGCGATACGTCGATGCATTTAAATCGAGGTTATGTTAGTTTAGTTGGTTTTAATTTCTGTCACCAATTCTGGAACTCCATCCATGTACCTTGTATAGAGAAGATGCAAATTCAATAAAATGTTTATTTTTAGCGGAGCGTAAGCAGTCATTAGGATATGATTGGCATCCAGAATGTTTACGGTGCGAGGAGTGTGGAAAGCGATTAAATCCTGGACAGCATGCAGAGGTAATGAAAGATAGCCGTAGGGGAAGGAATGAAATAGTTGTTATAATCAGTTATTGCGATCTTTTAATTCTTACTTTAATTAGCATAAAGGAGTTCCCTATTGTCATGTTCCCTGTTATGGAGCATTATTTGGTCCCCAATTATTCGGACATGGTACAAGAGTTGAATCGCATACAAGTTTTGGGAAAAAGGAATCCCGCTCATCGTTGCCAAGATCACATTTGGAATCCAAGTTAAAAGTGTTTAATCAATATTACGAGGGTAAAAGTGGTGGTATTAGAAGTCGTGAGGTTAGAATTTTTAATTTATTCATCTCTTATTTAACTAGTATGTAGATCATGAAAATGAGGTTTGGATTTATTAAGGTGAATGGTCGATTGATATTGGAAGGAGCACTTAGAATCTATTGGGGTGTTCGCGGAGTTATTCATCTGAAAGAAGACGATGATCAACGCACGGTTGTTACAGCACGAAACAGAAATTCTTGTCGCCGAAGTGTCTCTGAGGTTCGTGCACCCCTGTTGAAAAAAGTTCGGTTGATTTCAATTTGAACAAAATGTTTTTTAATTTTTGTCCATGGTGATTAGGTGGAAGAAGATGAAGATAAGGCAGAGACGCCAACTAAAGATATTGCAACAACTGAGAACCTCCCAGAGAGCGAACCTAATTCCATTCCAGCATCACCTGATCATTTAAAAAGCTTAACTTTACCTATGAAGTTAGATGTAAAGACTATGGAATGGGATGAACTGGACGAATTACTTCAGGTTTGTAACTTCGATCTTTGTGATAGTACATATTGTTACATATTATGACAGTAGTCGTACTTAGGTGGAGCGCAAAGTACAGGAAGGCAACAAATTATATCAGACCATGCCAGAAAGTTTGCCATCGATTAGTTCACATTCCAGTACAGAGACATCGGCACAGTTGAATCAAGCTAGTACAGAAGCAGAATCCCGTGGAAACTCAACAAGTGGTTACCAAACCAGTAAAGACGACAGCAGTGTAAACAGCACACCCACGCATAGCATAGGAAGTTCCTCTGGTACCGATACACCTATCTACCAAGGAACTGTAAATAGGAATGGCACACTTCGTAGGGTAGAATATTTTGACAGCCTTGAGAAAAATATTGCTGGAAATAGACACAGCAACGATGACAGTTGGATAGAAAAGGGTTTGAACCGCTCCATGTCTGGACCAGATTGTCTTCAGAGGCACCGAAATGATAGCGATACTGACTCTGTAAATTCCCTCCACTTTCGAGACGACGACAACATGACCATGTCAACGGATAGCGGTCTCGAGGTGTGATTTGCATTATGTGCTAAAATTCATTTATTCTTTTACTCCATAGCACTAAGAGTGTATTCGAGTTTTGTTACTTGTTTTAGTTGGATGGCGTTGTATTGAGACGTAAGCAAGGCTCAACAGCGATCAGACGTCGTCCTGGTGGTAGGCGACAGTCTAGGAGTAGATTACGTCGCCGATGCTCTATAAATGGTCACTTTTATAATAGAGAGACCAGTTTCTTCACACCTCCTCATGGCTCTCAGATGTCGGTGTGGGTTACCAGCTTGGTGAGCACCCAAGAGGTTATCAATCTCATGCTCGACAAGTACAAGGTTGACGCCAAACCTGACAACTTTGCGTTATTCGTAGTGCGTGATAATGGAGGTAATGTCCTCAATGTAATATCTGCAACGGATGTCGACAAATCTATTGTGTACGAGAATTACGTACAATGTGTATGTTATTTATTTATTTCAGAGCAACGGAGACTAAGAGACGACGAATACCCATTGGAGGTTAGGGTAGTTTTGGGTCCACATGAAAACGTAACTCGTCTCTTCCTCGTAGACAAGCTGTCCACTCCGGAAATTAGTTCGGACGTCGCACAATTTCTTAACCTGTCACTGGCAGAGTGTCACGGTATTTTGCAACGTTACCACTTCGAGGAAGAACGTCAGATACTAGTTCTACGAGAGAAGTAAGTCTCCCGAAGGAATTGAATTATTTTTGTGCGATTACTGAATCATCTCTGCAAACAAAAATGATTTAACAATTTAGATACAAGGAGATGCGGCGAAGAATAAAACAACGAATGGAGGAACTGAAGGTCCGCTTATAGGCTTGGCAATCGACGGATGTATAATCAAATTGACGATCCGTTATCTTCACGAACGTCCGATGTCGTTTATTATATTTGTTGCGCGTAGCGGGTTAATCCGTAACATATCGCTTTTTCTTTAATCGTTCGTAGTGTTATTAACTAATATTTGATTATCATTAGGCGTGCTTCATCAGTAACGAAGATGGCATGTAAACATGGCATTTCCATATTATCTTGCAATTAATCATGGTCGGACAGTTTTGTACTCGCACCGTCGCATTTTGAATAGTTCCAATATTATTAAACCGTTCAATTAACACTGGGATACGCGAGTGTATCCTCTAACATAGTCAGACTTATTGTCTTTCAGTTAGCAAGCTTTTACAGTTTATTTTTTCTAGTATATTTAAGTGAAAAATTAGGTTACAAATAATGGTCCAAGCGAGTAGCTTGAGGATTAGGTAGCTATGATATAATTAAATACATAGTCCCATAAAATCATTATCGTAGGTTACCTATTACCTATCGTACCATGGATTGATTGTGAGCATTAGACAAAAATTTGCCCATGCAGCAGCTCCAGATCCTCTTTTTATACTATAAACGTCTGTTTCGATACGTTTATATAGCTAACATTTATAGTTGTTGATAAGGATATATGTATTGACCGTTATTATCGGAGTAATTCGTCATACCTGTCTATCAGCGATGGATTGGCAAATTCTTTCCGAAATACCCATGACTGTTCTTGCGTTCTCAATGAACCAAGTTTAACGTATGCACAGCAATAGTACGACGATGTTTTATCAACATCGACGTACTCATCGAAAGGCTGATAAAAAAGTAACATTCGCGAAACTAGGTACCATTAAGTTAATGTAGGGAAACGGCATTTCTTTTTTCGACTTTTTTTTACTAGGAAATACTCATAAAGTACCATGACAATTCCAAAACGAATCAAAGCTTGGACAGAATTGATAATTACGGGCGGATGAAACTGGGAAGCCTAAAAATTGTAATATACGAATCTGTAATTGAAAGTTATACGTATACATAAGGAATAAAGTGACGTTGTTTCTTCTTTATGTCTGTTATCGATGGAATAAGGATGCAGAGGGTGGAGAATACGAGATATTGAGTTAGACTGGACAGAATGTATTTATTTATCGTTAGAGTAAGTAGAGTTAAAGTGGATCAATGCAGCGTTACGAGTAGTATGAATAGTAATTCATCATACGAGTCGCTAGGAACGAGTATGTATACCCACAACACCGAGGAGCTCAGTCGGCTCTTTGCACGACACTGATATACGTTAAACGTTACAAAGACAGTAATAACAATCATCGTTGTAGTCGTCCTCGTCGTCGTCGTCGTAGTCGTCGTCGTCGCATTTTAGGGCTACTCGCTACTACACGGCTCTTAATCTTTGGCAATTGCGGACACCAGGATCGATGCGGACTCCTTGCAGTTGCGCTAAAACGTAAATATCTTAGCTATCTAGGCCTGGCCACGGTATTTTCGCCGGTTTCCCACGTGAATTCGCGGCACGGGAACGAGAATGCAGTCGTCACGCTCCAAATAACCTCACGACGCGAAAGAAAAATCGACGCTAATTTCAGGAAAGGCGTAACGCCTCCGTGTACCGAACAACGTAATACAATCTGCTCACCGAGCGATCCTTTCGACGGAAACAAATTTGGACGGTTCCTTTGCAGCGATTTTGAGAATACATACGTATGCACGTTTCATATCTGGTGCGAAACTTCACCGAGTTCCCTCATTGGTGGAAACTGACGCGCGGGTCACGTGACGGGTTGCCTCTAACGGCGGGAAAGATGGCGGCGTTTGAATTCGAACGTGGGAAACCGATCGAACCGAGTGCTCGGGGGGCCTTGCTTTTCAATTGTTTCCGCTTTCCTTCTTTCATCTTCGTTTTTTTTTTCGGCCAGCGGACGGCACGCTGGCGCCACTCGTCGACGACGTTGCGAACTCGGGTTTATCACAATCGTGGCAAAAATGTGCCGTTTACAAAAAATACAATACGCAGGTCCGCAGCAGTGTATATCACTTGGCCAGCGCGCCAATCCGGCCGCGCATCTAACAATAACTTATTCCACGGCATTCTCTCCCTTTCACTCGCACTCCCACGCGTTCGCCATTAAATAACCGATTTTCTCCCTCATTCTAGCGCCAAGCCGTCTGGCGAGGGAGGCCTTTAGGCCCAGCCAATAGGATCGACGCGCATGCTCGGGAGAGCCAACGGGAGACCGGCAGTCGCGACCCATCCCGCGTAACCCGACCAACACAGTTTCCGGTAAACGAGGATAAGTGCACTTAGAATATGAGAAGCATGACTCTGGGAGTTTTGATTTGCATCCCCGATCTGTCAGGTTTGTACCTAAATCGTCATTCGCCCCGGCGAGGCGGCGTTACCATTGTAAAAGTATGGTATAATCGTCCATCCAGTCTCCGAATCTCCCTCGAGAGTAGCGGCCATAACCTAAAAAAAGAAAATAGGGAGAACGACTCGTTACCGCCGACTAGAGTAGGATAATACCAGCAATGCCCCTACGTTAGAAAGTCTCTGAACACAAAATATAGGAACGTAGGCCGCGAAATAATCCTTTTAATCGGATCGTAAACTCCCCGAAGCTAACCTCTCGCGCCCGATCGGTACAAACAGCGCGCCCACGCGCGATAAAAGTGAATCCAAATACAAAGACTCGGCGCAGATTGCGTCCCGTCAACGCCAGTTCCGATCGACCCAGATTTCAGCCTCTCTTTACGGCAGAAAATTCCCACGCAACGATATCGGCCGCGTAACCGGGTCTCCCATTGCGTCCTCGAAGCCTTGGCACTGGAACGGCAAGCGTTCTAGGATCGTTACGAATATCAATTGAAAACCGGGGACGGTCCGCGCCCCCGCGCGTTCTTTGGTTACAAAACATCTAGATCGATAGACCGTCGAGTCGCGGCGCAGCTCGGCCGCGTGGACGTAATAACTAGTTAAGTACTTCGAAAGTGTCATCTCGGCCCGCCGACGTCGATCCCCGGGATCGGCTGGCCGATCGAGCCGAGATCGAATAAGCATATCGATAAGACGTATCTCGCCTCCGCCCACTTGGCGGACCCGAGAGCCTTTCACACACGCACCACACGTACACCCTCTAAAATTCGATGTGCTCGTCCCCTCAACAATAACAACGATTGAATATGAATTAGAAAAATAACATTATATCGTAGACAACAATCGGTTATAATGTATAGTGTACTGGCAATAATATCTGTTATAGTACTTCGTCACCACCCACTCCGATCGGCTTTCTCCGCGGAAAGCTCGAAGCGGGAACCGCCGACAAGAGGCGTAGCTTTTCGATCTATCGATCGATCGATCGATCGATCCATCGCACCCACGCCGCTCCCCTGGATCGGTCCGAGCGACCGCGGCCTCGGGACGGGTTTTCGGTTTTGGGTTGGGCCTTTTCGGGGAGAGCGGCGGGCCGGAGGGTGCGGACCCCACCGAGTGCCGGGACCGAGTGCGGGGGAGGGGAGAACGCGCCGCTCCCCGATTGGTCGGCGCGCCCCCCACTTTCGCGACGGACCAATCGCGTGGCGGCGCGCCGCGCGGGGTGGGGGAAGGGGAGCTCCCAAATGACGTCGGGTTTTCCACATCCGCTGTTTTCCCCCTCATCCGCGTATCGGCGGTCCGGGCTTCTCGCGTGTGCCCTCGATCGATGGCCTCGTATCGATCCGAGGTGGTCATCGATCTCGGGTCGATCGATCCGCTTCTCTTCTCGTTCGCTCTTAGGATCTAGCTTCGGCTTCGCTTCCTCTTACCGTTAGGCTTACGGGCTAACACCTAGGTATCAGGCTAATCGTTAATGACTATCCTTTATACGGCTTGTACGACAGACATCGACTCGTTTATAATCAATATATCTATATTACAGTTATAGATTGCTCATTGTCAATTCTTCGGTTTATCACATTTAGTACAAGTTGAAAAATATCTCTAACATCCACATCGTGTCGTGTCGTGTCGCAATGGTACGGAAGGTGGACCCACTGGCGGGAAGTGCGACGGGTGGAGTCGCCGACTTAAGTCCCCCCGTCGTCGCCTGACTTTTGAGGGGGTTGCACCGCGTGATCGATCAAATTCTAGAAACAGGAATAAAGGACATTTTCCGCGAATTGGAAGCTCGATCTTTCGGTTATGCCGACCTCGAAAAGGGACGAGAAATCGGTTTCGAACCCCCTCGGTACGATTTGGGGGGGAGGATGAATCTTATCAGTGGGTATTTCCAGGTGTATCGACAAGGTGGGCCCGCTGCAATTACTTCAAACGATGTCATTGTAACTTGGCATCGTTCGGAGGGTGTAAACGTCCACATCGCACTTCCCGCGGGGTGTTTCTGTGTGTGAGTGTCGCCTTGGCGAGTGCGTCCGTGTAGGTCGGCCGGGAGTGTTCGCGCGAGTGTGTGTAGTCGCGGGTCAGGGTAATCAGCTACATATGCTTACATTCCATGCTCTACTATAATGACTCTATCGTCACGCTATTATACGGGAAAGATTTCTCTAGTAATAGGTAAACGGCGACACGATCATATTCGAAGTTACGGCCAAGAAGTTTCGAAGTGCTAACTTTTTTCCACGGTTCTCCCTCGTCGCTGCCAAATTTTCTTCCCTATTATTTTTTTTTTGGTTTCCCGATGTTCCCAATTTTTGCGCCCTATCTTTCTTTTTTTCCTTTTTCCTTTCATTTTCTGTAATCGACAATCGATCGATTTTGAGCAACGGGAGTATTGGGAGAGTCACTAGTTGGCGTTGTCCAGTTGAAAGGAGGAACCACCCCAAGGGGGCGAAAAAGTGTCGGGTTTGGAATTTTTTTTTATCTCTTTTTCTCTTTTTGACTTTTCCGAGGCGGATTAGATGGACATTGACGAGGGGGAGCACTCTTTTCCTTTATCTTTAGAATAGACACCGAAGACACCGAGAGACCGAAGGAGGACCAAAGGAGGAGAAGAGAGTTCATTTGGCCATGGGCCCTTTAAACGGACACCGAGTGGCCCGATCTACAAGCACTTTTCTATCTGAGCTATATCGGTAGCTATCTTCTTCTAGCTAAATACTAGCTAAATAGTCGCCCCGTACGGACTGACGGACGCCGAGGATTGAGCAAAACTGTTTATTGCACGGAACCGCGAGATCTGCGAGGGTTGCACGCGAGTTTTCGTGAATCTTGCCAATCCTATTGGGACATCCCTCGATTTTTCATCCCTTCCTTCCTGGAAGGAATTTTCTACCCGCTCGTTTCTTCCTACTTTCCCGATATGTCGAGGGGATGAGAGGAAACGACCGTCCTATCGCTATTAAATAAATAAATAAAATTAATGAATTTTATATAAATGTGTATATTTTAGTTGAGGTACCACACCTTCAGTCGTGGTCTTCGAAATCATACGAGAGAGGTTACTCGGCAAGGGCTCGACATCTCGTGGACGAGGAGAGTCGAGAAATGTGAGTCCTCGTTTTTGGAAATGAAAATAGTAAATTGGCCAAAAATCGACTCCTTAGGCACGACCCCGAGGCCGGACTCGCGTGGAATCGTCGAGGATTTATCGATAGAGGCCATGAATCATCTTTCAGAGTGTCTGGACCTAAGAATAAATCTCTCCTCCGGCGACTTGTTTTCCACGATTACGGCAACCCTGTCGATGGTTTATCAAGGCTGGGACGAACGTACGAACGTATTGTCGCCGCCTGTCGACGTACCGGGGCGTAATTACTCGTTATCGCGCGACAATGAGCGTAATCAGGTGGCACGGTTAAAATCTGGTTACTCTTTTTGCGGGTCATCGTTTGAGGGCGAAATAGAAAATGAAAGTCCAGATCCTCTCCAGGATATCCCGACGAGGACGTTCTCAAGGGATGTCCGTCCAAGGATTCGCAAGCTCCACTTCCGGGATGACAATAGATCGCGCGCATCCCTCTTCCTTGCCGCTTCTTTTTTTTTTTTTCCTTCTAATTACACTTGGTACGTACGCGAGTGTACTTCGTGTTTCCGCGAGGAACAATTCCCCACTCTTTGGCAGAATTTTTTCGAAATATCTCCCACGCGAATGGGACCCGAAATACACGCGAAATAAAATGTCACCGGACGTGTCACGTAAACAGGCGTGTTATTAAAAAAAAAAAGAAAATCCTTTGATAGTTGTTCGAAGGATTCGAGAAATCTCTTTAAGGAACCCAGCTTTAGAATTTCACTCAGCCAACGAGGAGAGAACCACCCCTCGCAAGTGTTCCTCTCTCTCTGTGTGTCTGTGTGTCTGTGTGTACATATACTTATATGTATCCGCATTCGCATACGAATATATATAGCTATATCCTCGGAACATCGAAAACCAGTTAAAAACATTGTATATGTCCCTATCTACCTATACACAATATATAGATATAATGTGTTTGTATATCGTAATCATACTAAACAATATTAATCGCATATACATACGAGTTACGGTAAATAATTATTAATTCAATATTTCTTACGCGTATATCACATCTGATCGTTCAGTCAATGTAGGAAGACCCTCGCCTCGCCTCCGCATTATGCGCGACTCGCATTGTTATGTTTTTTTTTTCTTCTTTTAATTACTCCCTAAAATCAAATCTCCCGTAATTCCGGCTATCAATCGTTAGGATTCCCGGCTAATTGTCTCGCCCTCGCCTACTTTTGTCGCCTCGACTTTTTACAATTACCCACCCCGGCTTAGCCTAATTTTTTCACAGTGGCTACGAGCTAGACAGACATTAAACATTTCTCGTTTCCGGCAAAAACCTGAAATCACCATCGAATATATATATANTATTTATACTTTTCAACCGTGTTTTAAAATGCCCATGGATTCCGTGACGCCTGGATCTTCGGTGAACTCGCTGCGGGGGATCGATCGATCTTTGATCGATCGATCTATGGGCGAGTAATTATTATTTAAGGACGGCCGATCGGCGGTGGGAGCGTCGCAGGAGTCCCGGGCGCCGCGACTCCCGCAAAAGTGGAAAATACTCGCGAATTTTCTAGGACGTGGCGGCGTCGCGACGCTCGGGACGTCCTTTGCTTACGCACGATCGCGTTCGTTATATCGGGCGGGTTTATCGTTGCTGTCGTTGTACATTAATATCGTTGACGAGTGGGCCGGTCTTGACGCACTTCGGAGCGCGCTTGTATATATGTATATGGATGTACACGTACATGTATATATATATATATCTACAGATATACAATGTACAATAGCGAATATCCGTTAAATCTAAATATCCGTAAGAGGAGTATGCGCGCTTCGTTGGACATTGGCGATCGTGCTCGTTCGACGTGGAAGATGCGACTTGGTATTTTTTATGTGTTATCATATCATGGCGCGGTGGTACCGGATATACCATGTAACTCGGTGTCATATGGACGATACATTCCCTCGATTGGAAGGAAAAGATATTTTAGCCATTTTAGAATTTACTTCTCCTCCAATTTACGATTAAGCGTTAGTTGCCATTCGTGATGGAATTTAATTTTTTTTTATACATATTGTGATTTCAGATGAAATCGAGATAATTGGAGGATGATTAGAGGAGATGTCTGCTACTTTTGGGAATGTATCGTGTTGTCCGGAATTTGGAGCACCGTGGAACCAGCAGTCGCATAGGCCGGAAATTACGCGCCGGTAAGTACCGAGTACTTTTATGGCCGTCGTTACGGAAGTCCTTTAGTTCGTACGAATTTCGGAATCCAGTCGCTAGTTTATCATACACCCCCGGTGGCGTGTTAATGCTAAAATCTGAACCGAAGCCGAGACGCCTCCGTCCGAGTTTTACCGTATTTTTACTCAGGTCATAATTGCGGAGAGAGAAAAACCGGGATGGATAAGGAAAAGCAGGATAAATGTTAGTTTGTACCCATGATTCGACGATTAACGCAATTCGATTGTCATTTCTTTAAGCCGATCGTGCGCGTACTTTGAGGTTAGAGGTTCTCGATAATCTCCCGTTTCAAGACTTCTGTAAAATACTATTAAGTGTTTCCATATTCTGGGACAGGATTTTTTAATAGGTGTCTCGTATTTTTAAGGGTGACCCGTCGAGGAAGTTTCCGTTAAAAAAAGGGAGATCGGATAAGGGTTGTCGGAATTTTCGTTCTCCGCCTTTTAAGTCCGAGCACGATCGGCCATTTTGAATATCTGGCTGAGAATTATGGCATTACTCGAAAGTTAGTCGTTCCTCCTTTGGAGACGGTCGTTTAAAAAGACGCCTTGAAAAGGAAGCTCCGAGATCTTTCCTCCTTCCTCGAGACCCGATTTCTGAGGAGGTTACGCCAAAGCGCCATCAGGATTTTTCCATGCCAAGGGCGGTTAAGTGACCGTTTCAAATGTTAAGACTCAGTTTCGAACGAAGCTGATCTGGCGAACCGAAGAAGCTCTGTCAGCAGAAACGACCGCGCCGCTAGATTCACACTGTATTTAGAAGCAGGGGTTAGTTGCATTTCGCTTGAAATTTATATCGCTGGTCGAGCTGAAATTTCATCTGCAGTTCTGAGAAGATTCCATGTACATACAACTTCCTGGATCGAGGGACACGTTTCAGTTGGCCGTAGAGAATTTAATATACCTTTTCCCCTGCACCGGACGCAACTTCTCGCGTCCCTCGGGGAAATTGCCGCGTTTCTATCTAATTGACGATGTCAATGGATCCTTCCCTCCCTGCTCCCCCTAATAACACGTATCTCCCATTATCAGTCGAGGCGATTAAAGAAACAACATCGGAAAAAATGTTTTACGCAAAGCCGATCTCGGAGCTTCCTCCTCGACGAATAAAGCCGGGATGAAAGTCTTGTTTCCGGCAAAACAAGATGGCGTCGCCGACAACGGCGAGCGACGTTTTAAGCCGGATTAATGGTCGAAAACGTCGTACACCAGGCGCCACGGAATTGTTTAGCGCCGGCCGAGAGGGCGACGCCAACGCCAGGAGTCGCAAGGGTTTACGGACAGGAAACGGCGAGCCGAGACCGATTTTAGGTCGAAGTGCCCCCGAGTCCGTCGAGCGTCACCCAGAGCGTCGGGTGGATCGAAATTGAAAATTAACTGTACAAATTCTAACCTCAATTCCGGCATCGGCGCGAGTTGGACGGGAGGTCGCGATCGAGTGACCCGATTGGCCCGGAAACGACCTCTCGCGCTGGGCGCGGCACCCTTCTCGCCGACTCTTCCAAAATCTTCCAGGACCTTCCGGAATCATCCGAAATCTCGTTTCGTCCTTCCGAGGAGGACGTTTGACCCCAAGACGCTCCCAATGGCCGTCGCGTTCACGACGAGGCGTCCTCGACGAGCCTGGGCTTCGAAGAGGGCACTTTCTCGCTCGACCTCCTCCATCGCGAGGTCCGACGCTCGAACATCGAAACGGCACCTTTGACCCTTCGCGACGGAATGACGACGCATCGCGCTCGTCCAACTCCGGAGGGGGTTAACGTAGGTTGAAAAAGCTTGGACGCGTTACCTCGCGGTCTGCAAAAAATGGCCGGGACGCGTGGACCGTTCGAAGGGGTGCGCGAGTCGGTCGGGACGGCGAGGTTCCTCTTCAACGCAAGATACTGCCAACTCAGCGGAACGGCCTTCTTCATCGGAGCTAATAATGACTAAAATCACAGTGTCGGAAGTATTCCGCAGGCCCGGTGACGCGGTATCGGCCAGGTATTCGCGTCGGCGTCGGCGTCGGTCGCGGCAGAGGCAGCGGTTCTATCCCGTTTAAGACAACGAAGTTACCTCTGAACGTAACGAATCGTCAACACAGCGGAACGGTACTCTCCGTCAGAGTTAATAACGACTAAAATCACAGCACCGGAAGCGTTCCGCCGCCTCCGCGACGAGTCGTGACCGGAAGTTCTCCTTTCGCCGATGCGCCGTCACTCCTCGTCTCGCCTTAAAAGACGCAACGATGGATCCAATATTCCTACCCCTAAAGCATAACGGGGTAAATGCCGGCAGCGGCGGAAGGTAATGCAGTAGAGCGGCGAAGGGAAGACGCAAACTCGAAGAAGAACCGAAGGAACCGATCCTATTGCAGGTATAAATCCTCGTCGTGGTCGCGCTCTTTGGTTTCGGGATCCTTATCACAAATGATTCTCACTAGCATAACGTAGCAAATCTCTCTGGTGCGGGACTTCCGGTCGCCGGTAATTGACGCGTCTTTGGTGGGCCACGGTTCGGAGCCCTCTCGTCCATGGAGATCCATCCCCGATGACCGGCTCGTCGGCGGCGGTCCTAGTCATCCGGGCGAGGAGAGACGAGGAACCCGAGGTCTAGGGGTCCCGGGGCAGGGGGGTGCCCTAACGTTGGTGTATGTGCGTGGTGAGGTGTTTGGAGAGGTAGTCCGCCCTGGCGAAGCACTTGCCGCACATCTCGCAGTGGTAGGGCCGCTCGCCGGTGTGGATCCTGAGGTGCCTGGTGAGGTCGCTCTTGCCGCCGAAGGCGCGGCCGCAGAAGAGGCAGACGAAGGGCCGCTCGCCGGTGTGCTTGCGCACGTGGAGCTTGAGGTTCTCCTTGGAGCGGACGCACTTGCCGCAGAAGGGGCAGGCGAAGCGCCTCTCGCGGCGGTCGGGGTCGTGGCCGCGCAGGAGGCCGAGGACGGGGTCGGCGGGCTCGCGCTCGTCGTCGGGGTCGGGGTCGGCGGGGTCGGCGGGGTCGCCGGGCTCGCTGGTGGTGGCGCGGGCGGGCCCCGGCTCGGCCGGACGAGGGCCCTCCGCGGACTCCTGGCCCTCGTGCAGGCTGGCGGTCTCGAGGGAGGTCTCGAGGGCCTCCAGCGCGTCGGCGCCCCTGGCGGCGGCCTCCTCCGCGTCGGCGGCCGCCTCCGCCTGCGAGGGCTCGCCCGTGCTGGAGACCTGGTCGCTGCGCTCCGCCGCGGCCGCCGCGGCCGCCGCCGCGGCCGCCGCGCTGGCTCGCGGCTGCGACTCCGAGGCCCGCTGCAGCCGCTCCAGGGCGTGGTTCAACCTGTGCTTCTTAAAGGACTTGAGGTACCTGAATTGCATGCCGCAGACGTCGCAGGTGAACAGCTTGTCCGCCGGCAGGCGGGCTCGGTGGTTCTGCTCCCGGTGCTTCACGTAGGCCGACCGGTAGCGGTAACGCTGGCCGCACTGCTCGCAGGTGAAGGGCTTGTCGTCCCCTGGCTGCCCCGCGTGCTGCAGCAGGGCGTGCCGCTCCAGCAGCCACGCCGACGGGAAGGACGCCAGGCAGACGCCGCAGCGCCGCGCCAGCCCGGCCGCCAGCCCCGCCGCGAAGCCCCCGGGAGTCAGCAGGCTCGGCGACCCGCCCCCGCCGCCTCCGGTCGGCGTCGGGGCCCGCTCCACCAGCGCCCCCCAGCCGCCCGCCTCCAGCCCCAGCGCCAGCGACACCTGCGGACACACGGCCGACCTCAGTCCGACTCCTCCGACTCCTCCCACTCTCCGTTTCCGCCACGCGTCCGGTCGTCCGGTCGTCCGGTCGTCCCCGCTGTACCTTACCTTTCCACGACTCCTGGGCCGACGAGGGTTCAATGAGAAAAATGCAAGCCTTGCAAGCGCACCGCTTTTATGCCTCGATCGTCGCTCGAGCCGTGTCTCGCCTCACCTGGACCGCACCGGGACTGGACGGGGTGTATGAGCGAGTTCAAGGTGACGTAACGTTAACGCAAACAGTTTGCAGATTTTATTTTTCACAAATCGTTAATTTACAACTATGATATGCATTCGTTCGTCTAAGAACCGAAAGAGAAACGATCTTTTTTTTTTTCTTCTTTTTATTTACGTCGCACGAACCAACGTCGCGGTACCCGTTAACGCGTGAATGGCCGGCGCGCGGCGCGCTCGATTCCTGGAACGCGGGGGCCCCTTTCGAGAATTTTTTTTTTTTTCTTCCTTCTCTTGTATTTTGCGCGGCTGAACGTGTGCGTATGAATTCGGCGCACCAAGGGGGAGGTCGCTGGGTGGATAATCTGGGGAAATAAAGTTCCGTAGGATGAAAGAGACAGCTTTTAGATTTTTTTTTTCTCCAGGAATCGACCCACTTTTTTTCAGAGTCAATTTGGGGCATCCGAATTTTTCTCGGGGGCGTTCCTCGACCCTTAGGGTGCCGAGAAGGTTTGCCGGACGATATCGCCGATTATCCCGGCCCTTCGCGTTATCGTTATCGGTTCCCGCGGGCTCCTCCGCGTTCCGGCTGCGCACGCGCGCCCCGCGCCTCCGTGGCTTCTCTGATACGCAGCGAGAGCCATGAGTCGTCGGAACGGATTCTCCCGTGATCCCTGTACGCATAAAAAGTAGGTGTCTCGTTAGTTAAGGCGTGTCCGGGATGTTAAGGAGGGTCCGCGCGAAGCAGCGCCCGATCCAACGATCCCTCCACGTAGGATCGGAGGTGGTCGATCCATTTCCCGTTTTCATTCTCTATTTCTCAAAATTGGCCGGCCATTTTTCCCAATTTTCCCCCCTATCCCCCAGACCAGGCACTGCACCGGTGATGACCCCTCCCGGGACGTCCGCTCGTCCGCCCGATCGTTGGCCTCTTCTACTGGGCACTCCTAGTCCGCGTATTTTTCCCGAACCTCCTGAGACCCGATTCCGGAATTCATCCGATTAAATTTCCTGTGCGAAATTGACAGTTCCGCCCACGAGTTTCAAATCGTGACCAACGACGCGACTTCGCGACGATGGGAAATTTTTTTTTCCTGCGCGAAAAAATCCGAATGAATTCGAGAATAGGAGCTCTGGAGCGCGATCAATCCGAGGGGGTAAAAATCGATTGAAAGGTCAATCGATGGCGGAGGTCGAGCGATGGGACCGAGATTACTTTTTCCTGCGATTCTTTTGCCCAGGATAGAGGGGCCAAAATGGCGCGTCGTGGACGAGCTTCGGAGCGGACGCGCCCGATGAAACCCGCGACAGGACTCAAAGGAAACGAACCAAAGGAACTAAATCTGGAACGATCTTCCCCTACACTCGACGTTGGCCGTCGTTGGGAAATTCGGCGGAAGGTTGGAAAACGTACGTTTTCGTTATCCGGAGTGATCGGGGCGTATTTCCCAACCGCGCCGATACCCGCGACCCGCCAGCGGAGTACTCCCAAACCAGGTCCCGGGGACCCTAAGAGCGATACAAAGGTCCGCGCCCTCTAGACCGGCGAGCGGATCGAAAATTCCCGGGTGTTCTCTGTTTATCGCGGAAAGCGGTGAAGGTCAGAAATTCCACCGTATTCGCAGCGGGGTACGGACTTTCCGTCGCGGTCTAAGAGGGCCGCGGAGGGTCTACGTAAATGGGGGGAACCGGCGACGACGACGATGGCGCTCGGTAGAAGTCATCCTCTCGTGGGTTAACCCTTATTTTGCAAGATCGCGCATGCGGAGACCCTGGGTGAATCCCTGTGAAACGCAAAGTCGCTATCCGATTGGCACAAAACGAAATCGAGCGGGGTCCCGGGCGACGCCGGTCGCCGGCGTCGGCACCGGGACGTCGGTGGATCTGTGAGAACATGTCGGGTTGTGTACGCGGTGACGCGGGCGCGTCTCTGTGGAACCGTGAGTATGAAAAATATTCCGTCCGGCCCTGTGAGCGCGGTTAAAAAAGTTATTGCATCTGGGTAGCCTATGTCGTATAGGTTTACGCGCATTTATCATTTATATTGTACAAATATTGTTGTAAGTCGGTACAAACGTTACTGTAGAAAAACTTAACAATTCGTAGGTTCGTCTCCGCTTTGTCCTAGCTCCCTCCTCCTCTGCTGCTGAAACCCCGCCCGTTGACCTTCGACCTCGTACCCCTCGCTTTCCGTGGGTCTCCGCCTCCCTCGTTCCTTCCCACCCCGTTCTTTCCTGCTCTTTCACCACCCTACCTCCCCCTCGCTATCGGAAAGCTCTATAACTCCGTCGCTACGTCCTGCGCTAAGATATACCGATGAGACTACGCGGGGATTCCGAGTGCTAGAAAACCCTCTCTCGGTCTCGAGCGGCCAGGGACGACGGGGAGGAACACCAGTCCGATCTTTTCCCCTCTTTCCCCCTCTTTCCTAAGCCACCCCTCCGAGTCCACGGAGGGGAGGACGAGGTCTGGGAATTATTTCGAGATTCTAAGACCCTCGAGCACTCCGAAATATCTTCGAGTTTCCGAGACGCGCCGCCGCCTGCCAAGATGGCGGCGTGGTCACGTGGTCGGCGGTAACCTTGGACGAGGCGAATCGTGACCGCGGAGCGGCAAGGCTGACGAAAGCGCGGGGGACAAGTCCGGTGCATGAAATATGCAGTGACCGCACAATGCTAATGCGGCCCCGCCGCGCTCTTTCTCGCTCCCTCTTCGCTCCCTCTTCGCTCCCTCTTCGCGGAGGCGGCGCCGCGCACCCCGCGAGGTGGATGGAATTTTTAATCTAACCTCGATTCCTCGCCTCTTCCCGGAAAGGACGGCCGACGAGTTCCGACAGGACTCCGTCGAGAATCCGACGAATTCCCGTCGCCTCGGGGAAATCGGACACGGGGCCGCCATATTGGGACCGCTCCTCCGCCGCGAAAAAGTAGTGCCTTCCACCTGCCTCGTCGAATCCCCGACATCGTTTCGAAATTCACGCGTGACGTTATTTTACCTCTCGTCCCCCGCCGCCGGAAGGGCTGGAATAAAATCGGGCGACTTTCTTTTTGGCTTTTTGAACGACGCGGGAGGGGGTCACGTGGTCGGCTCGTTGCAGGATTCGGAAGGGCGCGCCTCGTCACCCGGTGACCCGGTCCAGAAAGCGCGGCAAGAGGCGCGGCGAACTGGGGTAGTAGGGAGCCGGCGGGCGTGGGTGGAAGGTGGAAGGTGGCACGTGACCGGGCCGAGGTCGCGGGCGTGTGGGCGGTTACCGCGATGTCGCGCGCGCGCGCGCGCGCGCGGATAGGCGGGCCTCGGGGCGGCGCCAGGTGAACACACCTCTGACCTCGGCGCGGGTCGCCGCCGACTTCCCCGCGAGTTGCGATCGAGCGACCTCGAGCGGATGGGCGCGGCCAGCCCTTCCAAGGGACCGTCACCTTCCGGTGTCCCGATCGCTACCCAACCTAACCTCTGCCCTTATCGACCTTTCCATTGGTTCCAGGAGCAAATTCGTCGAGGCGTCCTCGGGTCCGACCGAAGAGGCCGCCAAGATTCGAGAACGCGAGCTCGGAGATGGTAATTTTCCGCGAGGCGCAACGCAAATCCGAAACGGCGGACCGTGGAGCGAGGCGAATCCCGGAACCGACGGAGAGTGGGCGCAAAAAAGGGGTTGCCCCTCGGCCGCCGAGGGAGACTGAAACTAAAACCGAAGTCGGCGATACGCCTCGGAAGAGTCGGGGGCCCCCCTTGAAATCGATATGCCGTTGCGGGAGGACGAACTCGAGGGGAAAGAAGCGCGGCTTCTTACGTCAAACGAAGACCTCTTCGATGGTCCGCCTCCGGAGGAACGTCTCCCCGAGGAGCAGCGGCCTCTCCCCTCTAAGAACCTCACCGAGAACCACCTTCCACGGCCTCCTCGAAACCGATGCACCGTTATCTCCCAACCGTGAAGTACACCGAGAAAACACGGGGTATAACCTCCATGAAATAAATACTCCTTCTCCGAGGGTCTTATCGTTCACCCTCCACTCATCCCCGAAGTCCTCGTCCGTCGTCCGCCTTCCCTGAGCCTCTCGACGTGGGTATCGCCTCGCGGGTGAAAAAGAAGCGCCATCGAAAAGAGGGTTAAAAGAAAAGACCCTTGCCCGAGACGGACGCCATTTTGGTGAACTCTCGTCTTATAGAGGTCTACCTTGAAATGGCGCGCGCTCGTCGTGGGTGCCTACGCAAAATTGCGGAAAGGAAATCCCTCGGGTCCTAACTATCTCCGACGCGTTTCTTGGCGCAGCTACCCGACTAACAGTGAGCGTTAATATTAACCAGCGTTTACGAGTGCAAGTCCCCGCGCGTTATTAGTAAAAGATGCCCGTGCCCCGCCGCTGCCTCCCAGCGGCGTTAAATATATTCGCAATCCCCCTGAACAATATATCGTACTCGCCAGGGCGACCGTCGTCATCGTCCTACAGTCATCGACAATAAAACCTGCCCTTAACCTAGAGATTTAGTATCCAGTTTAGCGGTACTCGTTAACCTCCTATTCCGCGTCGCTCCCTTCGCGAGGGACGCGCGATGCGTGTACGTGTGTGCGCCCGTGTGTCAGCGTGTGGGTTTACGCGTGTCCTCGGTGTGTGTCCTTTAACTTTACGAATTCTATGCGATATTTGTTAATATGATTTTCCTGTCCCTTTAGTCGCTAGTCCATATTCGGTGGATATATAATGCGTCATATATCGTGGAGTATTAATCTCTATCGCGTGTCTCGCGTGTACCTTCTGATCCTCTATTTACAGCGCGTTATCACTCTATCA